ATAGGAACCTTGATACCAATTTTGGTTATCCTAGCTCTTGTACTTACTGAGATCCTTGCGCTCATACAGACAGACGGACAGACGGACAGACGGTCAGACGGACAGACGGACAGACGGACATGGCTATATCGACTCGTCTTCTCATCCTGATCAAGAATATATATACTTTGTGGGGTCTGCCACGCCTCCTTCTGTGTGTTACATACATGCGCACAAAACTAGTATAGCCTTTCACCCTTTGGGTACAGGCTATAAAAAAATATATATATATATATATTGGCTAGGGATTAGGAAAGTCTACATACCAAATTTAATCAGTATAAGATCAGTCCTTTCCGAAATCTAGGCGTTCATCCAGTCAGGATAATTCTAATCTGCCTGGTAGGCTCATAGCTTTAATTTTATTCTATTATAGTAGAATCGCCGCTTAACTGCTTCGCTTAATTATACGAATATATATTTAAATGATCTTCTGAGTACCTAAAATGTAGAATCTAGATGAGCAGTAATTTATTTAATTAAATCCCCTACTTAAATCCAATATTTGTCGAAAAATGCATAAAGAATTTGTTGCCAAGAAAAATGGCCCTTTAATCGCATATGTACTTATTTCAATCTCTTAAAATACTTGTATATACTTTTTTGAACAAATTGCAATTTCCAATAACTTGTTCAAAAATCCATTATTTGCATTCCCCTGGAATCTGAATAGCTAGGTGTTTGTGTGTATCACGAAATGTATTAATCAAAATTTTGGCCACAGCATGTTTTAATTTGTCAACATTTGATTTGAGGCGATCCGAGAAATTGCCACGCCCTTGAGTCAGCGCATGTTTACGCCTCCTTTCAAATTTCAATCAAGAAAATTTACATATTTTGGCGATTGGCCCGCAGAAGTTAATGACAAAACTTTAAAATCTCAACGTGGATTTAAGCTGCGATGGGGTCCTCCTCCCTCTCTCCCGCCTCGGCGTTTCCTCACATTAAGCAAATGTTTTTATTGGCCGTTAGCTTCACCTGTCCCGCTTGCACCCCCGCCGTCATGATAGAAAATTAGCATTCGTTATTTATCACAGCGGCTGGTAACGGTTGTTGTTGTTCCCAACTGCCTAGAAGCAGATTCTGGAGAAGTCACTGTTCACTTTTACTCACGCCCCCGCCCCCTCCACCGCCCCCGCCATCGTCATCGTCATCGTCACCGCGTGACTTTTACAGCCTCTTAATTTAAACACTCGAGGATGTGGGTTGGGGTCGCGGCCGAGGGTGCTGAGGTGGGATGTTATGGGCGTCTGGGGTGCTTTCTTCGGGGCGACCATGGCGTGCGGCAAAATTAATTTGTTGCAGACGACGTTTTTAATGTTGCTGGCTTTTTTTAAGGCCCACCAACGTCCAACAACGGTATCCATATTTACTGTTCCACTCGCTGCAATTCAGTTGTTCTCGCTTCCATTCTTTATGGGCGTTGGCGTAACGTGTTCTTGTCACGTAATTCCGTTTTCCGTCCACCACGTGAATTGGCATTTGAAAGTTTTACAGATTTGACTACTGATATAATGTCTAAATATAATATTCTATTAATATTAAGGGTACATTTCTCTTTTTCTCTTCGACTAGGGGTTATTACTCGGCCTAGATAGATTCCTCGATAGTATATTGGTTAGTATCCCCGCCTGTCACGCGGGAGACCGGGGTTCAATTCCCCGTCGGGGAGGAACATAGTTATGTTTATTTTTTTAATTGCCTCGGATCACATTTTAATGTTGCTATAGAAACTATTACTGCAGCAAAGTTTGTTTTAATTAAAGACAGTGGTGAAAAGAGCGGTGGATAAATTATGCTTTTTCAATGGCAAAATACTTATGTTGGCCAAGTGCTATAAGCTTCTTCTGATGCATGGATGAACTAGACCTACCCACTCCAATCAAGTGATCTTTATATATTCTTAATATAATTCCAACAGCTACCACATAATATTTAAGCCTATGGAAATGTTTTGTAGTTCAAAGGCCAGCAAAACACACACTCCTTATTTCCCTTTCTTCCTTTTTCAATTCAATGTCATTTAATTTTTATAAAAAATTGCTAACTAGTTTAGTAGTTTTCTCAATTACTACGATATACTATATTTCTCAATTAATATAAAGAAACAGTCATTTAAATGTTTTCTTCAATGTTGTTGTCTTTTTCCTATTCTTGATGAAATTCACAATTACGTTTGTAAGCAAAAAGCAAAATGAATGTTTTGTATTGTCTGAAAACAAACTGGGTACCAGGGTACTAAGAATGTTTAACACGCGGAGAATCCGAAAACTCGATGATTAATGCTAAGCAACTCTTATAGTTTGTAGCTTATACATTACTTGCATTATAGTGCAAACAAAGTTACAATTTTTTGTAAATAATACTATACCTTGCAATCGGCTGATGTCAAAAATCGAGATAAAACATATTTGAAAACTTGCGAATTTCTAAAAAGTTTTAGTTCTGAATCTAATCGAATGGCCGTAAGACATACAGATATACATAAATATGTAAACATACAATTACAAATCCATCATTATTCTTAGACATTTGTCAATATTCTCCAAAAACTGCTAGATGGAAAATACAGTTCTTTACAAAATATATTTATTTCATTTATTTGATAATGTTGTGAACCTGAGCGAATACATTTGTGAAAATAAAAGTGGCTTTACGTGTACCTTCTTTATAAAATCCAAATAATATTGCACGTTCCTTTTCCAATGCACAGCTAAATGCAAAAAAAAAAAATAAATAAATTTACGAGTATATAAATATATGAAGTGCATGGAATAAGGAAAAGAAATCTTTATCTGGCAACTTATAAACTGCAAAAAATCAAATGAAGCCAACAACATGAAGGCATAGCATCGTTTATTCGTATACTTATTATTTGTAAAGTACATATGTATGTATGTAAGTTTGTGGGTGTATGTATTGTGTGCGGTATTTGTGCATAAGATGCAGCGATAATGCGGCAGACTTGTTGGCAGGCTCTCTATCTGAATCAGCTTGGCTCCAGCTTCCAGTCTGAATGTGCCTGGCGGGACGCAAACAAAGGCCAAAGCCAACACAGAAATCGATCCTGTTGCTGCCAGTGAGCGGCTTCGGCCGGCGGCAAAGCCATTTCCGGCCAGACAATAACTGGCAACGCTGTCGCGCTCACAGTTTCCGGTCGCGCGCTGTTGTTGTTATTTCAGCTTCTCTGTTTTTCATATTTTTTTCTCTCATGAAATTGAAGTTTGACAATGCCAGAGCCATTGCCATCGCCATCGCCAGCCTGGCAATTCGCAGTGAGATTAACACAACCGCACTCACAAATACGAAATACAAAAGTAAAAAGTTCAAAAAAAAAAAAACGAAGGAAAACTCATTTATCTTGTGTTGCCGCTTCTTTGCCACGTCCAGGCAGTTGCCGCAGGCCGGCTTCAATGTCGCCCAAGACGACGATGTCGCAGAGGGAGACGGGGAGGGGTGGACACAAATGTCAGTATTGGCAAAAGTTTTGTTGTGCTTTTCGTTTAACTTAATTAAATTTACGCGCGCACATTCGCATTTTCATTTAGCCGGAAAATGGGGCGTCGGAAAATGTGCCTCGATGGCACACGTGGCGTATGTGTAATGTGCCATGCCTCAAACGGCCGCAAAAGCAACAATTGATTAAAATTTTATTGTTTTTATTATCTTGGGAGCAAGATTTGCTTGGCGGTTCTATGCTCCCAGGCGGCGTGGCTTCTTCTTCGCTGTGGCGGGGGCTGACGGCACAAAACAGCCACATTTGAAATTTCGTCATAATGCGAGGCTATGTGTGTGTCTGTGTTGTGTGTCTGTGTGTGTGTATCTCAATGAGTCTGTATGTAGAATTTGCATATTTTAGTTACACAAATTGGCCAGACAGCATGTTTTCTTTTCGCTGCTCTGCCAAAAACTACAGAGGCAAGCAAAGTCTGAGCGCAGACCCAAAATAAAACTTGATTGCGTTTAAAATGTAAGCAAAAGTTTCCTTTACAGCTTATGCATATGTATGTAAAATGTTTTACCATTGACATTATTACAATCTAGGTATGTGTGCGTGTTTGGGAATGTTTGTGCGACAATACTAATTCCAATATAAATTGTAATAAGATTTTGGTGCCAACATTAGATGAATATATTATTTAAGCCATTTCCGTCCTTGCACAGTTTGACGTACATACATACTAAGGATATATGTATGTATTTCAATTTTTGTTTTTACTGAATTGTGACAAGCTTTGCAATTTGAGGGCGCATAAATAATTTAATTGGTGATACGAATCGATGTAGCCATGAGTGTCTATTACACAAACAAAGAGACAATGAGAAGTTTTAGGGCTCGACTCTGCCAACACCTACTAGGCTTCACCTCTCTAACTATTTGACTCATAGAAAATTTCTTCCAAAAATTTAAAGTTTCATGCCAGTCAAAAGGGTTTTTGTATAGCCTATTAATTTTATAATGAATAACTTCAATCTTGTCTTAGAAAATATACACCTTTGATTTAGATTATAGGCGCAACAAAAGTTAGCCCACTTGAGAATGGTAAATAAGTGTAAGAATGGAATCGACAACGGTCTTAAATTTGAGTTTTATTGTATACCCAATTTTTATTTGTATACCCTGCATCCATATATCATTCCATTCATGCTTGAATTGGTTAGTTAATAAATACTATAGAAAAGTTGCCCAAGTTTTAGGATACGCCCAAGAACACATCATTTTAATCTGCGATTCGTGTTTTTGTTTTTTACATCAAAATTATATAATTATATAAAATTATATAAGATATGCTTTGGAGTATCAGAGAGAGCACCTTTGGCCAGTGTTTATTAATAGTATTACTCCTTTTGTGCTTTGCTTTGGCATCATTTTGTTGTTGCTTTAAGTCCTGGATAAATATTTGCAAATACTTTACTAAATCATCACTTTGTACATTTTTTTCTCCTTCTTCTGATTGCAGACAACGAATTATATTCGGGTACGGTGGCCGACTTCAGTGGCAGTGATCCGATTATCTATCGAGAGCCCCTGCAAACGGAGCAATATGATAGCCTAAGTCTCAATGGTAAGTTGTTTGTATATTGACACGCCTACTACTTCCGCCTACCGCTACTTTTGGTAATTGAATACGACGGTATTAGGGAGATGCTGGCCATTATTATTATTGCTGCTGTTCTGGTTGTTGTTGTCGTCGCTGCTGCTTTATTAGCGTAATGTCGCAGTCAATCGAAGGCACAACGGCACTCGAATTGAATTAAATTTGATGGTATGTATGTGTTTTTGCATTGGCTGCAGTAGCCAAACCATCGGGTCCTGTCAGCCCCACATCCTTCGCGACCTCCTCCTGACGCTGGTTTTTGCATACTTCAAGTGCTTGAATTTTTATACAACAGCCGCGGCGTGGAGTGGAGAATGGGACGTGGAGTCAGGGCGAGGAGCGACCAACAACCATTAACTTAATAGACGTGGCTTCGATTGCCTGTCTGTTGCCTGTCGCTTACCATAAAGACATCGCACCGCTTGGCGTTCTGGTCTGCGCCAATCTCGGGCTCATGGCTCCGTAGCTGTCCATTCCTGTTCATAATTCATATTGAAGGACCACTACATGCGGCTCAACGCTACTTGACAGGATTGAATATTTTATAGTGTTTCGATTACGTGGCCAAGATACATAAGCGACAATGTGTGTCTCTTTGTTCGCGGCTCTTAAAGCTACGCGCATTTAAGTCTACTTATTCGACTAATCCCTTTGATGGACAGTTCTGCATAACATACACTATTCATGTATCTAATCTGCCTTTTAGGCTATTGGCGAAACTTAAAGTTATGTTTCAATATACGATAAGTAAACGAACGGCATCTCCTTAAATTTCGATTTCCTTCAGCACGTCCTGCTCATAAATTTCGCAAATTTTCTACTATAAAATCTTTACAACTCGCCTCGAAATGAACTTTATTATCAGATATGCTTTATATATGTACATATAATTTAACTTGTCTCCCTTCTACTTTTTCCACAGCGCCAAATTTCGTGAGCTCATTTACACAAGGAGACTTCGTTTATTTCTTCTTCCGCGAAACGGCCGTCGAGTTTATCAATTGTGGCAAGGTGGGCAAAAAAAAAAAAGGAATACAATAAGTACATAGATGGAAAGACAAGCAGCAAACCATAATAAATAACATTTTTTATTGGTCAAAGTCCGTAGTTAACTTAGTTAAAAACTTATCTACCCAACAAAAGGAAACAATAAATGAAAAACAACCAAAACAAGGCTTCCAACTGAGCATTAATTAAGCATCTCAGCTCATTGCATTTATGGGGAACAGAAGAAACAGACATTGGTACTTTCGTACATACATAATTAGCATGACGGGAGAGGGGTTGATATAGACATGTTCGACTGTCTGCTCGTCCGTTCGTCTGTATGAACGCCCAGAGTTCTTGAACCATAAAAGATAGGGACACCAAAGTTGGTATGACGACTTATCTTATAAATATGCAGAGCTGACTTTGCAGAATCATTTCTTTGTGGCAGATATGCCAAAGGACCGATCGGTTTAAATCACGTACCTCTTTATGATAGGTTCAAATAGGCCGATCGGTGGAGAAACCACTTTCCTTAGAATCTGTCATATTCATATCCTTTAATATATTAAATGTCTTCCATTCTCCTCCCACCTCCAGCAATATAGCCTTTTACTTTTTGGTGAATGTGATTGCCTTTTATGAAAAGTGGCTTACGAGTTTTGAAGACGGCCTTCATATTTGCGTGCAAAGCCACATGGCTGATAGGGGCTAGAGTTTGTTTATGGCATTAGTTGCTTGCTTTGGCGTCCACTCATTCGTTTAGTGGCCTAATATTAATATTTATCCATTGGTCATTTCAGGCGATTTACTCGCGGGTCGCACGTGTCTGCAAATGGGACAAGGGCGGCCCCCATCGCTTTCGCAATCGCTGGACGTCGTTCCTGAAGTCCCGCCTAAATTGCTCCATACCTGGCGACTATCCATTCTACTTCAATGAGATTCGTAAGTGAAGGGAACAGATTGGTTGTGTATAGTAAATGAGTTGACATGAAATTGATTTGGCTTCACAGAATCCGCCAGCAATCTGGTCGAGGGACAGTACGGTTCCATGAACTCCAAATTGATTTATGGCGTTTTTAATACGCCAACAAATTCGATTCCCGGCTCAGCGGTGTGTGCGTTCGCATTGCAGGTGAGTGCACAATTACTTTGATTTATAAGACGCAAGTCAAATGCGCACCACAACATTTTAGTTTGATATTATATTATTATATTATATTTGTTGGCGCTCCGACATTGTTATTTCACAGGACATTGCGGATACATTCGAGGGGCAATTCAAGGAGCAGAGTGGCATTAACTCCAACTGGCTGCCAGTGAACAACGCCAAGGTAAGAAGGAGCTCCTTAAAAGGCGCTTTGCCCCATTCACTTTCGATTGCACTTGGATACAGCTGCTTACCACAATTTATGAATTATGAATCCCCACCCACGACTTTGAGAAAAATGTGAAAATGCAAAGTGGAGCTAACAAAATTTGCATTTGAATGCTCAGTATTTTTCGAACAACGGCTGCACATGTCATATTTGAGGTTTTTCCAAAGTACTATGTGCAATGTATTAGGATTATTCATGGATAACCAGCAGTGTGCAAACACTTTCTCACACAACATTCCCCCGAATGTAACTTAGAAAGAATTGCAGAGTACAAACCCTTTAAGAGAAGATTAATATGCTGGATTGAGTTACGATCGGGGGTATTAGAAAAAGAGTAAGCTCGCTCTCTATGTGAGGAATTCAAGTAATTACTTCCACATATTCGTGAATTAATTTATCAAAATACTGCCAAATATTTTAAAGATTAAACAAATTCAATTTTAATATTCGTTTATGCCTGTTTCTTAGGGCTAAAATGGAGTATCATTTTTCTAAAATAGTTCCTAATTAAAATACTCTAATTTTGGGATGTATGGCCAGTTATTTCTTTATAATCCTCGAAATTTGAATTGTAACTATATTCCCATAGTTTATGTATAGTTGAATCTGAATCAATATCCTGTCTTCCAAAAGAAGTCATTTGAGAACAACTGAATTATAAATATTTGCTATATAGTATGCCATAATATCCCTATCAGTTGGTCAAGCCGCTCGTATTTCACAGACAAAAGTAGTAACTCGTTCTGGTTATGCATGTAATGCTTTACAAATTTTGGTTTGAAAAGAAAATACCCGCTCTAAAACGAGCACTTTCCGGTTGCGATTCGTAAACCAAATCATTAAAAGGAGAGCAACTCCATACCTACGCATACGCATATGCCCAAAACTAACGGAGCCATAGTTGTCCGGCTGCAATTTCCGGTACAGCAGCAGCGATGGAAGCAGAGGTAGGAGCAGCAGCGCGAGACCAACAAATGCAATTTATACGCTCTTTTAACAGCAGACGAGCCAACTATAACTGGCCGACCCACCCCTCGAAGCCTCTGCTCCCCGACCATACTGGGTGGACAGTCCACCTATAACACCCAGTCCACATGGACATGGCAGTCATACTAATATTTTATATTTCGTTGTTGTCGTCATCGTGTGTTCATACTTCATTCTTTTCATTTTTGTTTCTGTCTTTTCCCCCTTCTTTTAGGTGCCCGAACCGCGTCCCGGCGCCTGTCACAATGATTCACGAACACTTCCGGATCCGACATTAAATTTCATCAAAACACATTCGCTAATGGACGAGAACGTGCCGGCATTTTTCGGTCAACCGATTCTGGTGCGGACCAGCACAATGTAAGTACCCCGCCACTCTCTCTCTCTCTCTCTCTCTCTCTGTATCTCTTTCTCTTTCATGGGTACTTTTTCCGTTCTCTGTAGACTTTTATATTTTGTGTGCTTCTTTGGTTTTATTTACCGCCTTTTACGGGCACGTACCAAAAGTTGCCCTGTACTCTGACTGTCTGCCTTCCTGATGATGTTGCGCCAATGTAAATATTATTACACAAAAGCAACAGCAAAGGCACAAGCAATAATAAACAACAACAACAGCAGTAAGAGCAAACAACAAACCGGGTCCTCTGTATATTGTGGGGCGGGAGATGGAAGGATTGCTCTAAAAGGCGTGGCACTGGCATTAAACAACCGCGTTATGAGTGCTGTTGGCCAGCGGTTTTGTGGCTTTGCCGGGATTGTAAAAACTTTTACTGCAACTGGGGCTGAGCATGTGGCCAAGTGAATACGTGACATCTAATTTGTATAGTCGTCCGGCCGTATCACAAAATGCAGCTAATTTCATTTAAATAACAAATTTCATCAGAAATCTGTTCGCGTGGTTCCCAAACTGCACAACTATTTGCGACTGTTGCACATGCATAAGGGTTACCTACCGATGCACCATGATATCACAATGTTCAACTAAGTAGCAGCAATATCGGAATAAGAGTGATAGTCGTATGAAGACCCTATATTTACACCCTGTTTCTGAAGCGTAAAAAGTGTATATTAGGCGGAAGGAATCATCCCGATGCCATAATTCTTATTTAGCATGATAAGAGAATGAAGACAAGAGAATGAAGAGAATGTATGAACGCCTGTATTTCCGAAACGGCAAAGCCCACATTCGCAAAACTTGCTATGTAGACTCTCCTAAGCCCTAGGCAATACGAGTTTAATTTCTTTTTTGTTTAACTTTAACAAGTAAGTGAATTGTTCGAAGAATGCCATAATCATCATTCAAATTCAAAATAGTCAATTCAGCACTTAAAAGTTATCAAAATCTGAGTATTGTTTTTGTTGACTAATCTATTAAATGGTCAGATTAATTTGTGTTCTAATGAAAATATGTGACTATTACGACTATTCAAAAACTTTAATTCCCGATGGTAGAAAATAACTTTGTAATCTTAGAAAGCTTGCAAAAAAAAAGACTGCACAACCATCCGAAAGCTTTTAGACACTCCTAGTGCTGTTCGAAAGGCCAAGAAGGCTTTTTAAATCGAACACACCATTTTAACAACCCGAACAATACCCGAAGGGTGATTACCTTGACACAGCAGATTGGTAAAGACATCATCCGTCTATATCAAAAATCCTTGGAACCTTAATAGCTGGGGACCCCACACATGGTTTGCAGACTTTCCCAAGCTAAGCCCTATACCTGCTTTTGTCCGTTACATACTTGTAGATTTGTCGTTTAGACTAGTGTCTATCTAGTGGCCTCTTTCACACGTCGTCACTTTGTCGTTTTGTAGTTTTTATTTTTAAATACAGTTTGTTTAAATTTGAAGATGAGGTTATGGGGCTATTTAAAGGCAATTTAAGCGACCTTCTAAAGCGCCATGTATTCTTTTATACTTATAACAGGAATTACTAAAATGCGGTTGCACTTCACATACAAGCGGTTATTTACTTATTTATAAACTCATCTAGCGTTACAAGTCCCAGATTACATTTAAGTTATTACGCTAGTCATTACTTCATTGTCCTTCTCCAATGAAGCGTCTCTGGTGGTTTTCAAATGCTATCCTGACCGACATTCCACAGTCACAGCCGCATCGTTATCAAGCAATTGGGTCGAAATACAAATTTCTGCGCAAATATTGGAAATCTTTTTCATTTTTATGCTTTCCAATTGAATTGGGGATGATTAAATTCTGATGCATTGTGTGATTGGAATAACCGAGAGAACCTAAATGCAAAGAGTCAGTTGCCGAGTAAGTGGCCAAGTGTGTGTTGAAGTAGAAATTCGTTAGATACTCGTACTCCCTGGTCCTCCACAGCGCTGCACTGCACTCGCCCACTTGGCTAATGTCGCTCGTCCGCACTTACATTTATTGTGGCGTGCTCATGTGTGTGTGTGTGTGTGTGTGTGTATCTATTTTAGGGGGTAGGGGTCGGGGGGGTTGTTGGGGGTTTTTTTGGGGGCATTGCAGTCTGAATTCTTGCTCTACGTGTTCCATATTTCATTCTAATTTATTCAGTTGTGCATACATATTTTCGTTCCGGGCTGCCTCGGCGCATCCAAGCATTTCCTTCTAGTTGGCTCGGTTCGTTTGGTTCAAACTATCGCTTCACTGCAGCATGTGGCCCGACACAGCCCTTTGTTAGGACTGTGTGTGTGTGTGTTGTTGTGTGTGTGTGTGTGCGTGTATGTCTGCTCACTGTCTCACTTATGATTTACTCTTTAAAGTGTGCGGCACACTTGCGTGCTCCTCTCGTCTCGACGGCCTGTAATTGTAGCTCAATTACATGGAAAAGTTGCCAAATTGAATTTTTAAATTTGCGCCAACCCCAACACATGGCTGCAATCTGCAGAGTAAATAATTTATGTTCAGTACACCTGTGCCGTTTTTCATAAAGCGGTTGCATGGATCGTGGCTAAGAATAAAAGCTTCTGCCATATTTTAATTCTTGCTCAGTTATTTATTTGCTTATACTTGTAGTTGTACTAGCAGGTCTTGCCTTGGCTCAGTATTTTCGCTACCAATTATAAGTTTATTTACAATATTGCTTGTCCCTGCCGACACTCTCTAAAGTTTCTAAAGGAACTGGTAATAGTAAATTACTTTGATACGTTCCGAGAGCTAGCTGTATGAAGAAACCTTATAATATTTATAACCCGACTTCTTAAAGAATTGAATTTGCTCCGCCAGTCAGCTATGCCGTGATTTGCAGTCGAAGTTTCGATTAAAAGATAAAAACAAATTTTTTTTAAAACTTTATTTTTTATTTAATGTCTGTCCTAAGGAGGATAACTATTAAATTATATGGTAGCCATGGTGCCATGATGGTTGACTTGAAAAAACCTTGTAAAACACATTCGAAACACTTAAAATCGAAAGAGCCAGAAATATAATATATATACAAATATTTTCGGTATACCCCAAGCTCTATACGAATAACTCGAGCAGTTTTGTGGAAAATCTTTTCATTCATAGATAGAACGACAGATCCATAGATGACACATCAGTTGTGAAAAATGTGACTGTCGTTATGTAACAATATTGCTCGTTGCTGAGATACGACTTGAAATATAACATAATAAAATAGAAAGTATTGCCAATTGATTTATTTGACGTAAAAGCATTTAAAATCATTCCTAGCATATACAGTATAGTAGTATTTCAGCAGCGAATGAATCGATTTTGAGTGATTGCGACCGCTAAGAACAGTTCATGTTTTAAGGAAACTAAATAAGTACACAATCTTTGCGAGTTCATTAACAAATCAACAACATTGCTAGATGGCCAAGCAATTCATTTATCAAGTTTCGAATTTAAATTTTGAGCAGTCCCCATAAATTATTCAATGTAAAGCGAGGCCAAACAATGCAGACCGCAGAGCGGCCCAGCGCGAGCCAAAGCCTGTGGACTGTGGGGTCAAGTTATTGAACACAAATGCCAAAATCAAATCAAAAATGCACAGAATTTATGGCGATTTGCCGAAACATAAATTTATTATAATTTTATTTGAGCACACAACGAGCACAGACGCTGCCACATCCGTTTGGTGTGCGCCATTTTGAGCAGCCATTTTTGCCTCAGTACGGGTGTGTGGGCTTGTGAGTGTGAATAAATAAATCAAACGAACGAACGAACGACCGAACGAACGTGAAATGAGAGGCAAGCAAGGCAGAAGCGATGCCAAGACAGACACACTCATTTGCATATGCGGGCCGAGAAGATTTGCTTGCCTGGTTTTACAGCACTGCAAAGTTTCCTACAACTTGAAAGTTGTGATGCTACCAGCTCAGTAGATTCTACACGGTAGCTGTTACAAATTGTTTCCGTTCCTCAGCAGCGGAAGTATCCTTTGCAACTGGCTGCAGCGACGGCCTCAACTGATTTCTGACAGCTGGTTGACCATATCCTGACGGCCAAGGTACCGCAATTTCAGTCTGGCCCTTTATTATCGCCCAACTCAACTTTTTCCTTTCTTGATACTGCTGTCAAGACTTTTATCATGCATGTCCTTGCAAACGGCAGTTGTCTGACTGCCTAACTGCCAGCCTGCTATCCTGCCGGCTGCTTCACTAATTTCATTTGAGTAGCGACATAGAAAAAAGAACAAAAAAGGGAGCGCACGGTCTTCTGCCTGGCCGCTCACACCAACCGAACCTACAACACCCTTCAAAACTAGCTAAACCTTCAAGAGCTACAGCGAAAAAAATGGAAAAATATAGAAAAATTAAAATAATATTAATAATTAAAAGCACGTTTTCAATCTCCAAAATCTACATGCTTAACTCTTTTAAATTGATTTCAATTTTATAGCAAAAAGAAATTGTGTAAATTCTGTATTTGGTTATCAAAAAATGTTCAGTTCCAATTGAATTATTCAGAATATAATTTAAGGGAGTGACCCTACTTATTAAATGAAAAAATAACCAAAAATAGTGACTAATAATGAATCTTCGTAACGAAAGAATGAGAGTATAATCCTAAATATATTATTCTCTAATCTCTACAAACCGTTCTCTACATTTGTTTAAAGATAAAAAACTAAACAAGTCTGCTTATTTCAATGTTTTCTTATGTGTGTGTTGAAGCTTTATACAAAATCGCTGTTTCCTCCGCGCAAGGGTATAAAAAAAGAGCGCTACTTCTCTATGTGACCCTTGTCCTTGTCGGGTCCTGAGCTTGTCGCAGTGTCATACACACAGTGAGACAGACACACACACACACACACTCAATAAAACTTGGCAAACATTTTTGCAAGTTTCAGCTGCCAGCTGCTTGTGCGAGCCTCTGCTCTCTAAATGCTTTTGTATTATTTTACTCAATGTTTCTATCTTGTTTTGTTTTGTTGCTGCTCTTTCGCCATTTTGTAATTTTGGCCAGAAACTTTTTGGCAGCACTTTTCCATCGCCATTCAAACGACCTCCCTCCCCAAACCCCCCTCCCCCATTGCCCTTTAGCTTGTTCTGAGTTTAAATTTATTTCATTGCTTCTTCCATTTGCTGTTTTGTTTGCTGGAAATTAATTTTATAAGCTGTATCCGCACTTTGGCATTCTCTAGCCAGCCATGACTTAAGCTTTTAACTTCCATTCCTATTCGCATTGAATAAAATATTTCATTTGTCATATTTTCTCATACTGTGTGACCACAAGCCAAATATGCAATCTGTCTGTCACATCCGTGAACATAAAACCGTTTTCAAAGCTATAGTCTTAAGCTGCAGACCAATGTGTGGCATCGAAATGAACTAATTTCATTTATTTTGTTTCCCCTTTAAGAATTAACGCAGACATAATAATGTAGCTGAAAAGATAATTACAAGTGGATTTGAATAACATACAAGTAAATAACTTTAAAAAGTTATAGCTGAACAAATTTGTAATATACGTTTTTAATAAAAACCCAGAAAACTGAATAGTTTGAACAAGTTTAATGGAAAACTAAAAGATTATTAATTGATTTTTGATTGATATACCTACACGGCGCAATGGAGGTAGAAGTCAAACAGCTTCCACCTTGAACATTTGGAAATAAACTTTAAACTCAACTTGTTCCGTGCTACTAGATAGGTTGACGGTTACGGTTTTAAAGTAAAATACCAGCGTCTTCAAATGAAGCTGTGCTGCGGCGATAAACTTGTATTCTTATATACTCATATACTTCGTATATCCTGTACTTGAAATGTTACAGGCTTAAGCGCCATAGGTATCTACTTGTAGCTCGCAGAAGGATGCCTCTATCTTATAGGTATACTCGTATATAGTATATGTATAAGATGGATGATGTCGAATGCCAATACTAATTGCTGATCGATAATACTCTCTAGTGGCTTCATCCAAGAGACTGCGTAGACTTCTCTGGACTGTATACGTGCGCGCGGAAAATGGTCGAAATAGGTCCATTACCGTTCTGAAATGCAGGTTTATCAATCGGGCCATCCTCATAATAAGTATGAAAGAAGCCACGCTAACTCTTAACACTACTTATGTGGAGTGGGATGATTCTGTGCTTTGGTTGAACTTGTTTTTGCGGTTTGGTGGTTTCCGCTCCTAGCTGGATCCAAAGGCCAAAAACTGCCAATCACTTGGCCTGTTGTCTGGTTTGTGGTTGTTAATTCTCTTTCTGTCTCAACTCAGAGCTCAGGTACCTAGCTTGCCTAATGCAGAGGAGCCAGCCCTGCAATGAGGACTGCGGCTCCGCGGCGCTAAATCCTCGACTACTCTGGCGCCTGCTACATTAGAAGGCACTTCTAGTGCGGTAGGCTTTTCATAAAGTCGTCTAGTCCTAGTCCTCTTTTCAATGATTTCCTAGATGCTACAATTGCTTTGACATCCTGTCTGAACTGCAGTTTTGGTTGTTCTGATTGAGGACGTTGTCTTCGTCCTTTCCATCAGCCGACCTCAACTGCCAGTTGTAGTTTTGATTGGTCACCGTTTCCAGGTTCTCCATCTGCTTGTGATAGTCCTCAATGCTTTTAAATACCTGCGGGACACCTCCCAAATGCCAAATGGCACACCGTTGCTAATATTGCTGCCACCAGCGCCCAGATGTCGGGCTTTAGTGAGCACCTTTTCTGCCTCCATCAGCAATTGCTGCTGCTGAAGCGTTTGCGATTTGTTTCTCATCTTCGGCAGCGCAAAGCTTAAATTTATCCCAGACCTATATCTACTAGATTTGTGTTTAATGGGACAATATTTATTCAAAATGAAGCTCCTGTTCCTCAACTGAATACCTGTATTGCAAAATCAATATATGTACTATATATATACGATTGAGATGGGAAACGTTCGATCATAAAGTTTGGCCTGCCTTCGGATTGATAATTATAGTTTTACTCTGTAGTATTAGTCGGGGATAGTGTACAGTTTCTGAAGTTGCCTTTGTGAGGTTTGTAAATGTTTATTGTATTCGTACTCTTACAGCTAGCACAGTCGAATGTGTCCAATATGCGCTCGGATAATGGTTGAGTCTTGAACTGTGCGGCATATTTAAGAATCTTAACTAAATTATACGAGTTTGGTAAGCTGATTTACCAACACATGTGTATATGTTCATACGGATACGTCTGAGTTTTATTCGCATACGCTGAGGCAATTAAAAGAGCCGTGCAACTTTCGCCTCTGTGTGCTGAACGACTGCACGATTGCGGTGGCCATAACCATCCGAAATGGTAGGGAACGAACCGCTTTATGGTGCCAACAGCAGCAGCCGCAGTAGCGGCAACAACAGCAACAGCAACAACAACAACGACAACAACAACAATAGAAAATGGCGACCATTTAAGCCAACCTAAGCAAAGCACAGTGGCAATTCTTTTGCCATTTAGAAAATTGAGCAACATAACTAAAACTCAAAAACGAGATTTGTTAATTAACAATAAAACAATGCACAATGGTCGGCAGAGGACGAATGCTTGCAGTCGTTGGGCGGAGGGGTGGTGGTGGGGGTTGGGGATCGGGTGCGGCGCGCACGTTCGTCCATTGCAGACATTTGCATTTAAATCGAGGCAGACAGACACACACACACAAAGTTGCTGTTGCTGTTGCACAAACCGTACTAAACCAACATGGGAGCAACAATAGACAAAGCAGCCAAGCGGGCAGCCACAAATGTTGCCTGCAACAAGGACAACAACAATGACAACAGCTGTTAGCATAGAGCGCATTAGTCGATGGGAGAAGAGGCATGTGGCAAGGGGCAAGGGGCCAGGGGCAGTCGGGGGACGGCATAATGGGCGGGCAGCAACAGTCGCCAGCATTTTTGTGGCGATATCAGAGGCAAATTTCCGTTTTTATTTTGCAGCCAACCCATTGCTGTTGATGTTAAAATATGTTTCTACATATAAATACACTTTGTTATAGCTGCTGCTGATGTTGTTTGCTTTTGTTGCTTCTTGTCCTGCGGCCATGTTGTGCATTGTTTTTGTTGCCGCCTGCCAGCCACCGCCACCGCCGCTGCCGCTGCCGCTCTGTTGTGGCTTTCTACAATTCCGTTGTCATTCTCACCATTGCTTTTGCATTTTGCCAGCGAGCGTTTGGCATACTCATATGTGCATTATTAACGCCAGCCATGCCCATCATCGACACAGCAACAGAAACCACACGTCAAACTCCACTGTGGCTCCATCAGTCAATGGCGCAGCTCCAAAACTGCCCAGCCAATCAGCGACATTTTATCACAAAACAGACACCGAACAACCGGTGTGGGAACCGATTTTAAAGAAAAGTATAACTGCCTGGAAAGAAATATTATAAGCAACAAAATATATCTGCACATCTGTCAGCTCGGCCCTTAGTCAAAGCCTAGACCAATTCTAATTTTCATTACAAGTATATTATTACCCTAGGTATTATAATGTAAGCTACGATGTGGTACGAATGTACGTAACATCCACAAGGCGGCGTGTATACATATATAATATATCAATATGACAAGAAAATCCGATATAGCCGTGTGTATCTGTGCGCTCACAAGAATCTTAGGGAGAACTAGTATCTTAAGACCAAGAACGAAGATGTTTATGTTAAAGACTACCCAATCTTTTGTCCAGAGTTGACAACAAATAACAGCACTAAAATTAAAAGTAGAATTGTTCTTATTTCGTTTACATATGAACTAAAATTGTTTACCTCTACTTTTACCGTTGGCCTGCTATTGATTTCTTAGAAGTTATTGTACGTTTCCTTTAAAACTGTAACAGGTTCGAAAATTGTGAAAATTCAATTCGTTCCAAAGTTAATTGAACATCAGTTGGTTTGAAAAGTTTATTATATCCGTATGAATTATAAGGAAGATCTGTAATCGTTTTATAAAAATATTATTTGTTTTGACGTTTACTACTATTTTGACTAAATAATATTGAATTCATATTGAATTTTATAAATGTTTAATCCTACTTTTTTTCTTGGTATTTGCAGTTATCGCTTCACACAAATCGCTGTCGATGCACAAATCAAAACACCTGGCGGGAAGACATACGATGTGATTTTTGTTGGCACAGGTGAGTTTTTCAACTAAACTGGGAATTTAATTCGATTTAGAAACAACTCGTCTTGCCATTAGATTGTTTAAGTTTTCCGATTTGTATTTACTAATAACATGTAACAGACTTTCAAAATTTTTAATTGAAATTCAGCTACTTGTTCAGTCTACAAAGATAGTACAAAGTTTTAAGTTTTGGTAAAATAAACTATTGACTAATAAATATTCGATTTAAGAATATTAAGATTTTTTTTTTAGTGAAATTGACCGAAATTGAGGGCAGAAACTATGTACTTGTTTTTCAACTAAACTGGGAATTTAATTCGATTTAGAAACAACTCGTCTTGCCATTAGATTGTTTAAGTTTTCCGATTTGTATTTACTAATAACATGTAACAGACTTTCAAAATTTTTAATTGAAATTCAACTACTTGTTTAGTCTACAAAGATAGTATATAGTTTTAAGTTTTGGTAAAATAAACTATTGATTAATAAATATTCGATTTACGAAGTCGTTTTTAGTGAAATTGTTTGAATTTGAGGCCGGAAACTATGTACTTGAATAGAAGTAGCATATACTTATTTTAGTCCTATGTAATTGGAGTAGACTTGCCAACTAAGAATAGACTTTATTGTGATTTTCAAATGACTCACATAACACCCTTCTTCCCGCCCTTCCACAGACCATGGCAAAATCATCAAATCCGTGAATGCCGAATCAGCGGACTCTGCCGAAAAGGTAACCTCGGTGGTCATCGAGGAAATCGATGTGCTGCCCAAAAGTGAACCCATCCGTAATTTGGAAATTGTGCGGACTATGCAGTACGGTATGTGTTCGGGATAAAGTCAATTAAAAACGCATGTTGTTAACGAGCCAACATTGTTTAAAATTCATTGCGCATTTCACATATATCCCCCCTTTCTGCCCCCTTCTCCCCAGATCAACCCAAAGATGGCAGCTACGACGACGGCAAATTAATCATTGTCACCGATAGTCAAGTGATAGCCATACAATTGCATCGATGTCACAACGACAAAATCACCAGCTGCAGGTGAGTGGAGGGGGTCTGAGGGTGGACACACAAGTAATGCCGGGACCGAGCGGTCAAACTGCCAGCGTTGCCAGCGTTGCCAGACAGTTGCGCCACATGGCAGCAGGGGCGGAGAGCACAGACAACAGACAACAGAAAACTGCGTTCCTATTAAATGCAACAATTTGTGTGACTCCATCGGACTACACTCAAAAAAAAATATATATATATACATGCATTTTTCATTCCGGATTATATCCGATTTGAGGACGCTCTATTACTTTTCTCGTTTGCGAAAGCTCTTGCTTGATAATACATTTATGTAAAACTGGATAAACTGCAGTCCCGAATCTTAACCGACCATTTTTCCGAGTGCATAAATGCCCGTATTACCGGGCGAGTGGTAGTCCGTCCGACATGCCACTTGAGCTGCTGCAACATGGCACCTGGCACTTCACGCGCATTTATGGCATTTTAAATTTCCCATTGCCAATATTTTTCACCAAGCATTTCTCCTTTTTGTTGTTTGTGTTTGTGTCGCGCAGCGAGTGCGTCGCACTGCAGGATCCATATTGTGCCTGGGACAAAATTGCCGGCAAGTGTCGCTCCCATGGCGCACCACGCTGGCTGGAGGAGAACTACTTCTATCAGAATGTGGCGACCGGTCAACATGCCGCGTGCCCCTCGGGTGAGTTAAACGAGTTGACTGTGCGTCAAATTAAAGCTACATGCCCGTCCTCCCTCCTCCGTGTGCAGGCAAAATAAATTCAAAGGATGCCAATGTGGGCGAACAGAAGGGTTTCCGCAACGACATGGATCTATTGGACTCCCGTCGCCAGAGCAAAGATCAAGAAATCATTGATAATATTGATAAAAACTTTGAGGGTAAGTCTCACCTATTTCCGATATACTTGTAGTATCTCTCCTTTATCTACCTGTACCTTTTTCTGTAGTTATGTATAAGTATGTACATGTCTGTCTATAATGTATTTTCTCTTTGCACATTGTCTTTAAATTATTCGTGCAACATGCTTGTCTCACCTGCTGTATTCAACCCGCTTCTGTCTACTCTACTGTTGTCACGTTGCAAATCACATTTTATTTTCCCTCCTCTTGGCTGCTTGTTTTGCTTATTGCCACTTCATGTTTTCCAATTTCAATCAAGATATTTCATTCCACTTTATGTTACTCGTAGTTGCTTTGTTTTCTCGCATCTGCATGAATACCTTTGATATTTATGTTGCTTTCTTTTCTCAGGTAGAGATTACTGTTTTATTATTTGCACAACTTTATTGTAAATACATAAATACTTATGTATGTATGCTGAAGTATCAGACTGAAGCCGAAATATTTATTCGTTTAATATTAATGATATTAAAGATATGGCTGGACACGTTAGATCGGAATCTATTCAGAACGATTATCACAGAAAATATTGCAACAAAGAAACTTCCAGAAACACCTCTCGACTTAGAATGAAATATATCATTTGTGATAAAACTTATCTCTCGCTTTGCGAATATTCTTATAGAACAATTAATTAAACTGAAGTGAAATTAACAATTGGATCTTATCATCCGGGGAGATTTGACACAAAAAGATTGCAAATTCCTAGTCCAAGAGATATTTTGAATTCAAAAAACTGGAGCCATTTCACAGGTTTTACGTTCATACTCGTCTATATTCTCAATGAACTTGACAGTAGAAATCAACATATTCCGTCCATCTGTCTGTATGAACGCGACGATTTTAGAAAGTATTACAACTTGAGTTACCAGATTTTCCAATTTTCTCATTTAATTTTTCTTAAATGAAATTCTACATTCATTTACCTTCAGATTATAATTGAGATTACCTTTGAGATTATTATAGAAATCTTTGTTTAGGGCTCTGTAATTATATTTATTTGCATTTGTAGCAATATTTAATTATCCTGTAGATAGAAATTTGCCTACACTATTCAAGTGTGTACATTATATATTAATCCGAAACTTTTCTTATATCTTCTTGTTTCTTTTCATTTCGATACACCTATTTTCCAACATTTCGTTAAAATATGCGCTACTTTTGGGCGTTGTTCTCTATGTTCGATGTTTGGATGTTTATTGGTGTCGTTCTCAATCACAATCAAATGGATTATATATTCAATACTATATATGACCTGAAACCACAAATACAACAACAAAACACACACACAACACGATACAAAAATATGGTTTGTTGTTTGAATCGATGCCTCCTTCTACACGCACAACCTCAACCAACCAAACGATCAATCAACCAACCAACCAACCAACCAACTTATGCGACCTCTTCAAATTCGAAACATGTAACTAATCGTAGGTCCACAAATTTCCGCAGATATTATCAATGCCCAATACACCGTGGAAACCCTCGTAATGGCGGTGCTAGCCGGCTCGATATTCTCGCTCCTAGTGGGCTTCTTTACAGGCTACTTTTGCGGCCGGCGCTGCCACAAGGATGAGGATGATAATTTGCCGTATCCGGATACGGAATACGAGTACTTCGAACAGAGGCAGAACGTCAATAGGTAAGTAGCTCGCATTCGAATAAATGGACTTGTGAACAAATGGAACTATTTGTGTCCCTCTCCGCACAGTTTTCCCTCGTCGTGCCGCATACAGCAGGAGCCTAAGCTGCTGCCCCAGGTGGAGGAGGTGACATATGCAGAGCCGGTGCTGTTGCCACAACCACCGCCACAGAACAAAATGCACTCTCCCAAGAATACGCTGCGCAAGCCGCCAATGCATCAAATGCATCAGGGCCCCAACTCGGAGACCCTCTTCCAGTTCCAGCCCGACGGCTACAACACCCAGCAACCATATCGTGGACGCGACAACTTTGGAACGTTGCGTTCACACCAGGTGATGGTGAGTTGGATATCAAATGGAGTATGCTCCAAGGCACCCGTTTCTAACACTCCTGCTTCATTTCAGGGCGACAACTATAGACGCGGTGATGGCTTTTCGACCACCCGCAGCGTCAAGAAGGTAAGTCCGCACTGCCAATAATGCTAATACCTTTTTCGTTATCGTAAACTAATCAATAATCGTATACAATTGCGCTCTTTTCGATGTTGTTGACATTTTGACATTAGTAAAACAAATAAAAAACAAAACACCCACACAGATAACATTGTGGTGCGCTTGTATTTGATTCTCACTCAAACGTCGATTGGTGTATTTCTTAGAATCACTTTCAACTTGTTGTTGTCATTGTAATCGATGTTGTATATCTATATATAGCTATTGAATTTGTAAATATATATGTTGTCTGGTGCCTAAGTATTACTACATCGCTCTAGAGCCCTAGATGTTCCGATTCCTTTGCATAAGAAATCATGCTTGCCTAAAATTTATCTCTTTATAGTATATTAGTAGAAATGCATTGCGTATAATTTGTTCTTAAAAATGATTACCATTAAATTTTCATTTAAATACAGTTAATAGCATGAACTCTAAACTTTTTCCATAAACTTTACAAAAAAGTGCCTCAAAAATCAATTTTTTGTTCCTTTATTTTCGCCTACAAATTTTGTTAATTTTGCAATTATTTTAAAGACAGTTCAACTCCCAGATTTGTGCACGATTAAATATATGTATATCTAAACTGAGAAATGTGTATATACTCTTAAGCCAAAATTCTGCGTATTTTAAAATGAAAAAATGTGCTCTTTACTTACATAACCAAGTATAATTGAATATTCGAAAAATCGGTGTACACGTGTATATATAATAGTACTGTATACTCAAAAGAATATCTCCGTTTTCCATGCCCATATCTAGCATGCATATTCAACAATCTGCGCCTCCATACCCCATTGATGCCTAATCATGTAAATACAGTTTAGTTGTGGTTCTTGGTTCTTTTTAAAACTCATCTGGGTTCATCACATTTAGATCCACAGATAGAACTTGCGTTCTAGAAGTACACCAATCGTTCGAGCTCGTCTATTGAAAAGCGGCGGACTTCTCAAAGTAATAATTGTCTGCTTCGTTCCAAAGATCTGTTTGTTTATTTTTTCACCACTTTCTGCTCACCAACTACTCTGACACAACTAAATATCACTTCTTCTTTATACTGAACTAAACTGTCCACTATCTGAACAAACAAATACAATGAATACCAACACACACAACGAAAGAGAACTGGAGCACGCGAACACAATACCGTTACCAAAACTCTATCTATCTATTCTTTCTCTTCTTCCCTTTTTCATTAGGTTTACCTTTGAGACGGGAGTGGGGCGGCTGAAACCAGTCAGGGACTAATTACCCAGAATATGGTAAATACTTACGCCTAACTAAAGCAAATTTTGTTAACTCTCCCATCTCCTATCGTTTGATTTGATTTCTTATGTTTTAGCTTTATGTTTATGTTTTTTTTATATTTTTGTGATTTATTACTGGAAGTTAGTAAGCGAAAGTGTTCATCTTAATTTCATTTCGTGCACCTGAGACTCCAAATTTCGTAAAAACAAAACGATTTACAGTTATTTTTCCCACCCCTGAACCTACGACCCGAGAACCCCAAACCACCCAGCACCTCCCCACCAAACCCGTTTTAAACCATAACAATTTTTGTGAATTACATTTCGGAATGCGATTTATGTTTTGTACAGAGTACGCGTGATCTATCAAAATTTGTTTGAAGCTCAGTAAGACTAAATTTTTGATACCAGCCCAGTCAGCCATCCCGCGCCCACCTCACTTCGTCGCCATCTCGTCAGCAGCGTTCCACCAACCCAGCTGTACTCGATCTGTGCTTGTGTCTGTGTCTGTGTGTTAGTGTATGTGTGTGTGTGTGTCTGTCTATGAGTGTCTGTATGTGTGCGATTGAATCGCATATGTTTGAAATTCGAGCCATTCAAACATGTCCCCCCAATCCACAGTCACAATACACAGTCTATATACAAACAATACATATGTACTCGTATGTAGGTTGGCTTGATCTCTGCATGGGTGCCCAGCATATAGTGACAATCCTCCCCCCAGTAAAACGCATCGTCAAACGATTTTCACTAGAAAAACAAAGTGTGTGCATTTGATATTAGAAATAATTACTGTGCCATATGATTTAACGTACTCACATAAGTAATAATATTACTACAAGTATATACTACTACTACTACTATCCACAACATAAACAATGTTCCGTTGAAATGCTAAATGATTTTTTGTTCACTGCTTGCCATTTATGTAAACAAACAGAAAACGATAATTATAATTATACTCATTGGCTTTTTGTGATGTACTATAAACCACAGGGACGAACAGGGACTTAAATATTATAGTTTTCTTTGATTTGTAAGTCCATATGGAAGGTTTTTTTTCGGATTTTTTAAGAATAGTTGAAGCTCTGCATTGCTCAGCTTTCCTAAACCTTGCTGTTGTTGTCCCTTTGGCGACTGGCTGGATCTTTTTCTTTCCATCGTTTAAAAATTCAAAAGTTTCCGTTCAGTAAAATATTCAAATCAAATCAGAGCTAATACTTATATTGTGTTCGGAACTTAGAAGTTTAGTTGTTAAGAAAATAAACATTATCATTTATTTATAAACTTACATTTACATTTACCAACAAATACAACAAATTCAGTATTTTGATTTCCCAATAACTAAATGCAATTATAAAAACAACAAATTATATCACCACTCCTAGGCTGTAAACAACACAAACACACGTAACAGAAGTCTTGGTCGCGCAAGAAGACAGCCGCCCCGTCATGGTATTGGTAAGTTCTTGAGTTTGTATTTTCATTTTAGTTACCAGAAACATTTCTAATTACAAGTATATTGGTAGACACCCACACCTGTGCACACAAACAAAACTCAAACAATGCAACCACTCTCGAAAAGAAACTCACTTCACTCTGTTCCCCCCTTTGGAAATCGCTGTCCTTTTCTCTCTTCTCTCTACTCTCTACGTCTATGCTCGCCAGCACTTGTCCTTGAATTGGTTGCCTTTACAAATTCATATTACGACATTTTCATTTTGCGGTAATGATTTACTTCTCTCGCTATTAGACTAGAAATCACAATGCCTAATATTAGGTCAGCAAACAAGCAAACAATATAATTGAGCTTGCTTAACATTATTCCATATATTCAGTCGGCTATAGGAACTTTAATGAAAGAGTACTGCGCTAAGAAGTCAAGACTTTCAGATTAGAATGAGACGAACTTGACCCTTGAAGCGCATGTACAGATAGGGCCTTAAATGGGAATAGCATTACAGCCGAGCGATTATACTTGTAATTTGTATTTAAATTGCACTCTACACCATAAGAGATGTTCAAATTAATTTCAAAACTCCAAGTATGTCACCTAATTCTTTCTTGAACCGATTTGTACGCGAAAGAAGTAAATCAACCTTTGAAATATATTTATTTTGTTCTTTACCCTACACATGTACTGCGCTCACGAATAGTTTTTATCAATAATTATTTCAGAGATTTTTTCGTTTGCCTTTTTTTATGAATGTGTATTCGGACTCGTCTCTTCCTTTATTTGTGCATGTTGCAACACTCAATGTCGTCTGTACTGCTAGTCGTTTCAAAAACATTATGTAGACACGCCTATACATATGTACACACCTATGTATGTATGTGCGATCTTGTTGTTGTTGCAACATGCACGATCTACTCGTATAGTCTGTATGTGAACATAATATCTCAGGCCTATTTGTGCGATTGGCTCCAAAGTAAGTGTAGAAGAGGGAGACCAAAAAAAGGAGAGATCAAGCAGCGATCCCAATGCCCTAACAAGAATCCGAAACAGAACAGAAGAAACGAATTTACGAGAATGTAGATCTACAGGTTTTGAAAGTGACATTTTTCAGGAAAAGCTCTGTGGCTTTTTCTTCAGCTATTTTGTTTAGAGAGGAAAGAGAATTATTGAATTTATGAAGCGATCAAGTCAGAAATAAATGGCAGTCGATTAAATAGAGAACTGATTGGAGTTTCACTCAAAAGACGAATAAAATAAATTTAATTGAAATTAAATACATTTTTTCAGAACTACCACATTATTAGCAAGAATAAGTTTTAAAAACAAGAGAGAACGCTACAGTCGAGCAAGCCCGACAGTGTAATACCCTGTACCCAGGTAAACTTCCGTCACTTAGTTTTATGCGCCCATAGCAGCAGCAAAAAGAGGAAGAAGAAGAGCGAACTTGTTGCTGCAGTTTGAGGGGGTTGTACTGGCGAGAATTTGTTTTGCTAATAACTTTTCTTAGAATTGACCGAATTGAATAAACAACAGTAGACAATTATATAAATATAAATTATGTGTGCAAAGTTTGGTTTAGGTAGCTTTTGAAATGTGGACGCTATTGACGAAATTCTGTAGCGGGGGAAGGGGGGGAAAATTAAAAAAAATAAAATAAACTCGTCCTTACTCGGACCTAGGAGAATCTGGATGCCAACTTTGGTTATTCTAGCTTTTATAGTTTCTGAGATCCTTGCGTTCATCCAGACGGACAGACGGACGGACAGACGGACGGACAGACGGACGGACAGACGGACGGACATGTCTAGATCGATTTCTCTCGTCATGCTGATTCAGAATATATATACTTTATGGGGTCGGAGATGCTTCCTTCTGCATGTTACATACTTTGCACAAACCTAATATACCCTTTTTACCCTACGGGTACAGGGTATAATTAGACAAGACTAGTCGATACATACCCGTAGATAAGTTATTGGCTTTCACTGAAATGAACAACTTTTCTTTTTTAACTCAAAGGGAGCTTTTAAAAAGGAGCTTCATTTTTAAAACTTTGCTATACTTATTTAAAGAAGAAATAACAAGTGTTCGAAATCGAAAATGCTATCAATTGTCAATAAAGTGGAACAGCATTTGTCAGCAAGTCATGATCATTGAGGATGTAGGAGAAGTGAAGGGGCCAATCGGAAAGAAAACCCAGAATGTTGTGCATGAATGTACTTGTAAACATAAATGGAATTAGGTGGTAGCTAATGATATTGTGTGTTTGGATGCTCGCGTATGGATGTGAATAAATTGATTTTTTGAAACGAAAAATATACATTTTACTGAGCCTTGAGTGACATTTCTTTTGCAGTAACTCAACATCGTTCGAATAGTCCTCAACAACAACAACAACAGCAGCAGCAGCAACAGCAGCCACACTCCAGCTCTGGCTCGTCGCCGGTGATGTCGAATAGTAGTTCCAGTCCAGCGCCACCATCCAGCAGTCCCAGTCCGCAGGAGAGCCCCAAGAATTGCAGCTACATTTATCGTGATTGATTGATATGTAACACCAAATCGATGCCACTAATCAAGGCGATGCCAACGCCAACGCCAACAGCTGCAGCAACAACAGCAACAGCAACAACAACAACAATAATAGCAACGGATTCGGGCAACGGAAAGCAACAGCAACAACAAGAGCAGCATCAGCAGCAGCAACAGAGACACCAATACAAGCCAATGGCCAAATCCATGCCAGTGACGCCAATACAGCCGCAATCGCCGATGGATGAACTGAGCGCGGGCGCACATTTCATCATGCAGCGCTCGCCATCGTATGAGCTTTACGAGCAGCACCAACAACACCAACAACAACAACACCAACAACACGCGCCCTTTCGCCACGCACACTCCGACGCCACATTTCACTTTGACCATTTTGCGAATGACAAAGACGATGATGACGGTGGTGGTGGTGGTGGTGATGATGATGATGATGATGATGTCGACGACGACGACGATGACGACGATGACGATATTGAGGACGATGAGGAGGAGACATCATCATTGGCCATGATTACTCCGCCGCCCCCCTACGATACGCCCCACTTGACAGGAGCAATGGCAACAAAAACAACAGCAGCACCACCTCTGCCGCCACCCCGAAAATTTCGCTTTGGCAACCGCGAGCTATTCAGCATGAGCCCGGCGACCCCCAGCAGTGGGTGCGGCTCCCATCTGGCCAGCGTCATCACACCAACAAAGCTGAGTGCCGCAGCGGCGGCGGTCTTCTCCACGCCCCAAATGGCGCAACTGAATCGCAAGTGGGCGCATTTGCAGCGAAAGCGGCGACGACGTAGCAGCAGCTCCGGGGACTCGAAGGAGCTCGACAAATTGGTGCTGCAATCGGTCGACTGGGATGAGAATGAAATGTACTAAGTGTAGGGCTTATTGTTGCACCCTGTTGCCGCCAGTGCTTTATAGAGGAACTCGGCAATACACACACTCTGATTAACATTTAATTGTAGTAACATAAAGACATAGAAACCACTAAGCGTATGTGACGAAAATTGTACTTTCTGTAAATTAAATTAGCCTGCGATACATACACAGAACATACGAATAGTACAGACAGACAAACAGTTTTATAGCCGTACCGTTTAGAGTTCAGACTTTTCGTTTTCAATTTTAGATGCAACTTTACATGATGGTTAGAAACTTATTGAACGCAATTACATTTTTAGGCGTATGCTCCGAATGGGGACGACAGAGCTGGACTTGCCAGTAGTATTCGAAAGCCGACACATACTCGGACGATCTGAGATACTAGTTTTTAACCAAAAAGTGAACTTATTTGAAGAAGAAGAAGGGCAAGACATGTTGGAGAAATTGTTTTCAAGCACTTGCAATTTAGTTTCAAGCATTAAAGCATCTCTTTCCCTAGCTGTACATATGAAATAACCGAGTTCGACTCGGCCAAAAATAAATTTGATTTCTAGTACATTTATCAGGCTTAGACTTCAGTATTCTATATCTGCTTCAAAGATAGCTTTCAAACATCATCTCCTCATTTAAAGGTATGACAAATCAGAGAACAGCCTCTTTGTCGTCCCCATTCGAAGGCATACCGAACATACAGCAAATACAAATTGACACACCTTTTTCTGATATACACTACAGATATACATACATACATATGTATGTATGTTTGTATTTGCGCATAGCTAGTTAGACGCAACAAAAATTAATTGAATTAACATAGTTTGCATTTTTTAAGATCAATAGATCAATACAAATTTATGATAAACCTACACAACCGCAAGACGAGGAAGCCAGCATGCGAAATACAAGTATGATGAGAATTATATATAAATTTATACAGTTATATATATATATAGAACCCATATACATAATTGCAGAGCTGCTTAGTATATAGAGACATACGATATATATATAGTTTGTACGAAAAACACTCAGAATGCTATGCCTAGAACAGAAAACAATCTTGTTAATTTAAAATCGGAGGTAGAGCGGATCTGGACAAAGGAAATACTCGTAAAAGATACATATATTAGGAATGTACATTTTGAAATACAAGTAAAAGGAATACAACTGTTAGGGATTTCCAAATGCAATTTGTAAATATTAATTATTAAATTAGAAACCAAAAATGTAATACACAACATAATGAAGAAACATTTAGAGTGAAAGGCGTACACGTTTTTGCATTTAAAGCAACACAAATAGAAGAAATATACATACACGAGATAAAGGAAAAGGAAAACATATAAACGAAACGCTTATTACTGATTTACAACAAAAGAAAAGTTGATTTAATAAATACCAAAACCGTAGCAACAAATTAGAATTAAGGACAGCTTAATTACTACTTATATCCGCAGATGGCTCACATCAGGCGACTGATTGGGTTCTCATTCGAAAATAGATGTGTATCGGAAACAGAATCCTCACAGATAATGGCTTTTCAATTATTATTGATCGCGATGTCGCATAATCAGTTTACAATCTTTCCTTTGAGCTGTGAGCAAGTGAACTGCCAAATGCTCTTGAAAAACGATGCGAATAGGAACTTTTCCGACATCCAGGCTTATCGGGACGATAATGAAGTAAAGAGCATACACAAGAAACACTCAAGGCTTGTTTGCAAATACCTCCACAGAGTAAATCATACTCGATCATAAATCATACTAGATATGTCATAGACTTGTCAATCATTTCAAACAGTTGAATATAGTAGGTGTTTGTATCTTGTGTTCCGGGATCCTACCTTGATATCGAAACAGAATTCGAACAGCACGCATCCTCTAGAAGATATACTTGTAATTAGTAGCAGCTTTTGATTAACTCTTCCATACTCTCTATTACTACTACATGTATCCATCTCAACTTACATTCACACACCTAGGCACACACACACACCCCTTCACCCACACAGTGTCCATTTAGGATTTAGTGTTATTCAGTCAATTTGTTTTGCAGGCTCGTGCTTCACATTATTTACCATAGATTAGCATACTACTCGTATATAGCTGTGCTTCGGGAGATGCTGCACCCCTGCTTTGTAATGAATAGTAGTAGTGAATACTGATAAGTGACTTAGAGTTGTATAAATTGTACAGATTATACACCACGCAGAAGAAGAATGTAACTGTAAACTCTGTACATATGTATGTGCGATATGTGCCATAATTAGTAGAGTGCAAACGAATCAAGAGAAAAGTTCTAATTGGCGCACTTTTTGATTGGATGCTTGAAATCAAACATGTGATTTGGTACAAACATTTTACGAAATTCATCAGAGAACAATTTATTTTAAAAGTATTAACTAAATTGCGTTGGCTCTTTAAACTCACAACTTAGTTGCCAATGGGATCTGTAAAAAGAACAAAAGACAAGTTGTATATATAAGTAGTGCAGATGCCAGCAGAGGAGTACCCTAACCAGACCCTAGCAGAACACGCCCCATTCTTCATTTATTGCTTTTGATTCTAAAAACCAAGTAAGAGCATTTTGTAATGTGATCGATCAGAACATAAATGGATGCAAAGAAGAATGAAACCTTTCCAACATTTAACAGTAGATCAGCGCTATTTGTAGACTCGTTTCTCTTGAATAGGCCTAGCTTAGAAGCTTAGAATAAACCCGTATTTTGTATAAAGTCTACTAAGAGAACAAACTGCAGAAATGCAGAGTATAACATACAAGTTAAACATTGCGTATACACTGCATATAAGCAAATCGAATAAAAGCGTAGTAATATCTAAATCAAAGCAAATGTATAAACGAACCTATACAGCAAAGAAAACAAAACAAGAATAGAAACAAAATATTGAATGTATTCAGAAAACTTATTATTAACCTTGAGCATTTTTTTTGCCTCAATTAAAAGGAAATTTCGTTGAAATTTCCACAATCATACTCTTTAGTTCTATTTAGAAAGTAAATAAGAGCCAAAGACAAATTGCAAGTTATTTTTAAAACCATTTTTATTCCTTTTCTTCGGTTTAAGTTTCATTATTGACTATACTTGTATTATTGCTTTAATTTTAGTTAGCATTTGTGTATATAGTCTTAAGTTTTATTTAAAAACATGCAAACGCAATAAAATTATTCATTTCAATAAACATTTTGTTTTCATTGTTCGTTGCCCTTATGCGCTAAAATTATGCAAATGTTGTTTTATTTGGGAGTTTTGTTCGACTTGATTTAATTTACGATAACAGCTCATTCAACCTATTTTGCCAGAACATACATAACTAGAAAAGCAATATAAACACATAGATATATTACATAAGCGAACATAAAGTAATAAACCACAACAGTAACAGTAACAGCAACAGCAAAACAAGAACAAGAAAAACCGAAGCAACCTACACATAAGCGAGAAAATCTACAAAACTCCAACACCACTCATATACATACATACCTATATATAGATATACATGAGTATATAAGTATATACAGCATTTAAAAGTACATATAAACTAAATCAGATCATTAACTTTTATACACTTTACATTTACATACTTATATACACCGCAAAGAGTATTGTAATTTAGATCGAACTAAAATTGAAAGGTTTTACAAAGTACGCCTGAAAAACAACAACAAAAACCAATTCTAGAACTCTAGTAACAACACTTAGATACTGTAGAAGAGATACTGTCTCAGAACGCTTTTAATACAAAAACACCAACCCCAACAACAGCAAGAAGCAAGAAGCAAGAAAAGACGTATTTTAATGAAGAAATCACATCCATTTCGAACATTTTTCTGCATAAACACTACTTGCGAGATGTAGGCCATGAGATATATTCCACTCTAAACACCCGAAATAGCAGCAACCCCGACACTTTTAGATCTACAGGCAATGATGATGATGATGATGATACTTTAGAGATACATATGTCTAAGCAAAACAAAAAAGTAAAACAAACAAAAACAAAAAAAGCAAAGATTTTTAACTTTCTCAACGTAAGACAAAAATGGTTATTAACTATAAATAACACAATTGTAGCGAGCGCATATGCAATTTAGCGACTAACAAATTAACAGGCTAGCATTAACAAATTAGTGAGAAAATACAGACAGCTCTAGAGATACAAATAAAATACAAACATAAAAATAACAAAACCAAAAAAAAAAAAAAAAAGAAAAGAAAAGTAATTACGAATAACAAAGATCAACCAAGTTTTCTTTCTCATTAAGATGATATATATTCAAGTGCTTCTTACATAAAGTAAATATAAATGATTACATTTAGAATACAATTAACAGACATTAAATTATTATGAAATACACTAACTAGGTCTAAGCATTACATTAATAGTATTGATTATTGATTGATTGATTGATTGATAATTAAACGAACGAGCCGCGACTAGAGTGAAATGCCTATAAGTTTTAATGACGATGAAGCCAATTGGTCGGTCGGTCTCCACTTGAGAACTCGTGTGTTTGCCGCACGAAGCGTTTGGTTTTCTAATTTATAAGTAGCCTGCTATAACTTGCAACGTAATCAATGCATTTTACCTTAAAGCCAGCAACAAAGAGAAGTTTAATACATACAAGTAATACCTACATACCTAAACCTACATACATACATGCATACATTTAAACACCCTATGTTAAGAATTTTATAACGCAACCTAAACAACAAATCCAATATATTTATGAGACTTTTGTAAATACTTAAAATACCAAATACCATTGAAAAACTGACAAAATAAATAACTTTCATTCGAAAAAAAAAACAACAAACAGTAATCGGTTTTGATTTTCATTTGGTTCACCCGTCTCGTCGTTTCGCATAGCAAGTAGAGAAAGTAATTCGGAGAGGTCGCTACGAAACTCTCCAGTCCACGAAATGTCCTTTAGCTGACCTGCTGTATTGATGATACATACTACACATGTACTGTACATAGTATCTTTGAGGATCGGCAGAAAACACAGAAAACTAATTTAATGACATTATAAATATGTTACGCATTCATTAGGGGTTACAAATACGTAAGATACTTGAAATTGTTGAATATGTAGCGTAAAACATTTAAAGAAGATGATGAATATAATAACTAATAAGCCTTTAACAACATAAGTTACGAAAGTTAGACAAACAACGGTACTTCCAAGCAACTATACAGCTAACAGCAATACAAACAAACACCCCCACACACATACACACAGAAAGCAACATGAATAAACGTGTCGGCATGCACCTCTCAAATAATTGTGCTGCTCTCAAGAATAAGTTCATTCGAGTATTTAGTTTTCAATAACTTCTCACCAAGTCCCCCATGCCCGATTTGCACAAACTCTATTCCCCAATTTGATATTTCTCAAAACTCCAATATCTGACTTTACAATTTCACCTAAACACACACACACACACATACTTAAGATATGTAATCATGAAATAAAACGTGTTTTCTTCTTATTATTGTTGTTGTGATCCAGTGAAAAGTTTTGAACAGCAACTTGGGCAGTTGACCTCTTAGTTGAACCAAACGCTTCAAAATCAAACAGTATTGAAAATAATTCAGTAAACATTTAAAATAAACAAATTGTTAGTAAAAAGACTGAGCTACAAAAATAAAAATGGAAAAATTAAATGAAAAAAGCAAAAACAAAAACAAAAGTAAAATAACATTAAACATTAAAAAGCATAAGCAAGTTTCTTTGATGAGAATTCTATTACAAGTAGTAAGGCAACAGAAAATGCATTTGTGTAAACGGTTTGGCGCTTAATTAGAAACATCTGTTGGATAATTTACAGTCGAGGCTATTGTTTTGAATTCGATTTTAAACATTGTAAAAATTGAATGTATTTATATGCAATTAGTTGTTAAGAAGTTCCTACAAGATATGCATTTAAGCGTTGAATCAAAACAGAAACGCGCATATAGAAATCATTTATGATAAACGCAATTGAGGAAAAGAAACACAAAATAATGAACACAACATGTTATACTTGTAGATTGTTCTACACTTAGATAAACTATAACATTTAATGTAACTTCTGCATTTGTTTACGACTCCTTGGTTCGCTTATGTGAATAACAAAATGGAAAAGATTTGACGTTCAAGTGCGAGCAATTGCTTACTTAATTGTGTATTTGTATTTACTACGGAACATTTATAATCATACAGTAGATATATATATGTATACAATATATTGCAATATTACGCACAACCTAAGACATTCAAGCTAAACAAAATCAAAGTTATTTGACGAAGGCCAGCAGCAACAAATGAAAAATGGCGATCAGTTTGTACCGTTATATACGTAAAACCAGTTGACATTTTTGAAATAATTTTTGTAAAAACACACAGACACACCCACACACACACACACACACACGAATAGTTTAAATTGTTTATTTCGCGCAGCCGTGAAGCCGCAAAAAAGGCTTAATCGACATACTCAGCTCTACACTGTAAAGCCATTCAATACAAATTTTAATAAAATGAATTGCAAACGAGAAACAAAGCTAACGAAATAACGAAAAGCACACAAAGTGAACTTCGCATTACTTATATACACTCATACATACATATATACAATTGCTTTTAGCTTTCCTAGACCTTTGTTTTCAATATACATACATACATAGTACATACAAGTATGTACTTACTTACTAAGTATATAACGAACCGTGAATCTACAATTTTGTTTAAAAAAAGAAGCAACAGCAAAAAAGCAAAAGCAGAAGCGAAATGAGATATTCAGCTGATTCGTTGACAAAGAAATCAAATTGATAGGAATACGAACTAAAAATTAAAGCAAAATTAATGAAATACGTGTATTTACAAGCGAGTAAATAGTATGTATACAGTATACATAAAGAACATCGCATGCAAGCAGCAGAAACTAAAGGCAAAGGCAAACAAATTGAACAAAATATTATTAATGATTAATATATTACGAGTATTATAACTGAAATATTTAGATGAAATGAAGATTCTTAATTATAACAGCATTATTAATGATACTTACAAACAAGAGACAAACAAAAAACGACAGACAGAAAATGAAAAGAAACGAAAATAATTAATAAAAAAATATATAGAGAATATTATATTATGAAAACATAAACAAGTCTTTTGATAACAGCCTGATCTTTGGCTTCCCAGTCGAAAACATACTCCAATATCTGAGCTCCCGATTGGCACGACATGTTATACAACTGTCCTCTGTAAAATCTTATTATTTTCTTCTTCTTTTATCGACGATTATTGACGTCTTACCGACACAAGTCGTATGCGAACATAGATCTCTCCATAAATAAGAATATCATCCTACAAGGTACATGCTTAAGGCTCTATCTAACTTACCTACTCGTTAAGGGACTTACGGCAATCAGTGATGATCTCCTTCCCACAATGGTTGGAGATAAGGATTTGAATCTCCGCGATTTCAGCCTGACAAACACAACAATGATCCGGGCGGTGAACACTCTCCGTCGCATTCCCAGGAGTAGACCTCTTCTCAGAATCTCCCTTCGAACTTGGAACCATCTGTAAGAACATTGATGCCATGGACTCTGATATTCGAAAGCTTCTGCTATTCTAATATATACAAATCTCGTTCACAAAGATTCGAAAGGGTTTCATGAATACTTGATTGCAAATTTTGAACTCATTTTATTCCTAAAAACTAAGTTTTCCTAAAAATACGTTTTCTTTGCCGCTGTTTGAACTTTCTTTAGTGTCTTTTCGTATTGTAGAGAAACTAATTTAATTTTATTCGCAGTGCAGGATCGTAAAGTACTTGACACTAGCATTTTAACATGTTTATATATAAGCAGTTATCTTTAAAAAAAAAATTAGTATGACGTCTCAGTTTTGTGTAAAAACAAATAAAATACAGACATTTGTAACTGAAATTATATCTACACATATTTATTTCCCTCAAAAAGTATACCAGCAGGTTTTCACTTAGAATAAACGAAATCTGTGAAATCGGGGAAAATATACTCGTAATTCCAAATTCTCAAAGTCAACTGAAAGTTTATTGTTATTCCATTTAAAGAATTACTTTGATGAACTCTGTTAAGGAGGTGAAGACAGTTGAAGCACAGCTTGCAAGTAATTGTTGAGTTCCTATAGATATGAAACGGATATATACTCTTATAAAATATCTTAAGTCTTTGATCTCAGACCCTGTCGAGGTCAAATCTTCAATAGCTTCCTATTACTAAACACCTTTTCTAGTATGGATAACACTAAGAAGCACACTGGAGTGCTTGCTTCTGCTTCTTTTCAGCTTTTTCCATTAAGAATACACATATTTTCCACACTGCATTTCCCAGAGATGCATATGCATACGTCATCGCTAATGAGTACATATTATTTGATTAATTCATTTATTTATATACGCATTTATAATGTTTTTGAAACACATTTGACAAGTTCAATCTATAGCTTATTGACCTGAAATCGTCTGCGCGAGTCCCATGCTCGTATGAATTAAAAATATTTTAATTGTGCAACGTTACCGTCTGATAGTGAATGAAATATAGGTACGTACATATATGTATAGTATGTACATACATAAACCAGAAATAAATTGTCGCATTAGTATTTACGAGTCATGGTTGCTGTCAACAGATAACCCCTAAGCATCTAAAATCAAAAGCGCCAATGCTGTACAATGGTCGATATTGAAAAGTCAATGAGCACAGATATTTTAAAAGTAATAAATGAGTTAAAAGGGTAATCTAGAAATGAAAACTATACTTTTTTAAATGAAAGAAGTATATTAAAAAAAAATATAGTTTATTTGCAAACTTTTTGCAATGGCATTTACGACTAAATTGGTTATAGAAACATTGCGAGCAGTAATACTGTATGATAAACTCTTAAGAAATAGGGGAAAATTCTTTGAAATTTGAAGACAATATTCTACCAAAACATAGCTTAAAAAATAGCAAACGTTAAAAAGATCAGGAAACCCATCCCATTATTACAATAGAAAAAATTGTATGCGGATTAGTGTAGAATTAAATGTTTATTGCACACACACATTAAAATTTAAGTTACATATTCCCCTATTTTCCATTCGCATTCAATGCTTTAAAGATAATTATTGTCTCTTCTATTTTTCTGTTATAAAATTTCACTTAAACTAATAACAACAATATTTTTGTAGAAGGCTGTCAAAAAGTACGACTATACCATTGTTTTATTATTTTTGTACATACTTTTGTAAACTTTTCCATAATTTTCGCTTAATTTTGCAGTTTCCAAAGCAACTACTTATAACAAAGTCACTATAATAATTCGAATGCTCAATACTATAGATGGTTGGGGCATTTTTTTTTTCCAGAACAGCGAGAACAATATCAAACTTAAGTGAACCACTCTTGTGAACGCGACAAGTTCTCCTTACACTATAAGTTATTTGTAAATCCTATGTTTGTCTTTAAAAGTTCCTCGACATCAGAAACAATTTTATGGAAACAAACTGTCAACGGGAAGATCAGATGATTGATATCGGATAGTAGGTTTGTTTATTAACGCATATATTTTTATAGTAGTAGTAGTTTTTATGAATTGAGCACTTATGGCCCATTGTGCATCACAGGGCCGGAGCATACACAGAAACGTTCTTACATACTCGCATACGAGTAGGAGATAGACAACGCTGGGACGGATGCCGCCGGCCGATATAGCACAGCCTTAACGCCAGCGACATAATTGACAACTGGGCTGTGCGCATTGAGGAATATACGCGTCTTATAGATTAGCAGTGGCGACATCGAGAGCTACTCTACTTACTTGTATGTATCTCTGTGTGCGCGGCGACATCTCAAGGCAAATGCGAGCGATTAAATTTGAACTTTCGATTTCCTAGTGCCGAACGTATGCCCAAATCAGTTTTGTTTCATTCGCGACACAGTTCACAACATGTTGATGCTGCACTCGGGCAGCCAGCTCTTGCGGCTTCAGCTGCTGTTTGTTGCCTTATTTGGGTGCCATGCCCTGCAAAATGGTTGGGACGACAATGAAAGCAGCGAGGACTGGAGTCCCCATTGGACACCACCGCCTCTCAGACCAGCACCCTGGGCTCTAGGAATAACAACGACACCAGCTCCCCAACTGCCACAGATACCGCAATGGCCAGAAGCTGGCCAAGTTCCGCCAGCTCCTCAGCCTCCGCCCCAATGGGAGCCGGAGCCACAGTGGCCAGAACAGTCCCCTGCTGTACAGCTACCCGAAGTTGGTGAGGTGCATGGACTGCGTGGGTATAAGACCATCAAGAATCGTCCTATCGATGCCTTTCTTGGCTTGCGCTACGGTCAGGTGAGCAGCGGCTTGGGTCGCTTTCAAAAGGCTACGCCATTGCAGTATCAAGGACGCATTGACGCTACACGGCAAAGCTCGAATTGCGCCCAATTTCCGGAACTGGAAAGTCTGCAGCAGGCCGAGGCACGTGGCGAGGCTGTGGATGACTGCCTCACATTGAATATCTTTGCACCAGCTGGGGCCCGTGATCTCCCTGTGCTGGTCTTCGTGCACGGTGAAATGCTATTCGATGGCGGCGCCGAGGAGGCTCAGCCCGACTATTTCCTAGAGCACGATGTCCTGCTGGTCGCCATCAACTACCGTCTGGCGCCTTTTGGCTTTTTGGCCGCACTAAGCGAGGAGCTACCCGGCAATGTGGCTTTGTCAGACATACACTTGGCCCTGGAATGGCTGCAAAGCAACGTACGCCACTTTGGTGGTGATGCCGAGCAAATCACTTTGTTTGGACAGGCGGGAGGTGCCACGTTGGCTCATGCCCTTAGCATTAGCGGCAAGGCCAACGGACTCTTCTCAAAGCTGATACTGCAATCGGGAACGGCGCTGAATCCGTATTTTATTGATGATCAGCCCTTAAATACCCTGGCTACCTTTGCGCGACTCGCTCGTTGTCCTTCCAGTGTTGCAAACTTGGAGCCTCTTTATGATTGCTTGGGCAGGCTAAGCACCTCACAGCTGGTAAGGGCATTCCAGGAGCTCTGGCAACAGAATGAGTCGCGCGGTCGCAGCTTCGTTGGAGGTTTTAAGTTGGTCGTTAATGATGTTCTGGGATACTTGCCTGACCATCCAGCACACTTGGCAGCCACAAACAGCGTGCCTACGTTACTGGGAGCAGCAAAGGACGCGGGTGCCTTTATCCTATCGCGTAAGTATCCATTACTGGAAGCATTTTTCTCTGCTTATAAGCGGAAATACGGACATGAAATACTGTTTTCAAATCAGTAGAGGGAGAGGCTTCCATTTCATGACTCACTCACTCAGCTTAAGTATTCTGTACTACAAACAGGCTTCTATCCCGAAATCGAGCGGCTGCAATCACGTAACCTAAGTGATTACATAAATGTGGCTCTGCGTCACACAGCTCCTCCGCAACATCATCAAATCTGGCTGAACTGGGCATTGCGCGAGATCTTCACACCGGAAGATGCGCGATATCCGAATGGTCCCAAGGTGGCTACAGGGTTGTTGGAGCTGACCAACCTTATACTCTACCGCGAGCCCGTCATCGATGCTATACGCTTCACCCATCGGAAGCATCCTACTTACTTGTACGCATTCGACTATCGGGGCGAGCATCACCGCTTTGGACACTTGCGCAACCCCCTGCCTTTTGGCTTGGACGCCACGCTAAGTGATGACAGTATTTATTTGTTCCCCTATCCTGAGGAGGTGAGTCAGCTGAATCCTGAGGATAAGACTGTCGCACGCGCCCTTGTCACCATGTGGGTGAACTTTGCCCAGACCGGTGTACCAAATCCTAATCCCGGTGTTTGGCCCAGCGTCAGCTCAGAATACGGTCCATTTTTGCGCTTCACCAACTCTAAGGAGAACACTTTGGAGTTGGATCAGCACTTTGGCGAGGGCATTAATGTTCCTAATCTGTATAATTTCAACATAAGTACAACCAATGCGACGACAACGACTGCTCGCACTCCATATGCTGCACAGTGGCCTCGAGAGCCAGCTAGGCAACCAGCCTGGGAACCACCCACAACTACGACAACCGCCACCCCCGTTCGCCCACAGTATTCCTATCCAAATTATCCACAGTGGCCTAGGGAACCAGCTAGAGTGCCAGTTTGGGAGCAACCTGAAGACACAGTCGATGAAACAACAACGACATCAACTGCTCATACACCATACAACTATCCAAACTATCAGCAACAGCCGCCCAGGCAGTCCAGTTGGGAGCAACCATCAAACTCAGTTGAGGAACACGAGCGCGAACCACCCAGAGAGCCAAGTAGGCCTGCCCCATCAGATGCAGGGCGAAAACGCCCAAGCGACTATCCCAGCTACGAAGAATACGTTAAAGCGCAAGAACTTCTAAGGCAACAACTGATACAACAGCATGAACAACTAAGGCGAGAACAATTAGAAAGGGCTAAAAAGCTGCGGGAAGAGCAAGAGATAGAGCGACAGCGGCAAGAGCAGGAGGAGCAGGAGCAAGAAGAGCGCGAAGAAAGAGAAAGACAGCAACAGCTTCAAGAACAACAAGCACGTGACCAGCAGGAACGTGAGCGCGAAGATCAGGCACGAGAAGAACTGGCACGGGAACAGCAACGCGAACAGCAACGCGAACATCAACGCGAACCTCAAGAACAGGAAACGGATCCTTATAATAGGGGCGAACAACCGGGCGAGCAAGAGAACAACGAAGGGGACCCATATGACGACTATTTGAGAAACCACGATGCGCAACCCGAGCAGCCACACGAATACGCCGAACACGAGAACCCATATGCGGGGTACGACGACTATGCGAGAGCTCATGAGGTACAGCCAGAGGAGCCGCACGAGCACCCTGAGCAGTACTACCCTTACCCCCCTCATGATCAGTCTGAGGACGAGCCACCCTACGGAGAAGATGATCGGACCGATCAGGACCACAACAATGCGTCCTGGGACCCTTCTGATTACGATATTAATGATAGGGATCAATATGAACAGCAAAATCCGGATCCTTACGAAGAAGACGATGAAGCGGACTTCGTTGACAAGACAAGAGTATCCCAGCTATAATCGTAAAAGGCGCAATGCCCCAAGATATATCAGACTTTTGCGTAAAGTTCGGCGCTAAGGGCTGTACAGCCTATCAGCCATAAAAAGAAAACGTAGCCATAAAATAATTTGCAGACACCGGTATTTATTTTTCTACTTGCTAAAAATAATTCTTTTAATAAATATTAGTGTCTTTTTCTACTTGTATTCTCGATATTTAAAACCGTATCTTATTGCGGTTAGGCCTCTTGATTAGACTTTTACGCACATCCCGTTGCTTCATTCTGCTGGCGAGGTGTTTTCGGCGTACCGCCCTTTTGCGACTACGCAAATAATATATTTCACGGATAAGACTATGGCCCTGTTCCTCGTCTTTCAAAGTAGCCGAGAACTCGTTGAAATAATTGCCCCCGATGGTAAGTGTTTCATCAATTTTCATATAAGGCCCATACAAGGTGGTCATGGGCGGCCAATAGCCGGAGCGGTAAGAGCCCAACGGATTGCCTGTGATCACAAAATTTGTCCAAAGCTCGACCATGCGATGGGCCATAGTCTCATCGGGAGGACTCAGGCGCTTAACATGATCTGGGTATGGAAACAAATACAGCGCCTCATCAGTCAGGGAAACTCCTGCTTTGAATGGGCTTTGCATATTCGTCTCCTCATCCATTTCGCGGTAGCGATTGAATTCGCCAGCGTAGTCAAAAGAGTATAGGAATGTGTTATCTGGATTGTGTTTGTTGTTCATGTTCAGGGCCAGCAGGACTGGCAATTTGTGGTTTAACGTGCCAGCCACCTGTAATAAAGCCAAAGGTTATTCAAAATTCTTTACCAACCACTGCCATTTTGTTTACTCACGTCAACGAGCCGAGGTATGAGCGTATCGAAGGTACCGTTCTCCAGGAGTTGGCGGTTGAAGAAGTCGTGGGTTACGAAGCTCGTCAACAACATCGTCTTATCAGTGCCAACGACCTGGCGTATCACATGGTCTATATAATTGTAGGTGTTGTATTCATCGTCTGGGATTTTACCCTCAAAGTCGTTCTCTACAATTTCATTGAGCACCCGAGTGCCCGCGTTTTTGGGACAACCACCTAGTGCAGGATATGAGAAATTCGATTCCAGCATGAGATCATAGGGATGCTTGGGCAGCACACCGCTTGGTCCCCCAATGGTGAATTGAATGCCACCAGTATGGCCAATCCCCAGGTCGGATTTTTCCAGCTAGCCAGAAAAAAGTAAAATTAGTAAAGTTAATGGAGTTCTATTGAAACTCTCCATTTACCGCGTGCTCCATAAAAGCCGTCAGCAACTCCAGTGCAGACAAATCCATTAGGCAGTTGTTGAGATCGCGAACCGTTACCATCTGACAGTCCGCCTTTTCTGCTATCTCTTGAGCATGCTTCCGCGGGTTGTCCTCCAGGAATATGGGCATTATGGCCGAGCCTGAGTGATAGATCACTTGATGAAACAATCCACGTTGCACCATTGGCGAAAGCGTCAGGAGATGCGCAATCGCCGCGCCACCCACTTGACCAGCCACGGTAACACGGCTTGGATCGCCTCCGAAATACTGAATGAAGTGTTTGATGAATTGCAGAGCTAAGAAAATGTCGAGGAAGCCCGCATTGCCGGGTATGTCGTCGGTCTTGGTTGAGAGGAAACCAAACGGTCCCAAGCGATATTGCGGGGTTACTAGCACAATATCCTTCTCCAGCAAATAGTCCGGTGGGGCCTCCGAGTTGCTTCCCTCATACAAATACTCGCCGTGGATGTAGACCAGCACGGGCAGCTTAGCAGTTACATTAGGAGTGGTAATCGTCATCGTTAGACAATCCTCCACATCCAGCACATCATCTAGCCTCCGCAACGAGTCCATGGAGACCACTGAGGGGCAGCCGATTTTCTCCGCTGTTGCATCCATTACATCCTCCCAGGGCTCAATGGGGCGGGGAGGCTATGAACAAAATTAGCTTATTATTCAAATAATTTAACTAATTTATGTTTGCAATTAGGCGGTGTTTTCGGGGAAATAAATATCTTTTGCGTCTTTGTTAGAAATTTTTGAAACTAAAGGATTGCCTTTTTAGTTAAATACGACAAAACCCAATATTGAAAAAAGTCATATAGGAATTGTTAAATATAATTGGTGGCCTGCTGTTGACAAAGAAATTAAAAAATTGATTATTACATGCCTTCCTTCTTTAGAACTGCAACAATTAAATGTTATCTTATTCCATGGAAGTATACAGACCCAGTTTGGAGTAGAATTAATTTTTATTGTGCAACATCTATAAAAAACCATTGTTTACTTGTAGGAATAGATTCGTTTTCGAAATGGGTAGAATTCTATAAAACCAAAGTTCTGCGGGATTTCAAATATTTAAAAAAAAACAACAATTTCACATTATTGAACAAATCTTTCCATGCAAGTTTTAAGAGAATGGAACTGTGAATTGGCATTATTTAACAATTTAAATTGATTTCTCATTGATTATCGAAATTTTATTTATTGTACTACAGGGGAATCAGAAGTAAAATTATTTGTTGGTCCTATTTTAAAAACAAGGTTTACTAAACCTGTCTTTAAAGACACGGTTAGTATCAGAACAAATAGTAAAACAACAAAGTAAAAGTATGGTTGATTATAAGGAAAAGCGAAGTGTAAAGTTTTTTAAGAGCCAGAAACTTATGGTTAGATATACAAACACCCTAACAAAGGTAGTTGGATTGAAACAAAAATAAGTCGATTATATTTTTGTGTTCTTTCTCACAATAATCGAACAATATAGGGAAATGAAAATGTGAAAAAGAATGATAATTCTTCTTTGACTGCACCAGAATTTTATACCACGTACGGGAGGAAAGGTTGTCAAGAAAAACAAATCGAAAGTAATTAATGATTTGTAATTCATATGGTTGTTTTGTATTGAAGATAATTAATACAATTGCACATGACGTAAAAATTGTATTTTTGTAAACTGAATTGAATCGTTAAAAAGAATAGCTGAATATTAATATATAGGTACATACATAATCTTTGGGAAGATATTACGATTTATTTTGTATTTTTAATTAAACTAAAGTTAAGCCTGTAAGTAAGAAATATAACTGAGAAGACACACAGAACGTAACGAAGCAGCGATGAATAAAGATGTTACAAAATGGATAAGCCTCGAGTAACTTATTAATGCATTACACTTATATTAGCGGCTACTAAATAAAGCATGAGCAAATATTTAATTATGCCTTTTAGCTAACTTGATAACTAACTAGTCCAGCATTTACAAGAAATCAGAAAGTAGCAAGTCCACAAAATATGCATATGTATACATTTTTTAGCAGCTAGATGGGAGAAATCAGCATATCCATATTCGTCGGTAGACGAACTTGTAAATACCGACTTCATGAAACAAAAAACCGTTTTAGCATAAAGGTTTAGTATAGAACTCTTGCGAATATTAAATATCCATATAAAACAAAACGAGTACAATATTTGTCTGCAAACTCTTTGCCAGAAAATAAAATAAGTGTCGATAAAAAATACCACAGTTGAGATAAGCATAGGAAACATGAATACAATTAAGATCAAATCAGACAATATTTGTAATACCTAGTTATTTATCAAAACAATGTCAGCAAAGAAATTATTTAATTGATTCGGTCGGTTAAATTATTAAAATGAAATGTAATTTAAAATGTTCTCTTCTCTCTGGTGATATTAAATAAATATGTGAGCCGGTTTCCATCTATGAATAGAATAAAACCTTACACTATCAGACAAGTGGAATTGAAAATTTTCAGCATAAAGGAACAAGTGTTATTATTCTTAAATATTATTTTGTTATCTGCCTTCGGAACCTCTTCTTTACTATATACTTGTATATCGCCTTTCGCACTTGTTCGTACTTACACAATTATCGTATTCGAGCGGAAAATATACGAGAGGAATGAATTAACATAGAGACGATGGTTTTAAAGCGATGATGCAAATAATTTGCATTTAACGAGTTGGAATTGGAAATTCCTAATGAGCGCAACAATAGCGACGGGCTAAGAGATTTAAATTTGACAGCCATTCAGCTTCTGAGCTTTCACATTAATTTTTGGCAAACCGTATTTTGAGTTTTGCTTTTCTATACTTTTTTGCATGCTTTTGTGAAAACGAAACCACCGACAAGCACTTGTTATTGTTAATAATATTAGGGAGCTGCTAAAACTGTTCTTCCACACGACATTCTCTGATTCTTTAAAGCTCCATTAATTGATCAGAGTCTTTGATGAGTTACTGGCTTTGTAATTTTTGGAGAAAGTTGCCACTTTTTAGTAGTAACGGATTTTTATGCTTTCACACACACACACACACACATACACACACCTTGAACCGATACTTTCCCGTTGGCGGCTCGGCATATCGAACATCCACAAACTGCAGGACCTCCCGCTTGGTCCAACTTGTCTCGAAGGTCTTGCCCTGAATGGCGCCCAGCTTTGGCAGCTCGACAATGGTGTCTGTCTCCTCGTCGTAGCGCTTGCCGCGCACACGGGCCTCCACAAGGACCAGGGTCAGGGTCAGGGTCAGTGCCAGACCGACTGAAAACAATGGCACAATCCCCATGTTGAGCAAATTCTGATCTATCTGCTGATCCTGCTATATCGGAGCAGCTTGGAGCTCTCTCGAACGCGCACGAAATTGGACTGAGCCCGCCTGAGCGCCGCCGAAGACATTTAGTCCACTTTGCCAGCTCCGGTCCAACTAATTTTGAATTTCTCCCCGTGGTCAGCGCATAGATCATCGGCATACTTGGGAGAGATATGCAAAGAAGAATTCGCGAAAAGAGACACAAACGAGATACAGAGCTCGACACTAGCGCCAAATATAGACACTACTGTGTTTTAGATATGCAAATAATTAAGCACGGATTTCGTTTTACGATCTTGTTGTCAGTTTCGTTGTAAGTAAGGGGGAAGAGCGCTGGCAATTAGTGGCCGGCATTGTTGGAGACGACAACGAAGAGACATCTTGAAACAATTTCGTCAGCTGCTGACGTCCAAAAAGGTTTTGGCCATTAGTCAACTGTGCCCGCATGTTGGCTTATAATTAATATTTATTCTTTAACGGTTCGACTTTGGCAAACATGCGAGCTCGGCTATTTCATACACAGACCACAGTATATGCGAAACCTTTCGCATCTTCCCATCACCCGAATGATGAAAGTTCCACGTTCTTCTCTCCTCTTTTTCGGGAAGCTTACACCAATTAAAGTTTCAACAGCTGCCGGCTACAGCATTTACTTAATTTAAATTTTAAATTGATTTTACGAAATTGTTGCTACTGGTTTTTTTGTATATACTATTAAATTAATCGGCACGCATCAAATATTAATCATCCAAAGCTGGGGGTGAAAGCATTAGCCCATGCCCCATGTTGCAATCGTGAGGCAGCTAATATTTGCTTCGCCAGTCGGCGGCTTCTTCAATGCCGAGGGCCCTCACCAAATGGGGGAATGAGACGATTTGCTCAGAAGAAATTTATACATTTTATTTATTCTGCTTTTTTACAAAAGCGTCCAAATTGGCTATGCGATGCTATTAATTATTTAATATGTCCCTGGCCTAAAGAAAGACCTACATTTTCGGGGCTAAGCAATTCAAATTGAAAAGATAATTATTCTTAAATAAGACTGGAAACTGCTGGGGAAGCAAGTGTGTTATAAGCTCTGCCACTAATTCCAATACCAACTAATTTTTGTCTTTATTTAAAACTATGTTAGCTTATTCGTTTTGAAAAGATAATTATCTCTATATATATAAAACAGTTTGTCCTGACTGACTGACTGACTGACTGACTGACTGACTGACTGATTGGCAATCAACGCACAGCCCAAACGGTAAGAGCTAGGAAGCTGAAATTTGGACACAAGATCCCTCTTATAGTGAAAGTGAGCACTAAGAAGGGGTTTCGGAAAATTCGAGCTCCAAAGGGGGGAAAACGAGCTCCAACGTTTGTATGAAAAATCTACAATTTTTATCCGATCAACTTCAAACTTAGTTTGTATATTCTCAAAAAGAATACAAAAAAAACTGTATACTTGGATTTTCAATATTTTTCCTGCGGCCTGAATAATAATGATTTTCCGGTGGAAAATTCGGTAAACGAAAAGCTATGTGCAATCAACGCACAGCCCAAACGGTAAGAGCTAAGAGGCTGAAAATTGGACACATGTTGTCTTCAGTGGTGTAGGTGAGCACTAAGAAGCGGTTTTGGAAAATTCGAACGCCAAAGGGGGGAAAACGGGCTCCAACGTTTGTATGAAAAATCTACAATTTTCATCCAATTAACTTCAAACTTAGTTTGTATACTCTCAAAAAGAATACAAGAAAAACTGTATACTTGGTTTTTCACCATTTTTCCTGGGGCATGAAAAAAGGGGGGTTTTCCGTGGAAAAATTGAAACACAATCAACACCCCACAGCCCAAACGGTAAAAGCTAGGAAACTGAAATTTGGGCTCAAGTATCCTATCATAGTGTAGATGCGCACTAAGAAGGGATTTTGGAAAATTCGAGCTCCAAAGGGGGGAAAAGTAGCTCCAAAGTTTGTTTGAAAATTCTGCATTTTTGAATCGATCAACTTTAAATTTAGGTTTTATAATCTATAAAAGAATACAAACAAAACTGCATACTCGGTTTTTCAAAATTTCTGTTGGAGCTTGAATTATTGGGGTTTTAATATTTATTCATTTTTTCAAATGAAAAGTTTGTGTTATAAATTTTGTCAGATCGATTTCAAATTTGGGTAATATAATCTACGTAACTAAAATTACAACTTTGCATTTAACGATTTTTAAAATATGCATTTTACAAATGCAGGTAGAACAAACAATACAAAATATCAAACAGTTGGGGACAACTAAGTATACATACACACACACACACATACATACATACAAGCAGCTGTTCGTGTAGTTGCGTGCAAACGGTTGAAGTAGCCAAAGCAAAATGTGAGACACTAATGTGTGAATGTTCATTTGTACACATGTATGTACATACATACATACATATGTATGTACAAAAGTACATTCGTCTTGCACTGACAGGGCAAGAAATGTTAATTAATTAAAAATTATTAACATTATAACATAAACATTTTTATGCTATTTTTTCTTTGTTTAGTACATTTGGCATAAGGAGTTTTTAGGACAACGGACTACAAGGGCGTACGCATGTTGGGCAGGGGGGACATTTCTCCCCTTAGAAAGAATTTCGCATTATGAATTACGCCAGCACCATATGTATTACATACGTACATACGTCTGTATGTATAGCATGTACATATGTATGTATGTACATCAATAAGTATGTATGTACGTTCATGCATTCCTATATACATATATAGGTTTGTATGTACAAGTATGCAGTGGGCTATCGAACACTGTTGTTTAATTGTAAAAAATAGTTTTCTATGGTTTCAAATCAAAATTTTTAAAACAACAACAACAACTTCAAGTTATTGGCTCGCAAATCTTCTTTCGTTTTGATCATTTACGCCTGTTCATTACATACGCAAAATGCCAAAAGTTTACAGTTACCGTACACATACAAATAAATTTGTATGTATGTATGTGTACAGTGTACAATCGAATACAGTATTATAATCAATAACTCTCAAACGATGTTTTTCGATGTATTTGTATTCGACATGTATTACGATATATCAACACAAGTATCGATATTTTCGATATATCGCATTTAATTTTATTATTGGGGTTTTAATATTTATTCACTTTTTCAAATGAATAGTTTGTGTTATAAATTTTGTCCGATCGATTTCAAATTTGGGTAATGTAATCAACATAACTATATCAACAAATTGGCATTCAACGATTAAAATATAGCAATATGTTTTTTACTTGCCATATATCAAATATCAAATAGTTGGGAACAGTTCGTGTCTATGTGTGCCCATGCATACATACATATGTACAAGCATATGTATCTATGCCTGTATATGTATGAAGCATGTAAATACAAAACAACAACAACAACTTCAAGTTGTTGGCTCGCTCATCTTCTTTCGTTTTGACCATTTAATGTTAATTGCAAAGGCAAAACGCCAAAAGTTTACAGTTACCGTCGCTAAGCAACGACTGCGTATGCGATAGTAAAGCAGAAACCGAATAACGGAGCTACGCATATTCTGCTTCGCATTGCGGGCAGATGTATGTATGTATATGATTTGTTCTTATCGATCTCAATAAATAATTAGATTTTATTAATTAAATATTCTGCTTATTGCATTCAAACTTCGATATTTTGATGGTATCGGTGGCTTCAACTATCGAAAGTTTTTCTCTAGCAAATTGAGATGAGAATTGTCAGTGCTTTTTGATCGTGGCTCATCGCTGCACGGCATTGACACGAGTGCCGTGTTTCATATTCCGAGTTTGTGCGTGACCGTATTGACTCAAATGTGAATTTAAAATTAGGATATACCCTTATAATTATTCCCCTTTTTTGCACATAGTCTATCTTAAAACGATGCGTTATCTCTATATATAAAACAGTTTGTCCTGACTAATTGGTGATCAACGCACAGCCCAAACGGTAAAAGATGAAATTTGGACTCAAGTATCCTTTCATAGTATCCATCATAGTGTAGGAGCACACTAAGAAAGGCTTTTGGAAAATTCTAACTCCAAAGGGGGGAGGTTTAAAAAAATATTAGTTATAGTGGTCATGTTCGTTTAAAGAAATAGTTTGGCAAGAACAAAAATGTAACGGACTACTGAACAATTTTTTGTCAAGAACAGAAAATGTTCATTTAAATACCTTAAATGCCTTCCTACTGGTAACTTATAAGGTGAAAACATATGGGTAGGTTATGCACACACAAAATAAATACAATTGGAAACATTATATTGAGCCGGGTTAAGACGGGCAATACCTGCTAGTTCCTAAATAAGACTGGAAACTGCTGTGGAAGCGAGTGTGTTATAAGCTCTGCCACTAATTCCAATACCAACTAATTTTTGTCGTTATTTAAAACTCTGTTTTATCAATTCATCAAAATTGAGTCAATTTCAGCTGCTCTATCTACTTCCTTTCCAAGGGTACTTCTAAATCTTATTCATTACACATTTTAATGAGCTTTTAGAAGAAGTTCCATCGATTGCCTACTAAACTATTTTGTTTGTAACGGAATCATTCTTTTAAATAACTTATAAAAGAAATGTAGTTCAAAGTAATTAGAAAAGAGGAAATTCACACACATTACGATTACATTTAGCGTCCACCTATTACCCTACTGAACTATTTTTTCTACCTTTAAAAAAATTAACGAATTAATTAACTTTTTGTTGCCTTTCGTGTGGATTTATTCTGAAACAATCGCGCGATAAGTTTGACCCTTAATAAGCTCTGGTTTCACGCTGTTTTCCCCTTTAAAAGAGTTTACAGTTAATCTGAAAAAGCAATCAATTTGTCCATATACGTCAAAATATATGCATATGTACATACTCGTATGTGAGAAGAATCGAGTGACTCGGACGCGTTCTGTCATAGCCAGTTGCTAATAATTTAGAGCATGTCTCTGCCCGTTTCGTGTGACGCGAAAGTCGAGACGCTTCTTTTGGGCAAAAATGATTTATGACCGTAAAAAATAGAAGCGAATTAGAAATGGTATTATTAATTTTTCCCGCATGGACAACAATCGCCGTATCTTTTTATCTCATTCCGCCGAACAAACAAACAAACAAATATAAAACCTTGCGGCATTCACATAGCTGCCTCATTCTTAATACATAGTTTAACGTCTCTTAAGAAAGTAAATTCGTAACAAGTAAGTATCTAATTGAAGTACAACTTATTCTTGAAATGGAATTTTTGTTATTTATTTAAAATGTTTTTTGTTTTCTTTTCTTGATTAGTGGTTTCGTGCCGGCGATTTTATGTGCAATTTTTGGAATTTCAAGCTGCCATTTGTCTATCAGTATATTTTTATATACCCTGTACCCGTAGGGTGAAAAAGGTATATTAGGTTCGTCCGTCCGTTTGGATGAACGCAAGGATCTCAGAAATTATAAAAGCTGAAATAACCAAAGTTGGTATCCAGATTCTCCTAGGTCCGAGAAAGGACAAGTTTATTTTATTTTTTGGAATCAGTTTCCCTTACACAGAATTTCGATTTCGTCGGTCTTGTTCAACTATACAAGTAACAATCTGTCTTGCTTTTTCCTAATTGTAATTTATGTTTGCTTTTATATTTTCACTTCATTTAAGCAGATTAATAATGTTTCCGCTTTAATTTGATTGTGACTTCAGGCATAGCTGGTCGGAGGAAGCGAAAGTCGATCAGCGAGGATTCGTTATTGGATGTTAATGTAGTTTTGATAGTTTTTCTTTTCACCTGACAGGTTATTTCTTTATATTTTTCTATTCCTTAAAAGCCTTGCAAAACAAACTAGAACTGATTTGGACTTGCTTGGCCAATACTGATTCGTTTCCTTCTTCGTGTAAAATATTAAGGCTGAACACCTAGTTTAGTTGTATTTGTATTTGGCTATAAGTTTAATTTAAGTTATAAAAATTACAATATAATTAAAGAAATCATGTAAAATATCGCCCTCATCTGTGATTCTCCTGGAAAGGATTTGAGTGAAGCACCTCGGGCTGTCCCATAGCTGATTTAGGAGTAAATTAAAAGAAGCATCCTCATTCTCCAATTTGGACTAACACCAATACCTAATTTAATCATATTAGTTATTATAAATAATTTCGACCGCATTTCAAATATCACCCTTCTCTGCGATTCGCTCTGTCTGTCTTTTATGAATGAATGTCTTAAATATGGCACAATAATGAAATTTGGCTTGTTTTCGTTGAATTAGTGTTAAAATTGTGACCTATTTTTATTTTTCGCCAAATTTGTGTTCACATTAGCTCAGGAGATATTCAATTCTGACTTTAACGGACAAATGTGTTGACTTATGAACATGTCAGTGACATGTTTAGAACATAAATTCTGGGATAATAGAATAACTTTCTATGATCCAGCAAACTCTGTTTTCACTTATAGATTTACTTTGATAAAACGCTCTTATATCATCACTAGATAAAAATGATTAAGCTATTTATAAGATCGTCGAGTTTTTTGTCATACTAAGGTGCTGGTTTGGCTAAGTTTTGTAGCCAAAGGTTTCTTTTGTTATCTTATAGATTCACGTTCAGAAAAGTTATAATATAATCACTAGAGTAAAAATTGATTAAACTATTAAGATGATCTTTGTATTTTAAAATCCTGGTAAAAGTTGTTACACTCCACAATAATTATAAATATAAAAAGACAATCTCGTTTATTTTTCAACTAATATTAAATAGTTTTATTTGTTTCTTTCTGTATACGTCGTTTTATCATTAGTAGTTAGTTTATTTTAATTTATATTTTTATATATAATATGCACTATAGTTTATGTTTTAGACTGTACTTTTAGTTTACATGGTTTCCCCCTAATTTTTTTTATAGGTTTATAAATATGTGTTTGATCTTTTTGTTTCTTCTATTTTATTGGTATGTATCGCATTTCTCATCAAAAATTAAACACACAATGTTCGCTGCTTTATAGAACTAACAGAGACTTTGACAATACAATTGTAACTGAATAACTGTAACAAGTCGAATCTATGGAATAGCCCCTGTACCCATTTGGTTAATTTTTTGAATTGTCGAAATGTAACTTAAGGTATAGGTAGATTTAGATAAATTAATTGTTTGTTAAGTCCTTTCTCAGAACGTTTGTTCTATTGGGGGTTGTGTGATTTTTAAAAAGGTTATTTTAACTTTTGAGAACTTCATTATCTCTGTATAGTTCATGAGACAAATTTGGTTTGCTTTTTAAATCTCAAGAAATTGTATTTGTTTTATGGGAGTAATTATTTGTTTTTATCTTAAGATATACATTTAATTTTCTTTGACTCTATGAACAAACACTCTTATCTTAAGATAGCCTGAAAGCTGTTTATGTGTTATTTTGTATACCAAGTAGTATTCAAGATATACAATTGTTGAATGAAATGACAAATGGATATTTCCATATCTATCGATTTGTCTCGTGATGCTGACCAGGGATTAATCTAGCTTTCTAAAATCATTCCATATATGGGTACAGGGTATACAAATAAATTCAACAACACCATCTTAAATGAACTCAATAATTGCACAAACATTAAGAAAACTTCAAGTCGTGTACAGGCCGAGAAAACCGGAATTTGCGTTTAGCTATGGTCAGACAGACAAAATCCTAGCAGGCCTTAAACAGCAAATCAAATAGAGATTTTCCCATTTTCAATCTGCTTTTGATTGAAATACAAATATTTCAAGCATAATTAAAAGGTTTGACAAACTTGTGTGCAAATTGTTTGCCCGCCTGCGCACAAATTTTAACTAATTTCACAGTTTGTACAAACTTTGTCATTCTAATCATTGTTCGTTTTGTCGTCTGTCATCCTTCAGTTAATCAATTTGCTGTACATACATGCTTACATAGTTAAGATATTTAGTGTAATAAATAAGTTTAATTTAGCATGAATTTAGTTGCAATAAATTTAGAATAAACTAACAAAATAAATCTTAAATTTGTTACATTTCTATATGCATATGCATTGCGTTATGGTGTGTGTGTGTGTTGTGTGGGTTTGCGAAATTTCCAATAAGTGGCCTAAAGTTTGGATGTCGCTCCCCCAAATACTGTATAGTAGTACAGTTAGCTAGGACATTACATACCCTATACATACATACATTTATATCAACTACATATATACAAATTTAGGCTGCCAGCGGCGTTTGTTATGTGTCATAATCGTCCTGCTGGGAGCTAAAGTAGCTCACCAGTCCGCTAAATTCACCGATGCCGGCACCAACGCCGGTGCTGTTTGCTACGCCAGCACCAACTGCCCCTCCACTACCATGGGCCGAGCTTGAATCCTCCTCAGCTGCTGGAACCGGCGAGCCCGAGGCTTCAGCGACCACGGCCAGCGGTGATTTGGCGCTGGTATAACCCTCAAGGGTGGTCAGTTTCTTACTGGTAATCACCGAAGATTTGTGCGAGGCATCCATGGCGGGTGTCGGGGCTGGTGATTTGCCACGCGTCAGGGCTGAGACCGAATGATTAGTGGGCGTGGCTGGTGGCGCACTGACAATTACCGAACTAGGTGCTCCAAGGGCGGGCGGTGTGCCTAGTGGAGGCGGTGGTGGATAATACCCAAAGGGTGGATAACCGCCTAAAATACACAAAAATTGTGATATTAAAATAGATTATTTACTTTTATGTGCAATTTCAAACTTACGTGTGCCTGCAGCAAAATCCACAACACCGGGTCGCATATTTGTAGCCCCTGGCGGTGCCGCTCGTGGCGGATAGTTAGGATTACCATAAACGGGCGGACCTCTGCAAATGGGAACAGAAGAAAGCGTAAAGAAATTATATTTCAAGGAACTTTAATCGACCCTAATTAAAACTAACTTGTGCTTTTACTAGAGATCGGGGAATAGAGGATAGTTCCAAAAATATCTAACCTAATAAAAGCAGGTGGAAAAGCTAAAGCCGGGTACTCCGACTTCGAAATAAAAAATAAAAATATTGAAAATAATTGAACCAAAGCAGCAGAGCTTCGGCAAATATTACATTTATATTCCTAACAACTGACCTATCACGATAAAACTTGATATACAAACACATTAACATCATTAACCAGAGGTGATTTCCAAATTAGAAAGAACTGTTCCTAGATTTAGGGAAGTTATAGGGAATCAATAGTACTTGTACTATACATATACATAAGGTATCTGCATGCAAAATTTTGTGTCTCTACCTTTAAAAGTCTCTGAGATCTAGGTGTTCATACGGACGGACAGACAGACATGGCTAAATCGACTCGTTTTGTCAAAACCTTAACACAACTAATTCTGTTTTTACACGGTTGTGATTTAAGACGGTTTGAAAATTAAAAATTTTATATACGATGTACAGTGTTAAAATATAACTAGGTGTATGCCCTTGGCCTGAAATAATTGATTGAAAGCTTTTAAGGGCAGCTTGATTAATAAAGTTTGGCGTAAAAATGGCAAAGTGGTGGAGGTGAAAAAGTAATTCTAGTCTCTTATGCTCACTTACCTGTAGGGGTTTATATGTGGTGAGGCATGCCGTGCCGGTGGCGGACCAGCGCCATAAACGCCAGTGTTTGCAGTTGTGGGTCCAGCACCAGCATGGTGCTCCGGACCGTGCATGTAGGGTGGTCGTGTATTGGGCGGCGTGGCTGATGTTTGGGGTTGTGGAGCGCCACGCAATGGCGGCGGCGGCCCGTATGTAGGTCGCAGAGCGCTGTGCGGGGGCGGCTGTAGGCCGGGCGGCATTTGTGGCCGCAGCAGATGACGGGGCACAGAAGAAGGTGAACGTGTGCCGCTGGAGTTGGGGGGCAGTGGTTGTCCGTAAAAGCGCGCATGTAGTTCAGCGCTGGCCGGATACATGCTGGCAGGCGGACCGCGGACATGCGGCGGTAGATGCGGCATGCGTGTGATGACGGATGCCTGAGCGGCGGCAGTGGCGGCCGCATTTTCATGTGGCTTGAAGAGCTGCGACTGTGCGGTGGTCGTAATGCTCACTTGGGTCGGGGCGGTTGACGAGGAAGCTTTGGAGTGGGCAGGTTTCTCGATCGGAGACGCTGTAGTTGTTGTGGCGGCGGTAACGGCTGCGGCGGTTTGTTGCTTTTGCAGCTGATCTCGCAATGGGGTTACCTTTTTTCGCCGACCGCGTGGCTTTGCCTCACCCGCTGGATCGCTAGTTGGTGCGCCAGCCGCTGCTGCGGCGGCTGTGGGCGGACGCATGGAAACAGCTGCATTCATTAAATGGGCAGGGGGCATGCTCATGCTGAGCGGTACACGTTGCATGGCGGATAGTTGGTGTTGTGAAGACGGCACAGTTGGTGATGCGTAACTAGGTCGATTAAGTGGCTGTCCGAAGGGGGTGGACAATGCACTCTGAAGCAACTGCATGGCTGGGGGAGCGGCAGTTAAATCGCGTTGCAGCATTGGATGCATGGGATGTGGGTGTGGCGATTGGTGATGTTGTTGTTGCTGCAGTGATGGTTGCAATGGAAATTGATGCCGCAGTAGTGGTGGTTGTAAGGTTGGCATGGGAAGGCGCTTGCGTAGAGGCTCCTGCAAGCCTGAGGCAGAGACCGCTGGGACTTGGGGTTTGGGCGCTTCTTCAGGCTTGGGGACTTTTGATTTGGAGGGTGTTGTGCGCAGCACTTCGTCAGGTGCGGGAAGTTCGCGTGCTGCCGCCGCACTGAACTGCTCCTCATCGTCAACCATGCGCGCTATGGCATCTTCCATGTCCATTGCGCCCAGATCATCGGGCAGATCGGCATCGTCGAACTCAGATTCGTCCACATCATCGATGTTATCGTCCAGATCACCAATGGTCTCGCCTTTGCGCTGCAAATAGTCAATGTCGAGCACCTTGGCCTGACGAATGACGGAAAGGGGAACTGTAGAGAGCGAATCGCTTGTCTTCCCAGGTGTGCGTTTCTCCGTCGTGTTGCTACTGGCGCCCGTTGTATCCTTGATAGGCGTTAAACGCGGGGTGGCGGCCAATTTCGCACCCTCGGCATTTTTTTCGGCCAACATTCGTTTAATCTCTTCCTGTTTTTGTATAAACTTTTGACGTTCTTCGGGAGGGGTGTCGGGACGTTTGACGCCCGGTTTTATGCCGCCATCGGAGCTGTCGTCGTCAAAGTCCTCAATATAGGCATAGCGTCGACCACGTGTGCGCCGGGTGCTGTCGTCAGATCCGGCTCCACCTCCACCATCGCTTTCATCGTCGGATGAGGGTCGCTTCTTTTTCTTAGTCGCTGCCGGAGCTTTGGACTTTCCTTTTCCTTTGCCCGCTGTTGATGCTTTTAGTGGCTGCGTACGTGGCTGTTTGCCAGAACCTTTACCCGAACCCTTTCCAGAACCGCCTTCAGCGTCCTCGTCATCCTCATCGTCTTCTGGCTCTGACTCGCTGATGTCATCATCGGAATACTCCAGACGCTTTGGCTTCTTGGTTTGCGGCTTTTTAAGCTTTGGCGACTTGCGCGCTATGCCGATGCTTGATGGTTTTTTAGCAGACTTTTTGCGCTTGGATGGCTGCCAAGCACCGTCGTCGCTCTCGCTGGTGGTATCATCACACAGATCAGCACTGTCCATATTCTCTGACAACTCGGACCCATTGTCGTCTTCATCCGTCTCGGTTTCGGTTTCCGTATAGTCTGAGTCCTCCTTGCGCTTTTTTTTGCTTTTTGGTCGCTGTTCCTGTTCGCTTTCATCACTCTCATCCACAACAAATTTGCGATCCTTGCGGCGTTCGCGTGCCGCTCGTCTTGCTGCCTTTCGTTGCTTTTTGCCGCGTCCGCCACTATCGCGTCCACGCCGTCTGTATAATTCCAGACTCGAGTCCGAGTCATCGGATGCGGAAATGGATGTATCCTCATCGTCTGAGAAACTTGATGTTTTAAAGTCTTCATCGGAGCCGTGATCCTCTTCGGAACTCACATCTAGAGTGGTGAGTTTGCGTGACTTTTTCTTTGTCGGTGGTGGTTTGGGCTTCGACTTGACGGCTCTAAGCTGCTGGTTATCAACTTCATTATCCTCGCTTTCAGTGTCCTCTTCATCAGCTAGAGCAGCGGCTGCTAAAGCAGTGTTACGAGGTGCTGTTTGTGTAGGAGCCTTAGTGACATCATCATCTTTGTCGTCCGTCTCAATTTTTTTTAGACGCGCCTTCTCTTCCTTGTCAGCTTCAATAATTGTGCTAATATCCTTGCCACGTCCCAAATTACCAGCGCCTGCCACCTCATCCATCTCCTTCTTCAGCGCCGAGTTGATTAGATCGTCATATTCATTCAAACGATAGCTAACATTAATCTGGCGACGCTTGCGCAGCTTATATATGGGTTCATTATCAGAGTCTGAATAGCTGGAGCTGCTTGAGCGACTCCCGGAACCACTGCCCGATTGGCTTTCACTGCCTGAGTCACTACCACTGCCCGATTCATCATCATCGTTACGTCTGCGACGGCGCGTACCACGCTTTGCAGCGCGACGATTGCTGCGCCCATCGCCACGGCGGCGTTTCGACTTCTCCGCTTGCTTGGCTCGCTTGGAGGCCTTGCTGATGGTATCATCATTATCCTCGCTACCGTCGCGACTGCGTCCGCCTTTGTTCTTGGTATGCATTGAACGCTCACTATCGCCGCTGTCACTATCACCATCTCGTCGCTTTGTTTTACGCGCCGCTTTCTCACGTAATTCCTCCTCTGCCCGTCGCTGCTGCTCCAACAGATACGCCTCTTCGGCCAGACGCTTCTCCGTTTGCTTGCGCACGACTAGCTCGTCAAATTCTTGTAGTTGACGCTCTAAAGCGCTTATGAGCTGCTCTTGCTGGCAAGGCGGACAATGCCAGTCGCCCTCTGGTATGTAAAAAAGTACCGGAGACAGACAGGAGCAGTGATAGCCCTTGTCGCAAGTATCACACAGCAGTATCCACTCGGGATGGTCGGATTTGCCGCATTTCTGGCACGCCTCGTCCGCATCGTATGGCTCAGCCTCGTCACCTTCTTCCTCGGCGTTCTCCTTGCGCACAGTGCGTGCCCGTTTCATTGGCACCACCTGTGACTCATCCTCCAGTTCGGATTCGGGTGAGAATTCGTGATCAGATTTGAACAAAGGTGAGCCCACATCGGTTTCATAGTGGGGCGGGGAACCAGCTTCTGATTCAGTATCAGCTTGTTCTTCGGAATCAGATGACCAGCCATCTTTACCTGGACATTTCTTTTTGGTTTTCTTCTTTGTTTCTTCGGCTTCGCTTGCTGACTCCGAGGACTCGCCGGAAGGTTCGAGTACCGTGGGATCAGCCTCTTTTTCGGCCTTCTTTTTCTTCTTCAGCTCTTGCTTCATGGTACGCAACGCCACTTCCTCCAGTTTTCGACGTTCTGCTTCCTCCTTAATCTTTTGCTGCGCTATGCGACGCGATTGGCGCACAGGCGTCTCCGCATCGGTTGAATCTATGATATTGGTGGTGTCTACCTCACGCTTTTTACGCGGCCCGCGTCCACGCCCCACTCCGGATGATGCTTTGGGCGTGGCAGGAGTTTCTTTGCTCTTTTGCTCTACGTTTTCAACCTTGGGAACCACACTTTTTGGTTCCTCTTTCACTTCAGCCGGTTTCTCCGGCTTGACTGTCTCCGTCTCCGTCTTAGGCTCTTTGGCCTTATCAGCAGGGGACTTTGTTTTGGCAGATGGTTTTGTTATCTTTTCATCCTCTTTAGGCTCTTTTTTGACTTCGGGACTGGTCTTCTCACTGGGTGCTTTGTTGCCGCCTCTTGTGCGCTTTGGCTGTGGCAGCTCAGAGTAGACTACGGCAGCACCACCTCGTCTTCCGGAACGCCGATTTGTCGCAGACGATGCCTCTAATGGGGGTGTTGGTTCTTTAACAGGGGCTGGAGGAGAACAATCTTTTTTTGCGGGTGGCGTTGTGGTAGTCTTTTTCGCTGGTGGAGGTGTTGATTCTTTAACTGTGGCTGGGGCCGAAGTCGCTTTTTTCGCGGGCGGCGTTGTGGTTGCCTTTTTCGCTGGTGGAGGTGTTGCTGCTTTTTTTGACGGTGGTGGTGGAGGCGTGGTTTCCTTTTTGGCAGTTGTAATCGTTTGTGCCTTTTTCGCAGGTGGCGGTGTGGCTGCTTTCTCTGATGTTACAGGTATTGAGGCATTTTTCGGCTGTGCAGGTGGGTCTACTTTTGCTGCCACCTTCGTTGTTTCCTTAGGCGATGGCACAGGCCCCACCCGTTGCTGTGTTGCTTCCTTTACTACCGTCGTCTCCTTTACTGACGATGTAGGAGCTGTCTCCTCTACTATTTGTTCCTGGCTATTTCGCTTTAGTTTTTCACTAATTACTGGAGTTTCGGTAATGGAGGCCCGCCGTGGACTTTGCGCTGCTTCCTCACTACTGCGCCGCTTGCGTTGACGCTCTGGGGTTTGTCGATCTTCCAGCACAGATGGTACGACTGTATTGATGGGCTGAACTGTCTCGCTGATCGTACGCTTTCTGGGTATGGTTTCCTCATCGCTCTCCTCCTGACGTATTTGGGTGAGTAGATTCTTCTTTAACGGCTTTGTAATAGGCGACTTTTTTGGCGGTGTAAATTTTGAGGAGGACGCTTCTTTGGGCTCTACTGCAGGTGTGCTCTCTTTGGATTCTTGTTCCGTAGTCGGCTTCTCCGGCGTTTTCATTAACTTCTTTTCAATGATCTCAGCCAAGGTAGGTTTTGATGACTTTGCCGTTCCAACCGGTTTCTCAACACAAGTCAAATGTCGCTTGGGTGCTATGATTTTGCGTCGACTGCGAGCATCTTCTTCGCCACTCGAAGAAGTTGTCTCCTCGATTTGGGTTTTCTGCGCTTCGACTTTGCGCCGTACATCAACATTCGTGTTCTTGGGTCGCATTTTGATGCGTTTGCCACCCACATCCAAATCATCATCGTTTTTATCATCATCCAGATCTTGTAGCTCATTTTGCTCAGTATGTGTCTCGATCTCGCTCTCGGATGTTGAGTGGCGCGGATGTTGAGAAGGTGCCGCGAAATCTGTTAGTCTGCGTTTGCGATTTATCGGTAGCGTGGGTGCAGTAAGTGTTGAAGCTTGCTTTTTTAGCTCGTCGCTGACATCTGCAGGTTTCTGCTGGGTCTCGGCAATAGACTCTAAGGCTGAAGATTCCTTTGCCTCTGCCTGCTTGTCGCATTTGTTAATTAATGAATGTTCTGTGGGCACAGATATAGGAGATTCATCTGACTTGACTTCACTCTCTGATTCAGTGACTACTTTTTCTAATTCTTGGTCTTTATTTGAAAGTTTAGGTGCATCCTCCTCAGACTTGAGGTCTTTGGAACTGCATATATTTTCTTCTGGTTTTATAGCTTTACTCTCATCGTGATTGTGCCGTGGTGCAATTTCGGTTTTCTTTTCAACAGCATCATTTGCCTTGCTATTTGTGCATTCTTCACTAGCGTTACTTTCTTCAATTTTTTTTTCAACCTTAGTATGTTTTGTAATTTCTTCTTTAGGCTCCTTTTGTTCCAGCATCTTTTCAGGCGTATTAACGCTAACTATCTCTGTTGAATTCTTCGTCTCAACAAAATCTTTTCTGATGCTAGGTAAAACTTCAGCAACATCTTTCTTGTCTACTTTATTTTTTGCATTTGTCTGTACTTTTTCTTCTATTGCTTGATCATTCGAGATTACAGTTTCCTTTGATTTTTTACTTTCCTTTTCGTTTTCATTTGTGTTTAAAGTTTCGCTTTGAGGCAGCTCTAAATTCAGTTCGGCGTTGTCCTTATTATCATCGTGATGTATTTTTTTCATTTCTGTGGATAACTCCTTCCCGTTACTTTGCTTTTCTTCTGCCTTTTGTTCATCAACAGCAGATCTCTCAGCTTCCTCACTAGATATCTCTTCGGGTTTTTTGCTTTCGCCATTCGTCTTCTCTGACGCTATTTTGTCTGCATTAACTTTTTCTTCTGCCTCTTTTAGACCTTCAGTCGATGTTGCTGCCGTTGGCTCGCTTATACTATCGAATATACTTCGTTTTGTTTCCTGCTTTGGGTTCTGTTTAATGGGGCTCAATTGTAGACAACCAGGCTCGCCGAAGAAGAATGTTGCTTTGGGCTCTGATTGCACTTCAGTGGCTTCACTAGTCACTTCAGTTTTGCCATTGCCCACCAGGCATTCAGCACCACAGCCCGTTCCAATTACAAACAGCAATGGTTCTTCGATCGCTTCTCCGACCGGATCTTCAGTTTCGTTCGTAGTAAGCGCTGCGAAGAAGCTCGATTCATAGTCCTCGGGAGCCGCATTGCAGTCACGTCCAGCTCCATTTCCGCGAACCACCAACGTGGGCTCTTCAATGGCTTCACCCACTTCATCATCATCGTCTTCGTCGCCTTCATCTTCAATGTCATTGTCTTCATTTTCATCATTCTCAGCGGCTGCGCTATCAATGTCCTCTTCCTCCTCGCCATCGACATCTTCATCATCGTCCTCTTCGTCATTAACGTCTTCATCCAGCTCCGATTCATCACTTTCCTCTCCCGACTCCTGCTCGTTTTCGTCCTCTGATTTTGTGCTCTCATAGCGACTCGGCTTTTTGATTCGTTTCGTGTCCAGCAGCGTAGGGCGTTGCTTCTTTTGCTGATCTTCGTGCGATGTTGGACTGCTGTCCACATCGTCGTGGGAACGCTTCTTTTGAGCTGCCGGTGCTGGCGAGCCACTTAACTTGGCGTGTGTTATAAGTAGGGGCTGGAAATAAAATCATTAGTTTTATTGTTGTCGAATGATGGGTTACACCATAAACGTACCTTGACCTTTTTGATTTTATCTTCCACAGTTTCAGATTCTTCCGTAATTCGGGGACTGTCTGAATTAGGCGTGCGCAGCTTAATTTTTAAATTGGGCACCTTTGCCGTTGTCTCATCCTCTAGCGAGTCGTCTTCCTTCTCTTCTGGTGGCGGCGGCTTCTGCACGGGAACATGACAACTATTGCTACTACTTGTGTCCTCATCTGCTTCCCCAATATCTTTGGAGGGCAGCACAACTTCATTGCCGCGCAAGCGCGCGATGAGGTTTACAAATTCATCCCGATTGGTGGCCACCACCTGCCATATTTCTTCATCCAGGTGCTCCTGATAGATACGCAAATTGCAATCATCGTCCTGAGTTAGCCAATACGAGTGGCCCAGGCGATCTCTTCCAATTGGCTGTGCCCGCAGTGCATCAGCATTGAGCGTCAGTATGTGGGCTCTAAACTTAGCATTGCGCTCAAATTGACTCTCGAGTAGTTCCTAAAATGATTAGGCAATAAAATATAGGTTATGCCGTGTTATCAATAAACTTTATCACCACTTACGCGAAATATGCGTAGCTTGACCTTCAGGCTAGAGTTTTTATAGCCAAAGCGCTCAATTTCCCAAGCATCCTGCACCGAATAGCTGAAGCAGAACTTGCTTAGCGCTGATTCCCAGCTCTTCTCGTGCACCGTTTTGCGTGTTTTGCGCAAAAGCTTGATATGAAGATCGCGTAGTTGATCGGCCACTAGAGGTATACGTTAAATGATGAAACTTTAAACTTTATTGAACAATAAGCCCTACATTTCTGTGAAGGGTATAAATGTGAGGCAAATGCATCGACGAGTCAAAATGCTCTCTCTTACAAATACGAACACACACGTGTAAATGTCGCTCTCACGCTGCCAAACAAAAATACAAACACAACTCGCTCTCGCTATTCGCCTCTCTCGCTATTGCTGATTTACACGCACACACACACATACGCACCTTCATCATTGTTTGTCAACCACTCCTGCAAATGCTTAAAACTCGGCAATGTAATGCCCAAATCTTTAGCAAATTTTTGCAAAAACGCACAAATCACTGCAAAATCGGGATCATTTGCACAGGAACGCAATGTGGAGCTTAGCGCATCGTCGTCTTTACACTCGTCTGAGGCTGCCGCTGCAGCCGTAGCTGAAGACGCCGCCATTTTCTCATGCGTCTTTCACAAATTTATATGTGTATATTTTGCCACTGAATACAACGCGATTAAATCGTGTAAAACGCACGGCATTTGAGCGAATTTCACGCGCATATATTGCACAAAACTATATTGCATATTTTAAACACATCTTCACGCGTTAAATGATAGTTTCACATGGAACAAAACTCATTTAAAACAAAAATGAAAAGAATTAAACTAGAGGTAGGGATGCGAGTAAGACATCGATGCACCAGAAATATCGATTTTTGGTGTCCGATTTATCGGTATATTCTAAAAATAATATTCGATATACATATGTATGTATTTGTGAATACATTTACAGTTTTGTTAGTCAATAGTTTATTATTGGATAAAAAACCCAAGAGCTCCATTATAAATAAATACATTTATATATGTATGTACATGAATTATTCAATCATATTAAGGAGCCTCTCGGTATAATTTATCCGCCAATTCCAGTACCGCCATTCCCTAGATTAGTAATATTTGTGTGAAAAACACCATTAAATATTCGTAAATATTTGTAAATGTTTATACATTCTTGAAACCACTAATTTCTAGATGCTGACGAAAAATTCAAACCTGCTATACAAAATACCTTAAAAATACTAGATTTTCGATACCGCGAGCGAGTGGGTGCAGGCATCGTTTCTCTGTACAACACAAACAAAGGGGAAGAAAAACAGAATGAAAATAACAAGCAAATAGAAAACAACAAAGACTACGACGCTAGCAACAGAAGCGAATTTAATTTATCAATATTTAATTTAGTGCAATCTACTGCGAATTACAGTGTTTGTATTTATAAAGCAGTCTAAAAGTGCATTAATTACAAAAATTAAAAAAAGGAAAACAAATATACATAGCACAAAAATATAAAAATATTTGAGAAGTGAAAGTGTGGAGTACAGAAGATTTAGCTCATCATCTGGAGCGAAATGGCAGCATATCAAATGAATTTCAATCAGGATTTTACGTAAGTTCTAACAAAATTCTAGACCTCTTACCCAGACCCAACAAAAAAAATCACAAGAAAGCCTTGGTTTGAAGAGAAGGTCGACATGGCAAAAAAATAATATACAGATACTAAGAATAACGAGTAAACAAGCTGAACAGCTGCAGGGTGGGATGGGATGGGGAATCTGAATAGCTCCAAAATGCAGGTGTGTGTGTGTGTGACACACTGTTCGTGCAAACAACCAGTTTTAATAAGAATGACATACATTTATTATGAAATAGTTTGTTATAGTTAACTTAATGTTGTTTACTGCTGTTATAGGGGAAGGGGAAATGACAATAGACACACATACTGACAAAGGTATTAAGTTTGTATACGCAAGTTGAATAAAAGAATATACATATGTATGTACATACACACATTTGTACGTATCTGGTATCAGCTGATGCTGCTCGTCATTCAATTCGCAACTCTTGCCAGCTAATTAACTTGTTTTATTTACCTGGAGCTTTGTTGTTTCTTTGTGGATTTCATTTTAATGGTATTCATCCGTTAATGCTGATGTCATTCTGTTTTAGTCAGAGTTTGTGTTTTCAACAATTACCGTTAATGAATTTGCTCTCTTTCTCTCTCTCTGCCGCTCCCCTGTAACAAACTGCAATGACGCAGGCACTTATTATAAACAAGAACAATCAATATTGCTTGTATGGTGAAAATCAAAACAAAAAACCCACGCAGAATAATAAAAAATTGATAACACATCGCAAACAAAGAGCTCGATCCTATTGAAGAAAGCACACACATACATATGTATGTAAATGTTAGAAAGAAGTGCTTGTTATTCTAATCAGTGATAGGCCAAATTAAATTTCAAAACGAGGGCAATGCACGCAAATAAATACCTACAGATGTATGTGTTTTAAAAACAAAAATAAATAGGGTAGATTTTATTAACATCTTATTTCAATCAGCTGTTTCAAACAAAATTTCCTGTGACAAAAAAATCTGTAAAATAATACAATACAAATTCTGCAAGCTTCGCAGAATATGATCAGACGATTCGTAATCAAGAATTCAACTTGATCAGTGATTTCGAATGGGTACATATGAATGTATGTATCTTTGTTTTCAAAGCATTTTTTATTTTTGTTGAAATCATTTAGCTCAAACGACTGAATAGCAAAATTATTTATTAAACACAAACCAAACGGTTTTTAAACAATATCAAATAGCGATCAGGAACACCCTTGTGGTTTGTTTTTGTTGTCTTTTTGGCCCGTGCCAGCTGTTAATGTCATGCACACTGTTATTTTTGTTATTGTTGTTATTGCGTTTTCACGCTTTTCCTCGCTTAATGTGAATGAACGGCGGTCGTGCACTTTTGACGTGCATGCCCGCAGAAATTTTTGTTTTGGCCCTTATTGTTGTTATTGTCAGCAATCCCCCCATTCGCATTCGTCAGCTTTTTGGTCATTAGTGTTGGTAGTTTTCATAAAGACGTAGTTCAAAATATTATTAATAATAATTACATACACACATAAGTATGTACTATGTCGATGTTAGTAAACAACAGAAGAGCGTTTGCTTTTTAAAGCGGATGAGCGGTCGCAAACAAGGCCGTCGCTATCGTATTTCAAAAAGGGGCCTATATGGCAAAAACGACAATGCACACAAGGCAAACTGACCTTGAACCCCTTTTTCGACGACTGTGACGCCAATGGAGGGAAACTAGTTTCGATTTTGAGCAAAACAAATAGCAAACTAAAAGCAATAAAAAAAACTTTGAATCGGCTGAGCAGACACGTGTTGCGCTCTCAGCAGAGCGTACGTACGTACATAAATTGAGATAAAATATTAATCGCGGCCGTACGCACAAACGTGCTTTAAATTTAATTTACTAGTCATTGTCAGTAGCATATACAACGACAACAACAAGTGCTATCAAATGCAAATGTGGTCAACAATTTAACTTAAATTTTAGCAAGAGTGAGTGAGACGAAATGTCAGCGCCATTAATTTTGAATTGCAAACTGTTGATTGGCAGCACTGCAAAGTAATAATAGTGCGAGTGAGACGAAGGAATGGCGCGAGTTTAAATAATAAACTGTTCTTGCTTGGCAGCACTGCACTCGTCGTGATTTTTCCAACACATGACGCGCGAGTAATGTACCAAAAAATACCAAACGCCCGCAAGCGCATCCAAACGAATGAAACAGAAACAATAACAAAACGCTTGCAAGACAATTTGACATTGAAAACGTGACAATTGCATTCTAATTGAAACGAAGTGCTTGCAATTAGTGTGGAAAAATCAATTACCAGCGCACAGCACACATGTAATGGAACAGCGTGCAAATTTTCTGGCACTGACATTGCTGGACGCCCTGGAGGATGAATGCGAAGCGGATATTTTCGCCATGTTGGATCGCAATGTTATCGATGCCTCCGTGGTGCCCTGTGAGCGCGGCCTAGCGCCGCTCCACTATGTCTGCGGCATGCCGAACGTGGAGTTGGCGCATCGCATACTCTCCCGCTTCCTGGAGAGCCAACAATTGGATGTGAATGTGCGATGTGATGGGAATATGACGGCATTGCACATCGCCGCCACCTATGGACGTGTGGAGTTGGTGCGTCTGCTGTTGCAGCATGGGGCACGCGTTGATTTGGTTGACGAAGAAAACAAGCTGGCCGTGCATTATGCGATCGAGGAGTGCCATTTCGAGGTATTGCAGCTGATGCGAGACCACATATTTTTGCAGAAATGCGCACGGGACAAGGATAAAGGACCGCATCTCGAGCAGCAGAAGACCTCGACGCCAAAAAACAACATCAAGTACAACTATGATGTGACGTCGCCCTACTACATCAACATCACACATCGCCGCTCCAAGCCGCAGCCCAAGTTTCCTGATGAAAGCGATCGAGCTGAGCAGGAGCAGTCGCTGAATCTTTTCTCGCTGACGCGTGAGCATCTGGCTGAGCTTACGCAGAGTCAGAAGGAGCCAGTGCCGACCTCAAGACGTTCGCTGATTGAAAATTGGCGCGAAAAAGTCGAACGATCCCGTGTACGTCAATCGCAGCTGCAAGCAGAGCACGTCGAGGCTATGGTGGACAAGGCGCTGGCCGAGGAAGAGTTCAGTCTGCAGGAACACTTGCGCAAAGCACGCATCGAGGGGGCGGCACATGTGGTGGTGTTAAACACTCAACCCGAGTCGGCAAATAAGAGTCTCGGTTTTGAAGAAGCCGTCGAGCAGGTGGCTCAGGCGCCTGTTCTCGAATGCAGCTTCCATACGGCGCAGCCCGAAGGAGCAGAGATAAACACTTCAGAAACTTGTCGTGCTGGTCTGATACGCTCACCCAGACAGGATGAGTACTTCCTGCAAATGACAGAGGCTTATGTGCACACCGACGATGAGAATGGTCTAGTTTTTTACGAGACGAAGCTGCCTCAGAATGGCAACAGCAATGTAGCAGCAACGACGCCGTCAAAGACGCCGAAGACGCCGGCAGCTCTTAACAGCACAGCCAGCAGTCATTCGACAAATTTGACACTGCCGCTGGACTATGAAACGGATGAGTTGCGTGCAGAGTTAACTCAATTTGGTGCGCCCGTTGGCCCTATTACGCATACCACTAAGCGACTCTACATAAAGCAACTCATTAAGTACAAACGCAACACGGAGCAGATGCTGGAGTCCCAAAGGACTCAGTCACAGTCGCAACTCAATAAAATTAAATACTCCGTGGAATTGCATCGTACCATGCGTTCGGCGGAAGATTTCAGTCGCATTTGTGACTTTTTGCCGCATGAGGCTGCCTCGGCGGCGCACTTTGCCAGCGGGGCGCAGGTGCGTACTATGCGCGAAGGACATCTGAAGCAGAGCTTTATCTATATGCTGATCGATCCGCGTATTTCCCGCAACTTGCCGGGCGAAAGCGCCTTCATTGACAAGTTTAGTGTGTGGAAGCGCTTTCTGGATTCCATTTTTTATGTCGGCAAAGGAAAATCCTCGCGGCCCTATGCACATCTCTACGATGCCATGCGTCAGCACACACGTGCCCATCTCCAGCAGGTGCAGAAGGCACAATCCGTCAATGCCCAGGCAGGTAAGCGTGCGGTGTCCATACGAAAGCAGCCGCTCCAGCCGGATGTATTTAAGTCGCCACCACCGGCCAATGCGCCGCCGGCCAGCAAGAAACTGCAACGAATCCTCGACATATGGCAGCATGGCTGCGGCGTTGTCTGCCTGCACGTTTTCCACAATATTGTGCCCACGGACGCGTATACGCGTGAGGCGGCCATTATAGACGCTTTGGGACTCACACATCTAACCAATTTGAAGCGCGGCGACTACTACGGACCTGCCCAATCCTGGACCATGAAGCAGAAGAAACAATTGGGCATTGCTTTGCTCTACAAGGCGCTTCACATTTACTTGGCCGAAGGCGAGTCGCAGCTGTCGCCCAGCGATTTAATTTAGAGCCAAATATTTTCCAGTTAGGCAATACGTACAAAGTACAACGAAATGAACTATTTTTTAACCACTACTTAGCTTGATCTCATGCCCCAGTTTACAGCACAAATTAGAACAAATTTAATTAATTATACAATTTACAAAATAAAATGAATTTAGTGAAGTTGAGGAATAATTGTCTTCATAAAAACTGATTAAATGTTATAAGGAGGTAATCGTTTATTGGGAATGTTTGTACAACACAGAAGTAGGCAAAATATACTCGTATGTATATATTTTTCATCAATTTTTCAGTTAGCTTAGCTTTCAGGAAGCTTTAAATAGAAAACTTACTATACAGTTTATGCTAAGGGAAAGAAAAAACGAGCTTATGTTTATTTTTCAATGCATCCTCTACTCATTAAATGCGTTCATATATTCGTGGGTCTTGTCTTAAAATTTGGAAATAATATACTGCGCTTATGTGCTTGAATAAATATTCAGTTTTCATTCTCTTAGAACTTGTTTATTATGTAAAATTATTTTTTCATGCTTGGTTGTAGGTCTAATAACGTAAAGTGGCCGGATATCCAATATATTTCCGACGACTCAAAAAAGTTTATTGGATATTATTGTAGTTGGCTTAAAATTTTCATATTTGCAGTTGAACAATAACTTTAATAGATGTGCATTTTTATAAATGTTTTACAAAGTTAAATGAAAATTCAAATAACTGTGTACGTTTCATGTGTGCTATTCATTTTTTGAATGTTGCGCCCAGCGTGCGTAAATAAACAACACTACATATGCGTCTATAGTTGTTTCACTCGCACGCACACACATTCGTAATGCCTACACTTTGAACCGAAAAAGGGGCCGTAAAACAAAATTTATATTATAAACAGCGCATTTGCCGATATAAAACAAGCATTGTTTAATATTTTAATACATAATAAGTATTCATATGTATAGTAAATTAGACTTGCTTATAAGTATAAACCATACTTTTAAACTTATTACCTCACTTGCATTAAAAGTAAGACCAACATAAAACAACAACACAAATAGTGTATTGTTTTTGTTGTAGCTATTTGCTTGCATTTTCAGCCCTTAAGGTACAGACAATGGGGTAAGAATGCAGGCAAACGCATCCTGCACTTTTTGAGAGTTAACGAAGCAAGCGTAAACGTTTACCATACGGTTGCTTGCAGTGTGAAGCAAACGAATTTTTTTCACTTGCGTATCACTATAATTCACAACCAGTTCAGGCAGCTACTACATGGCGTGCAAGTATGTTGGGATGTTTAGGTTATCTTTGCGCAGAGGCGATATCGTAACCAATGAAGTTCTACTGAGGTGCGATTATTGCTAGTTGAAAACTTTAACCAATACCCCGCCATGGGGACGTGAAATACCGTCCACTACGGCAATTTTTGCAAGCCCGAGAGGGCTAAGTAATAATAAATTTCAAAATGATTAGTTCTAAAATGCACTTGTAGTTGGGATTAAGAGAGTGGCTTATTAATGAGGCGCGATATTTTGACATCCGCTAGCCCAATCTTGAAGAAGTATTACCGTACTTCTTAAAGTGCTTAAATCTAAGCTACATTTTTCGACAAATTTGGTTGAGTATCTAAAGCTGGGGTTCTTAAATTAAATCTTAGTTATCTCGTTTCTGCTGCATTTAAAATGAATCATTCATTTTTAGGCAACATACCGATTGCTTTCTGGTTGACTGCCATTGGACCTGTCTTATGAGATCTATTTGTAGTTCTTAAAACGATGTATTTTTTTATGAGTTATGAGTTTGATTTGTTTCACCAATTTCGAAGAGATAATTTCGTTATGAACTACAACTTTAATTTTATCCTTGCAGCTCCCTCTCCGTACTGAGCGCAAGCGGGTTGCGTCTGTTCTCGATTGCCGGACAAGATAAAGTGGAGGAGATCTTTGCCAAGGACAATACGGAGCAAATACGGATTGTGGAGCGCCTCTTCAATAGCTCGCTGGTGGTGCTGGTCACTGCCCAGAAGCCGAACTGCCTGAAGATGCTGCACTTCAAGAAAAAGCAGGACATCTGCAATTGCTTCTATCCGTCGGAGATTCTGTGCGTGCGCATGAATCGGCAGCGTTTGATCGTCTGCCTGGCCGAGAGCATTCACATACACGACATACGCGACATGAAGATCCTGCATTCCATCGAGAATATAGCGCCCAATGAGCTGGGCCTGTGTGCGCTCTCTCTAAACTCACATCTGGCCTTTCCCATTAGCCAGACCAGCGGCGAGCTACGCATCTTCAATGCGAACAAATTGCGGACCGGCATGACAATCAAGGCGCACGATACGCCCCTCTCTGCGTTGAACTTCTCGCCCAGCGGCTCTCTGCTGGCCACCGCTTCGGAGCGCGGCACTGTGATACGTGTGTTCTGTGTGAAAAATGGGCAGCGAGTCCAGGAATTTCGTCGGGGCGTGAAGCGTTGTGTGCGGATCGCTTCTCTGGTATTTGCCGCTGGCGGCGACTTCTTGTGCGCTTCCTCGAACACAGAGACAGTGCATGTGTTCAAGATCGATACGCGCGCCGTCGAAACGGCTGAACTGAAGGCTATTGGTGAGTTAGGTCTGTGCTTACACATTTCTGCCCCTACTACAATCTTTCCTTTCATTTTGCAGCGGAAGTGGCCGCCAAGTCGGAGAGCAATGCTAAAGAAGCTAACGCTGATACTAAAACCGTTCCTACAACAGCTGAGGAGGCTTCAAGCTCCCCACCTTCGTCTTCCGGAAGCTGGGGTGGCATGCTGTCCAAGGCCGTCTCCTCGTTGCTGCTGCCCTCGCAGGTGAGCGACGTTCTGGCCCAGGATCGAGCTTTTGCAACCGTAGTGTTGGCACAGCCGGGTCTCAAACACATTTGCGCCTTGACGCGTCTCCAAAAGGAGCTTCGGCTGCTCATTGCCTGTGAAGATGGCTTCCTCTACATACACGAATTTAATGCTGAACGAGGTGGGGTCTGCAAACAGCTGGCTGTGCACGATTTGCGTGGAGCTCTGGAGGGCGTCATCGAACTGCAATTAAGCGAGAGCGTTCTGAAGACGTCCAAGCCGGGGGCGCCGACAGGGGCGCTGCCACAACAATCCATGACATTGCTGAAGAGCTGCGCGGCCAGTGTGCTCATTGAAAATCCCGAGCCAGTGCCGGACAATAGCTATGCGGGTATACTTAAGGGAGAGCAGGCGGATGCCATGTCTGGTAGGTGCTAAAGATGCTAAAGCGAAATCTATTACAAAAGTCGTCTACAATAAACGGAAATGTTTCTGTTTCCTAAGGTTATCTGGTAGCTTTAGTGGTCTCAGTTCAGAGTCGGAATTCTTTTTACAGGGCTGTTACTGTTTGATGCAATGATACTGAATGTTTTTCGAGAAAGTTTTGTCTTTTGGGCAACAAAATCGAATTCACTTTGACTAATTTTGGCGAAAACGGATATTGAAACAGAGCTGAATATGTCGAAAAAGAAATTTAAACGATCAATTAGTGAAAACAAGCTCCATATAAACTATTTAGTTATCTAAAATATATCTCTTAAAAATTTTTCCATATCGGCCAACTATTTAATCGCTGGTAAAAGAAAGAATGAAAGTATGGAAAGAAATCGCTTTTCAGCATTTATTGTCCTTAGATTATAATTATTTGTCAGAAGAAGATTTATTCACCCTTTAACCATGCAAGTAATTTGCATAACTCTAAACAAACTTAAGTTTGCGATTTCTCGAATCTGATCTCCATTGGATCATGGTGCGGAATAAAAAAAAAAGCCGGAAAAGCAATTTCTCATTATTAAATGTACTTTTATCCAGCAATCAGTATCTCTGCTAAATAAACTGTAAATATTTCTAAACGTTCACTTATATAGTTCGTTAATATTATTTCAAAAAATTCGACCAATGAGTAGCTTGTAAAACGAAAGCAAAAGCGATCGAATTCAAACGGAGCTGTTCTTTTAAACAATTCGAAATCAGTTCGAAAGCAACTGCGATTGGAAAGGTATTCGGAAATGGAATTGCAATCATTTAATTTTTAGTTATCAGAAACATTACTAAATATGTATATAAATAAATGAATTTGCATTCAGAAAGAAATTGGATTCGCTTCATATTCAAAAAGTAGTCGGTATAGGCTTAAAAAATTGCTAATAAAATCGTTTAAACATACATTGTATTTTCCTTAATTTTACAGATTCCGCCAAATTTCGTAAGCTGTGCGATGCCATTGACACGCCGACGAAACTCTACGATGAGCGACAATTTCCGCCTGTTGCTATCGCTGCCCAGGATTGACCCAGGCGTCCGAAGGACATTGTCTTTGTCGATAAGTCGCAGATTGAAAATCTATAATTAAATTTATTTTAATTACGCTTGCTCTCTCCATATGGGAAAACACAAAAAAAGATTAAAAGTTCAAAACACACCCAAAAAAATTGTAATTTTTAAATTAATATTTTAGTTTTTTAACCAAAATACTCGACATATTCGTGCAACAAATATTTAAAAGGAAGTATTTTTATTTATTAGTAATAATTTAACAGTTTAGTAAGAACTATGAAAACCATTTGTAAATATTTGTAATTAATTATCAAAATTATTGTTACTACTTTGTGTTTGACTTGTCATTCCGCTGCACTTTCCGCTCTCACCTCAGCTCCGATTTATTTGTATATGTAGGCTATATACCTATAAAACTCTGCAAATCCGATTTCAACTAGCATTGAAATGTTCTCTATTTTTGTATGAAATTATATATTATAGATTAAATATATGTGTATGATACTTAGAATATATTCAAGAGAAGCTCAAAAACCCCAAAAAAGGAGAAGAAAGTAAAGAAGGAGGAGCAGCACTTAAAATGTACCTTAAAAAGAGCAACAAAAATGCGAATTCAATTAGCTTTGCGAAAATCGAAGCAAGCAATGATAAATCTAAAAAATATATATATACTATACATTAAAATATTTAAGAAATGTGGGATGCTCACAGCAATAAATAAGTATTAACTGCAGAGAAAGAAAGAGAGAAAGCAAAGGAAGTAAAGTAAAATATATACAATAAGGCATTTAAACAACAATTGTATTCCCAATAACTATGTACGCCCACAACATTGTAACTGAAAGAAAAAGCCAATGGAAAAAAAAACAAAAAATAAAAAACGAAAAAAGCGAAAACGCGAAAAACTAATGGGATGTTTTTAAATCATACGATAATTGTTCTGGTTTAGGGATTTGATTATTTTATTCAAAATTAATATTGAGTAGCAGAGAGTAATCCTTAAAGCAGAAGGGGAAAAGAGAAATCTCCCAATTATTCTGTAAATTTAGTGAAGCTAATTTTAATTTCACAATGAAATACGAAAATATGTCATTTAAATATAAGTGGGAGTGGATTTTATCTAACACCTGCTTACTTCACACAAATTCTGCAAAGCGGCCAAATGTATTTCTCAAAATAATTTAATCTATTTGTATTCATTTCAATTTAATTTTACGAAAGTAGAAAGTTATGGTCAACCATATAATTTGGATTCCATTTCACAGTTCCAGTAACGATAATTATTGAAGCTGCTACATAATATATTAAATGAAATAAGTATAATCGCTGTGAATCTTCCCGATTGCTAAACTAATGTAGAACTGATCTGCTAACCATTTTAAAACAATAATTTCATATACCATTGCCAATTTTAGAGGTAAATTGTTCATCGTCGTGTTCCTGCTGAGGGTTCGGCATCCTTTGGTGGTGATGATGATGGTGGTGGTGGTGATGTCGTTGATTCAATTGCTGCTCTGGTGGCGTTTCTAATGGCGCCGGTTTGTCATCAATTTGCGTAGACTTATCCACCTTCCAGCCCAGTTCGGGAGCGGTCTGTTGGGATTTCAGGGAAAACATGGAGCCGATTTTGCGCAATTTATCGTGCACCGAAGCCTCCACATCACGTTCTCCAGAACTTTTAATACTTTTGTTGGACACGCCAAAGGATTTGGATGAATGTTTGGAGCGCGTTGAATGCGACTTCGACGATTTCGATGACTTTGATGATTTGGAGGAGGAGTTCGATGATGAAGAGCTGCTTGAATCGGCGCTGGCATGCACCGGCTTAGTGGTGATCCAAATGCGAAGCGCGAACATAATTTCCGATTTAAACGCCTCACCTAGTGAAATCTAAAGAGGAAGTTATTGATGTTGCATTCACCTTGCGCTCACCTTCTCCTCAATGGCCACCGACTTCACATTCCATAGAAATTCAACAATGCCCACCACCATAGCAGCCATCAGACCCAAGCCCAGCACCAGAAACACACCACCGACATTTTCCAGACCCAATTCGGGCGTATCTCCGCCACCGGAATCCGTTTTCTCACATCTGCCTCCGCCATGCATCTCTTTCCACCATTTGCGCTTCAGCTCGGAGAGTGCGCCAAGCTCGCCAAGCTTAAGCACAGCCTCGCTGATTTGTTTGCGATACGGAGAATCTATATTAATATATAAAGAAACGATTTCGAAGCGATCGAATTAGGAGATCACAAAGATAAACAGTTCAGATATGTACTTACTGAAAGGCATGGCAATCCCATACGTTTTATAATCCAGCCAGCCGCCCACTTGCATCAGATCGCATTTACGTTCCACCACATACTCCAGCGTTGTGGATTCCATGAAGAAGGCATACAGGTTTTTGCCTTTTTGCACGCGTTCCACGCCCTCATCGTTGGTTTTCGTGAAGACCGAGGGTCGAGCACTGTCCATAGCTGCCCACATGCGCTGATAAGTGCTGAAATTTGAGTCCCGAAAGAAGCCCATGGTGGATCCACCCAGTAGCGCTCCATATTTGATTTTGCTTTGTGCTGCCAAATCCTCGGCGCTGCTTATGGAGCTATCCATGCGGGAGTTTGTCAGAAAGGCAGCCAAGTTGGCTGTGTAGGAGTTCAACATCATCAATGCGAAGAACCACCACATGCCAGTTACCAGACGCGTAGAAGCAGCTCTGCAGTTAATATTTCGGATATATTGGATTGGATATATCCTCAAATGGCATTGCAGTTCTACTCACTTGGGTAATATGTCGCATCCCTGACCCATGAGCGAGCCTATGGACAACCAGCAAGTATTCATTATGCTCCATATATTCTCCACCTCTTCCGGTTCTTTGCAGGGATGCGGATTCTCCCAGTCATCGGGCGCCATGCGGGCCAAAGCGAAGAGTAGCAACGATATGAACAAATATGCAGAGCCCATATAAATCCAGACATCAAGCGAGAAGGGCAGCAAAAAGGAAAACAGATCGGGTGGTGGAACAGGTGGTTTTGAAAATAATATGCTAATGCCGAGTGTCATAAAAGGCGGTGTAAAGTCAACAGCCTGGCGTCGGGACGAGGTCATGGTCAAATCACAAATACCCAGATCAGCGTTCTATTAGGAAAAGAGAGGTAAATGAAATAAAATGAATATTTTTCAACTCATTATTGTGCTTAAAAGATATTTAAATTAGACTTCATATGGTTATAACCCCACTTGTGGGTTGAGTTTTCTAGACTCCTTTGTGTAGAACTCTTGACAAGTGTGCCTATCGCTATGATAAAAGCTGCTTCAGACGAACGGAGGGGCAGAAATGTATATTTTTGTATATAGTTAAGATTTTTACACACCAATTTCCCCAACCATTTGAACCTAATAGTAACACTCACTCCGTCTAGTAGCTGCTTTACTATGCCATCCCAGGACTGAGTTAACTTATTGAAGCTGCCATATTTGCCGTCAGGTGCCAGCACGAACTCATATTTAAAATTTAGCATGCGAGCTATGTTATCAATCAGATCCAGGGAGTAGCCCTCGTAGCGCGCATTTCCCTGCAAAATTTCGCCTTCGTTCGGCTCTCGAAGCATCAGAAAGGGGGCACCAATGCGTGAAGAGATTATGAATGTCTTATTGGACAATTTCTGACCCACTCGCTTCTCGCTCTCTTCGTCATCGTTCAACATATCCAAACCATTGACGGGATCCCATGTGGCCAAGTCCAAAAAACCGCCTGCGTTCATTTCCATAAAGCGAAGTGTAAAGAAGTTGCGCCCTCCATATTCATTGAAGTCCAAGCGACCCGTAGCAACCTCTTCGGAGCGCTGTAATCCAGCAAATTACTAATCCGGTATCTCTCTCTCTCTCTCTGTAAGTAAAGAAGCTCAGAAACTTACCGCTTTCATGAATTCTATTATGCGTCGACCATGCGACCAGGCTCTTTTGCGTTTGCAATCAACCTCTGGTGGTTTCAGTTCCTCGGCAATGCCCAGCTCTGTAAGACTTTTGGAGAACAACCAGACCGCATCGTTCAGCAGTATCATGTTAGTTTTCACTTGGGTGGGTTGCACTTTATAGTAACGGCCCTCGCGTTTTTCGCGTTCCTCCCAATCGTGCACCACATTCTTCACATGATAGTCCGTGGGATCCATCAGACGTACCGTTGTTATGTTCGCCTGCACGCTAAAGATATCTCCCAGTTCCAAAGTGTGCGTATCAAGCAGGGGTATGAAGACGCTCTGCAATGGAAGGTAAACATTTCTTTCTAGTGAGGGGTCTTAAGACTTTCAGTTGCTTTGGAAACCTGATATTCGCCAAGCATTTTCAGCTCATTGGCCTGCTGTAAAATGCCCAAAAGTCTTTCGGGAGCGCAGTGCAGAATCAAACAGTTATCGGTGGATAGCTTAATGTCTTTCAGAAAGGGTCTGTGGTCGTCATCAGGGCCCAGCTGACGCATCGTGGTGGGATTACTGCTGGGCTCACCGATTTGCAAAATGTCCTGCAGCTGTTGCAGCTCTAGGAAAAGGGAGGTGTAAGTATTATAAGCGGCTCTTTTATCTTCCTAGTGCTTACCCTTTTTGGTGTCATAGACAACGGTAAAGCTACGCCAGCCAAAGCTTTGCACGATTTCGGCAAATCCACGAGCCAGGAGCAAATTGTCGGGATGCACATTCAGCGTCATGGTGGATTGTTCACGATCAGTGATGGCCTCATTGGGGGACCAGTCATAGACAATGTGCGGTACGTCTAGGGCGTTGCAAATGGAGGCTATAATGTCTGGAGAATATTTAAATATAAGGGGGAATGCACCATCTACAGCTATAGATTGAACAAACCTGAACTACTGCCCGTACTGGGTCCAAATATGGCAATGACGCCCTGAGATATAAGATTGCAAACAGTCTTCTCCATAATAAAGCTGTCCTCTGTATTAGCATAGATAATCAAAGGCACCAGTTCTATGCTACGCTCCACAACATTTGCACGATCCACGGCGGTACGAAACGCAATTTCCGCCTCATCTTTATCAGAAGTGAAGATAATGCCTAGAAAATAGGCGGCCGTATTGCAATATTGTGTATTTTCTATATAGAATACCTTGACCCGATTTACAAGCTACTTACCAACCATTAATTGCTGCCTGGCCATAGCCAGTTGCAGCAAACCCGCCAGAAATAGGGCGTAGTATATATTCCTCATTGAAACTGTACTTTTAAAACATTTTCCCCCACTTTCTAGATGATTTGCAGGATTTTTTCCTTAATACTATATTGCTGATGATGTAAAGCAAATAATTTGCAACTTTGATGCTCGGAGGTCTGCAGTATAATGAGCCAGCTGTTCAGCTGTTTAGCTGATTCCGTATAGCTAAAATTTATGCTAAATTTAAAAACATGCGAGCGTAAATATTTTGATGGGGTATCCCGCCGTCTTGTTCTCTCTCATTCATTAGTTTTTGTTTTGGTAAGCAATTTCTACACAGAGAGGTATTGGAAACTAGCCAAAGATAATGAATGTTTGAGAAAATATTTGATGTGCTTTTATTTTCTTCACGCATACAATTTGTAACCCCATTCGAAAAAAAGTCAAAAGGCAAATGAGTCGAGTTCTCTTAGACCTTCTTGCGCACAATGTGATCATAAAAGATCACATAGCCGAGCTTGGGGGAGTAGACCATGGTGCGTGAGGCGTTCTTCGAGTATTTGGTGATCTGATTCCCCACAGAAATGATCTTGTGATCACCCTTATGCATGAACAGAAGGCCATAGTCGTGATCGTGTAGCACACTGAAATTATCGCTCGGCGTATACTTCAGTATATTATAGTGTGGATTGCTGTAGCTCAGGTGATGGGGCATGGGCTTAAGACGAACACGCCCTTCAAAAACGCCGCGCCAGTCAGTGTGCTTGACGGCCTCTCGCATAGCGTTGCGCCAACTCATGTCCAGGTCCAAATATCCAGAAATCTCCGATCCGTCGTTCCTGTGGAACGTTGTAAAAACGATGCTCTGCCGAATGGGGACAATTAGTTTCTGTTTATTAAGGCGATGTTGGATTGCTCACCGTTAAAACCTTCGTTAGATTGGGCTTCTCACGCTTTCGAAACTCCAAAAGCACAGGATCTTTATTCTCTGGGTCCAAATAATCACCATAATACTGTATGCCCATTATTTTCGGCCTAATAGCTAGCAGGGCGAGCTCACGTCGTTTTTCGAACTCGTTTTCCTTGTAGGGCGCCTTGGTCGAACGATATCCCAGCTTAACAATATAATTGGTTATAGCCCGATTACCCAAATATCGGCGATCTTTTGTGGTTATGTACGAGTCGAGGTATTCATTATAATTCGCGAATTCCAAAACGCTAAAGTCCACAATTTTTTCGCCCATTTTTGTTTTGTCTGAGTGGCATTACAAATGTTATAAATAATCTCATCATAAGCCATTGCTATTGACCTACCTGTTTATGTGACTGGCTGTGTATGAGTTGTGTAATGCTTTAAGCAACAAAAAGTTTTAATCTCAGCCTGCCATGTTTCTTATATTTAAGTTTTAGTTAAAGCCAAATTCACAGTAAAAGAATTATAGTTGGGGAGTGATTAATAAAATAAAACGGACCGATAGGCACACCTACAGGGCTAGATCGCTTCTTTGTGTCATCCTGATCAAGAATGTAAGAATATACTTTGTGGGGTCTGCCACGTCTCCATCTGCTGCCTGCCTTTTAATTAATAATTCGTTTTTGCTATTCGTGGCTTAAACTTGGATCCCAACCTTCACTTCCCACCATACCCAAGCAGACTTCTGTCCTGTCTATGTATATCTTTAGGAATAAAGTAAGTCCGAGTAAGTCCAACTATTGCATACCCTGAACACTTCCCTCTTCACCACAGTTCTATAGCAGTTATATGATGCAGTGCACAAAATTTGATAGATAAGATAGGATAGGTCTCCACTTTTTTGTGTATGCATTAAATATTTATTATTTAATTGAATTAAGTGATTATTTTTTTAAAAATTAAATTTTAAAATATTTAAATTGTTTTTTTCTTTTTACTGTCCGACTTACTCGACTGAAGTGTTCTCTCTTGTTTAAGTCTTTATTTTGTTCACATTAGCTCAGCTAATTGTCGTTTTATTTAAAAACGTGTGTAATATTTTAATTTAATTGATTTAGAAATTAAAAGTGTTTTTGCTTTAACCCACGACAGTTACATCGGTTTTGGCTATAAAAGTTCATTTTCTTCATGGTCTACAAGATGGATAAAAATAAAAATTGTAAACTGGCTAATACAATGCTAGTTTCGATTTATTATTTTACTATTTTATTGAAATATTTTCATGAATAATTTGTTTTCCCTTTTTTCACCAAACATTTATTGCAACAGTATGTGGGATATTTGTTTCGTAGACAATGTTACATAATATTTGCCATTTACATCACCCATTTGGCCACAAGTGAACACAATGTTCGGTGCCATGGAGATTATCATTTATAATTTTATCATTATCATTATCATTTTAAAAATGGACCTGTGGTAGTCGAAACAAAATTTCGCTCCCGCCCCAGATCAGTTAAATACGTCCAATAACCTTCCGATACGTTCAAATATTGATTAATGGTATTTAACTCCGCCTCTGACTCCAAATGCAACAGATGACCACCCAGTTGCCTGCATTTATGGTCTGCTTCGAATCAATTTAGCTGAACATTTTCTTCAATATAGTAGTTCCTTGATCCGATTTTCTTAAAAGGTGCAATATCCACTGAAATCCCATTCGGTATTTCGTTAATTTCCTGGACTTGTGTTCTTAGAATCACATTCGTAGCTGCAAAAAAGTTATTAGGATAATAAGCTTTCAACTTTGATTCAGGAAGTTTTTACCGTTCAAATGGGAAAGTATGCTTAATTTTGTGAAACTTGTCTAGAGGAAGTTAACAAAGCCATGAATGCGATTCTGCAGTGTTCGGGATTTTGGACTCCGACACTAACTATTGCCATGCTATCGAAAATTTAGAATGTTTACATTTTCTATCTTTACGAACCCTGCCATTGAAAATGTGAGAAAACATCTGTGATTGGTTTCTGGAGACCCCCATTGCCCTTTTATAGCAAACTATACCCTTATATTAAAGTCAAAAGTGTACGCTGACTTTGTAAACGTTTCATGATGATATGTTGATGTTAACTCTGTGTTCAAATTTGAAATAGGACCCTGAATGAAAACGATATGTTGTAAAAAAGCTAAGAAATAGTTGTATATCCTTTGTTTCGGCAATAAACTAGGACGACATGAAGATGTTCATCGGTGTTTGTGAAAATAACCGGAAGTATTCTGCCAAGTTGGTGTAAGATTCGGGAAACAGATTTTTATCACAAGTTCTTAACAATATTTAAAAAAATTGGTTAGGATAGATTTTTGATTGAAATATATATTTTATCTCCTTCAATTGTTGACTAATGTAAATGTAGGGCAATTTATATAGGAAGAAGGTAGGTAAAAATATTTAATCAAGTGTTTGATGATATATTTAAAAGTGTTTTTTCTATTACTCTTTTTTTACCTTGTTTTTGATCAATTTTCATTATTTTATTTATTTCGTTTTTATGAACAATTGAAGCTGCTGGCATAGAAAAAATGTTTTAAAGGTCTGCAATTATTTGTGTAGGTACTTCATTGTTAAATCTGAAGAAGTGTATTGCTTTTATGATATTGTATTAATTTATTTAAACAGCAATCTTTAAATTTCTAATGCGATAATACTATAGATATATTAGTCACACGTTCATTAAAATTTTGTTAATTATTTTAAAAAACTCGCCAAATGCGGCTTTCCACTAATAGATTTGGAAACAAATACCATTTATTTATTATCTTGGCCAATGAATCTGTAAAGCTATTAGTAATTTATTAAATTGGGTTCATTTGCAAAGCAGTTATGTGAGTTTTCAAACGTTTGTTTATAACTCATTTGTGTTTTATTTTGACTAATGAAGCTGTGGGCGTATTTATGTGTACCTCTAACACTAGGAAACATCAAAAGTGCTGGTGCTGTCAAATTGTTGTTACACTTAGAAGATCAAAAAAGGCGCAAGCCAAACAAAGGCAAGAGAATCATAATATTTTGCAGACGATTCGAAATTCCCATGACAAACTCAAGAGGAAAATAAGGAAAAATTGCAAAGAAAATATACAAAAATGCCAGACAAAGTGCCGCCTACGTCACCGACAAGCTCTATAAATTATGAAGCACATCGGGGCGTTAAAGAGCACGCGTCACATATATACATAGGTGTATATGCAAGTATATAGAATATACATGGAATTTCTCCGACTCTTGGGAGAGCAGGCAAGTGGACCGCAGTCAGGCCAGGCAGTTAGCCAGGCAGTCAGCCAGGCAGTCAGTGTGCGTGCTGAGCGCTCCAAGACTGGATGCTACGATCGCTCGGGGCAAAGGCAAAAAATAGAAGAAAAAATAGACACAACATTTTCATTTAAATTTTACGTAATGTGTGTGCGTGTGTGTGTGTATAATAATTGGTAGCTAAAAATTAAGTCAAATAAAAATGGCCGACGCTTTTAGAAAATTCGATTAGAGTGTTAGAAATTAGGAGGAAAAACCAAAATGCATTTCAATCTCTGGCATATTTATGTATTTTTATGCCTAAAATCAACGCTGGTGTCTGGCAACGATGGCAGAACGGAAGTTAAAGTTGGTGCGTAAACAACAACAAATCGTTATATACTTGTATGTATAAATAAATTAATATACATACACATATGTATGTGTGTGTGGTCTCAGGTGCGATTTTTTATGAGAACGAAAAGGAAATCGAGTGGAGCTTCGATCATGCCTTCCACGAGGTAAACAATCTAAAGTTCTTTGAGCTGCGTTTCACGACCATCAAGCGTTTCATGCCCACCACCGACAGCTTTCTGTTACAACAAATAAGTACGTACTTCGAGTATACACGTACATAAGTATACTCGTATATGTAGCTCAGATTTATAGCTATAGCTAACAAATTGTCTTCTGTGTTGTTTAGCCTGTGAATTGATTTCCAATGGCGTTGCGGCTATTTTCGGACCAAGTTCAAAGGCATCTAGTGGTATGTGGACGCATATTTGAATTTTTCGGGGTGTTTTAGTGTTGAAAACATGTGTTGTGCTGTGTGTGGTTGTGTGGTCTCTTTGTAGATATTGTAGCGCAAATAGCGAACACAACCGGCATTCCACATATTGAGTTCGATTGGAAATTGGAGGCTACGCGTCAGGAGCACTTGAACCATCAGATGTCTGTGAATGTGGCGCCCACCCTCACGGTCTTGTCGCGTGCCTATTTCGAAATAGTCAAGACCAACTATGAATGGCGCACCTTTACATTGGTCTATGAAACACCAGAAGGTAAGTGAACCATATATACAAATAACTAATCAGTACGGAGGTGGTATATTGGTCTCTGATCGCTACAATTGGTTTATTCCCAAGGGAAGTCTTTTATCAATTATTAGCTTTAGTTAAAGATAGTTACTTCCCAGAACGCATCTGGTAAAAACCGACTTAGCTTCTCTTATTAGAAGATTCTCCAACTATTTTAGAGCCGGGTAAAAACAGAATATGTGTTCGGGAGTCTTCAGTTTCTATCTGTCGAGTGAGATCCGGACAGTTCCAATGAGCTCAGTCTCTTACTTCTTGTGGTGGTTAATAACAAGCAAGTGGAAAAATTAAAGTCCTGTGTGTAGATTAATTATAGAAATTTAAAAAAATTGGCAAAATTGAGAAAGGGTAAAGGGTACTATAAGAACTGCAGAACTATTGTTCGAAGATGCCTTGTATGAGTACGCAGGACAAGTGTATTTCAAAATTGACCTCCCTTTACGTGAGGTCGAATCCCAAAGAACGTATGATCGATCGAAAAACATTTCAATTTTAATTTTTCAAACTTCTATAACTGTTTTGCACAAAACCACCAGACTTTAGCTTTTATACTTGCTTTGTATGAGCAATGAAGCTGGAAAAATGACTTAGATTTGTAAGATGTAATGCAACTTAACTAATCTCATAAATATCATGCTTCGAAGGACTGGCCCGCCTGCAGGATCTCATGAACATTCATGCGCTTAATAGCGATTATGTGAAGCTGCGAAATTTGGCTGATTACGCCGAGGACTATCGGGTTTTGTGGAAGGAAGCGGCAGAGACTTTTCATGAACATCGCATAATAATGGATTGTGAGCCACAGACCTTGAAGGAATTATTACAGATATCGCTCGATTTCAAGCTGCAGGGTCCATTTAGGGTGAGTTTAGATAGCAATAGTTGACCCTCTTTTTTTATGTTAAGCGATGTTTATGTGTTTGCAGAATTGGTTCCTCACACATCTGGACACGCACAGCTCCGGTCTGAAGGACATTTATAATGAGGACTTCAAAGCAAATATAACCTCGGTGCGCTTAAAGACTGTTGATCCCAATCCATATGATCGGAAAAAGACGCGTATTAGCAAAATCGATGTGAGTTGTGAAGTGGTATGCTTTAGAAAAATGCACTCTACCTCATTTTATTTGCGACTTGACAGGAAATTTTGGGAAATCAGACCATGTTGCCCTTACTTATGTACGACGCGGTTGTGCTTTTGGCAAACTCTGCACGTAACGTGATTGTGGCTATGCCGCAATACTATGCACCCCATAAGTACTGTGGTCTGGGCTATGGGAGCGTCAGTCCTTGGGCACCGGGTCGTTATATAGTCGAAGAAATGAAAACTATATCAGAGGATGATGTCGAGCCACGGTTTAAGACAGAAAATATGCGCCTGGACGAGTTTGGACAACGCACTCAGTTCAATTTGGAGATCTATAAGCCAACTGTGAATGAACCCTTATTGGTGTGGACCCCTGATGATGGCATAAAACCCATACGAGTGAGTGCCGAACTGAAGAGCCCTTCAACTGCACAGGATTTTTCTGTGCAACGTAAGGTCTACACAGTCGTTACACATTTCGAAGAACCCTATTTTATGATGAAGTTGGTAACATCAATTAACATCGACACGAACATATTTCATATGGTCACTAATTTCCCATCAGGGCGGATCACGAGAATTATCGCGGGCAGGAAAAGTTTGAGGGCTACGCTGTGGATCTGATAGCAAAATTGTCCGAGCTGATGGAGTTCGACTACGAGTTTATGATTGTGAATGGTAATGGCAAATACAATCCAGAGACTAGACAGTGGGATGGGATTATTCGTAAGCTAATAGATCACGTGAGTCAAGTCATGTATGTTGAGTTCTGGGCTCATCTGATCTGCGTTCCCAGCATGCACAAATTGGAGTCTGCGACTTGACAATCACACAGCTACGTCGTTCCTATGTGGACTTTACGGTGCCATTTATGCAGCTGGGCATCAGCATATTGCATTATAAGAGTCCGCCGGCGCCGAAAGATCCGTTTGCATTCCTGATGCCCTTTGCATCAGAAGTCTGGATGTATGTGATCTTTGCACAGCTTGTGATGACTTTGGCTTTTGTGTTCATAGCTAGGTGAGTGTTGGGAAAGCAAATACTTGTATACTCCACTTTACAACTGTGCTCTTAGGCTTTCGTATCGCGAATGGACGCCCCCCAATCCAGCTATACCCGATCCCGATGAATTGGAGAATATATGGAATGTGAACAACTCCTCTTGGCTGATGGTGGGCTCCATTATGCAGCAGGGCTGTGATATATTGCCCAGGTCGGTGACTGCTCCTTTGAACGCTTTGACCGGGAAAATGCATCTGTCTAGCCTTTTCTCTTTAGGGGTCCACATATGCGTATCTTAACGGGCATGTGGTGGTTCTTTGCCTTGATGATGCTCAGCACCTATACGGCCAATCTGGCTGCCTTCTTGACCAGCAACAAGTGGCAGAGCACAATTAAGGATCTGCAGGATCTCATCGAACAGGATGAGGTCAAGTTTGGCAGCATGAACGGCGGCAGCACTTCGCTATTCTTTTCCGAGTCTAATGACACCGACTATCAGCGCGCTTGGAATCAAATGAAGGGCTTCAAGCCCTCAGCATTCACCAGCAACAACAAGGAGGGCGTGGCTCGAGTGCGCAAGGAGAAGGGCAAATATGCTTTCCTCATGGAAACCACCAGCCTCTCCTATAATGTGGAGCGCAATTGCGATCTGCACGAGATTGGCAGTCAGATCGGTGAGAAGCACTACGGTTTGGCGGTTCCTTTAGGTAAATTTTAATCCAGACAACAATCAACAAACAATCGCTAAAAGGGCAACATTACAGGCGCCGACTATCGCACCAACCTAAGCGTCTCCATACTGCAGCTGAGCGAAAAGGGCGAATTGTATAAGATGAAGAACAAGTGGTGGAAAAACCATAATGTCACCTGTGAAGCGGTACATGAGCTGGACGGTGATGAGTTATCCATTATCGAGTTGGGCGGCGTGTTCTTGGTGCTGGCTGGCGGCGTTCTCATTGGCCTCCTCATAGGTGTGGTTGAGTTTCTCTGGAATGTGCAGCATGTGGCGGTCGAGGAGCGTGTAACGCCATGGCAGGCCCTAAAGGCTGAATTCATATTTGCCCTCAAATTTTGGGTGCGACGCAAGCCGATGCGTATATCGAGCAGTGGGGGCAGTGGGAAGTCTTCGCGACGTTCATCAGCCTCGAGACGCTCCTCAAAGGAAAAAAGTCGCAGCAAGACGGCAAGCTAAACAGTTATTGGCTAATAACTATTTTCCTCTAAGTATATGTTTATATTTTTTGCTTAAGTTGCAATAAAATCTTTGAAAAGCGGCAATAATCAGTTGAGCATATTAAGTGTTAAAGCTAATGATTTCCACATGTGGGATATGTGTGTGGTACAGTGAACATTTTATGGCATGAGCCAATAAAAAGAATCGCTAACAGAAAATTGTGACAATTATTTAATCTACCTTCCTTATTTAAACATAATTTCTGTAAAATATCTCTGAAACACTTTCGAAACACTCCAAAATCGGGTAAAAACATTGTTTTTTCGATTGTAATCAAATATTGAATTAAATATAATTTGGTTCTGCTGAGGAAAGTGCAACAGGAAATAAACATATTTTGCAAAGAGTTATCAAATTTCACTTTAAAAGCTCTTTTCTGGAACATGTTTTTGAAAGTTGAAAGGCAGTTTTAAACTGCTTTTGGAATGGAATTTTTATTTTTTGGAAAGGATATGTAAAGATTTAATAAATTGTAGTAAAACTTAGTCGGTTCAGTTACGACATATTAATATGTTTATAAATTTTGGTTGGAACATTCTTTATAGTTCGATATTGTGGAGCTGTATAACATGCTGTTCTCAGCATTATGGAACATTAACGCATCAAAAATATTAATCAGCTGCATCTCTCAGTGCTACTGACTGTGAAGAATTACTATAATTTTAAATAGCATTGTTATGGGTTTTTAATATAACTATAATACAATTAATAAATATAAAAGGCTTGTTCATTGTTTCTTAACTTGTTTTCAGGGTATTATTTAAAGCAACTATAATTCTTAAATTAATTCTTGAAATTTCGAGATTTGTCAAAAGGCATTTTGACTTCTAAAAAAAAATTTGTTCTATTACAATAAATCAATTTGAAAATATTTTTCATAACTTGATTGGTCTGAGATTATTATAGTTTAGTATTTGAAATGCCATGAGAGGAAAGAGAACGAAATAATTTACTTCATGAGCTAAATAGGTGTGCTCTATTTGGATTTAAAAAACTTTATCCACTCCACTGAACCATGGCTCTAAAGGTTAGTAAACAAATTATTTGCTTGTCTTATCAGACTTTAAGAGTGATGAGTAAACGAAACTACAAACTCGTTCTTCATGAGCTATATGAGTTTACACTTCTTATCATTGCTATCAAATATGTTTTCGAAAGTTCTTCTTAAGCAGAATCTATAGCGAAATCTGCAAAATGTTAGCCTGTGTAACGACTAGACATTCTAAATGCCAATAGCATATAGTTCAAAAATTTATTTTTCTTTTGCTAAATGAATTTCCTCTACTTTTCATTAAAAAATTTAATGTTCTCTATACTGTAGCTCCACTTTTTAGAAAGAATCTACATAATATATATATTCACATATAGTTTTTTGAGTGTCTAGATTTATGCTCTGAACATACCCTACTTCGATCAGTGTGGGTGTTTTCATTTAATTTCGGCGGCTATATGCATTTCCATTTGGCTTCTTGCCTGCCGTAGCTCATGGCCTAGTCTGGATGGTCTTTATTGTTGCCACTTTTTGTTGTCCATAAAACAAATGACTTTTGGCCCCGTTCCCAGCCCCACTTTTGTCATCAGTTAGTGGCCTAAAAAAAGCAGCTCTCTCGCACGGCGATCGTAGGGGCAGCACTTTTCCAAACAGCCATTTCCCCAGCATTTTCAGTCAGTCGGTTTTCGCGTCAAGAGCTGCGTACACAAATTTCGCGCGTCGCGTTTTTCGGCGCATGGAATTTTAGATTTGTTCGTGGGATTGGCCATTTCTTGTTGTTGTTTATTTCTAGCTACTTAAAGTGTTTTTGTTACTGAATTATATAAAAATTTGAGTAATGGCGCATGCTTTTAGAAGTTGACGAAAGGCCCAAGTATTGGTCATGATTGTAGTAAAATTTCTGATGCTGTCTGCGCTGATGTGGTCAGCAGCGGCGAAAAATAATGACGAGTTGTGGGTTAAAGTTGGTAATTTATTTAACCATTGGTGAACTAGTGAGCAACTAATGATTGCTTGTGGCGATTAGGCGCCATTTTCTTTGGCAGCGAGTTCGATTTGGCAATGGCTTTTGATCAGGCCATTGAGGAGGTAAATGCTTTGAATTTCGACATCAAGCTGCTGGCCGTTAAGCATTTTGTGAGCATAGATGATAGCATGTTGCTGCAGGATATGAGTAAGTGAACATATAGTAGTTGACATTCCCAAACATATATCCGAGTATATGTGTACATGTGTTTAACAAATGTGTTTAGCTTGTGATTTGATTGGAAATGGTGTTGCCGCTATTTTTGGCCCAAGTTCAAAGACGAGCAGCGGTGAGTTTTTGTTGAAACTTTTAGCTTATTTTTAAACAAAAAACAAAAAAATTACGAAAATCATATGCCTGGCGTCATCAAATATTTAACATGGAACCTGTTGTTGTTATATCGCGTCTGCTAGAGCTATAGGAAGTGCAAAATTTAATGCCAACACTAACCTCGTTAATGATCTCCCCAACACACACAACGACGCACACACACACACACACACACACTTGTTAGGCATCAACAAATCTGCAACGAGCAAACATTGAGGTCAAAATATTGTTCGCAGTAAATAAACAAATGTATATTTTTTCTCTCCACCATGTGGCAAATGAAACACTTGAGCGAGCTTTTTGAATTAGTGCCAATAAATAAATGCTCCTGTTTGCTTGTTTTGTTCAGCCGCTTCGTCGTTTGTTTACATCTCTTGGCGGGACAATTTAAACAAAAATATACAAAGAGGCCCCACTTCTGTGTTGCTTTTGCGCTCTCTTCTAAATATTTGCATGTCTCTTGTAGACATTGTCGAGGTGCTCTGCAACATATCGGGCATTCCACATTTACAATACGATTGGCATCCACAACAAACGGCTCGAGAACGTGTCAATCATCAGCTGACTGTAAACGTGGCACCCACCGAGCTGTTGCTCTCCACGGCGCTCTTTGATATTTTGAGCAACAAGGACTTCGATTGGAAGTCGTTCACCATCGCTTATGAACGGAACTCGCGTAAGTCTTAAAGGTGCAAAAACGAGGGGAAAAGTTAGATGCTATTAGTTTTTTTTTAGATCTGGCGCGGCTACAGCACGTTCTCGCCTGGAAGCAGCTGCATAAGAACGGCCTCAAGTTGCAGGAATTCCAGCGAGGTGACGACTATCGTATACTCTGGAAGCGCATCAATAATGCCCGCGAGAGATACGTGCTGCTCGACTGCCCCAGCGATATATTGACGGATGTGATAAATGCCTCCGTTCCTTTCAATATGACGGGCGCCTTCAATGTAAGTTTTATAAGTCAAAAATTACTCCAAATTGTAGACAGTTTTATAGAAAAGGCATTACACTAAGTCTTGCCCGATTTCGAGGGTTTGGATTTATTTTCTTTCTGTTACATTATTTTCAAAAACCTATAAATGGATAAAGGGTATAAAATAGGAAATGAATTCGTTTATTTATGGAAGAAGCACTTGGTTCCAACAAAACTTGACCAAAAATATTAGTAGTATGTTCTAGAAAAATATATTTTATATTTACCTTTTCGGTCCAATAATTAACTTACATCTTTTGTCTTAGAATTCTTTAAATCTAATTAATAGAAGGCCAGGGTGATACTTATATTGACTTAAAGATACTATAATAGGAGTAAATTACTAGTATTACAAATATTTATTATATCCTATTACTATAATAGGAGTAAATTACTAGTATTACAAATATTTATTAGGTGTACAAATATTTATAAGGGCACTTTCTTGCATGGATACAAGTTAAGACTATATTTATATTCAGACCCGGGACTAACCGCAGAGTCTCACGGCTAGTGGTAGTGCTGCAGAATTCGACCGAAATATTTCTGTCCTTTCTGCTGTTGATTCTGTTAAGTGGCGATGGTTGGCTTTTGGCAGCTCACTCAGCTCTTGCCTGAGTACAAGAGCCAAGAGCCAAGTGTTAACTTATATGCCTAGTATAACGTACTATTTTTTTAATTGTTTGGCATAGTTTATAGCTGGGAGAATGATATCGTAAATGTTGTAGGGTTATTTTTAAATTTAAAGTTGCTATGGACAGGTATAGCTTTATGGGATTTATCTTTGTTAACACGAGACCTTGATGTTTCTTTCTTTTGGAATAATTAACTTTGTTGCAAAAAAGTAATCGACATTTTGTTCATCTATTTTAACGTCTTTTCTGTAAATACGGGCCTAATTGTTAATATTTACTCCAAAAATTTGTTAATTGCGTTTTAGCATCTTTTTCTGAGCGATTTAGACACGCATATCAGTGGCATCGATCGGTTTTATTCCCGGGAGTTCACCGTTGCAGTCGCTGCTATGAGACTCCGCACCTATATACCCCCTCCAGTGCATGATGAGACCGATGTGTTTGGAGGTGACGAAGAGAACAAGGTAAGTTGCCACTCAGATCTGTGAAGCTAGCGATCACGATGCACTCACGACCGTTTGCATGAAGACCTATTCACCCAGTAGTTTGGCATTCGTGATATTCGTGAGCATGTCGTGAGCGCTAAGCTATTTAAGGTTTGATTAATCTAGTTTTCCATTCCTAGTTTCCTTCGCTGCGCAGTCAACTTCTCTACGATGCGGTCGTCTTGTATTATAATTCTTTAGTTCAAGTCGTTGAGCGGACAGCCTTCTACACTCCTCAATACGGCTGTGGGCGTGGGTTTTGGCAGCCCGGTCCGCTTATAGTTCAGCAAATGAAGGAAGTAAGCTCTGTGACATCAGCTATGGATTCTTTTAATAATGTCCTTTGCAGCTGCCCAGAAAGCAGGTAAAGCCACCATATAAGACCCAACGCTTGCAGATTAATGAGGAGGGCCAGCGCGATGACTTTAATATTGAGGTCTACAATCCACTCATCGACCGCGTGACACATGTCTGGAACAAAGAATATCAATTGGTGGACTTTGATATCCTTCGAGAAAATTCCACGCAGGCGGTTAAGCAGCGACTTTTGGAAAGGAAAGAGGATTTCTCGCAGAAGCCCGTCCGATATACAGTGGCTACTCGTGTGGGAAGACCGTACTTCAGCTGGCGGTGAGTGTGTGGCGATTTATTAATAAAAGCAATTACTTAGATATTTTGTTTGGCAACTTATAGCGAGGAGCCGGAAGGCGAGCATTTTGAGGGCAATGAGCGATTTGAGGGCTACGCGGTGGATTTGATTTACAAGTTGGCCGAGGAGTGCGGCTTCGATTTCGTTTTCGAACCTGTGCCCGACAATAAGTATGGCAGCTACGATGCGGCAACTGATGAGTGGGACGGCATCATCAGGCAGCTAATTGATAATGTAAGTATACTTGTAGTGTCCCTAGGCAAAGAGTTAATCGCATACTATTTCGAAACCTTCCCCAGAATGCACAGATCGGAATCTGCGATTTGACCATCACGCAGGCACGTCGTTCGGTCGTGGACTTTACGGTGCCATTCATGCAGTTGGGCATAAGTATTTTGTCGTATAAGGAACCACCTCCTCCGGTGGACATCTATGCCTTTCTCAACCCCTACGGCTTCGACGTGTGGGTCTATGTAATGGTTGTTATGATGATTACGTCGATGGCTTTGGTGTTGGTCGGACGCATGGATGCGAATGAGTGGGAGCCGCCTGTGCTTAATGAGCAGCAGGAGGAGGAACGTGAGAATATTTGGCATCTACGCAATGCTGTATGGTTAGTCTTTGGCTCAATACTGAACCAGGGCTGCGATATGTTGCCCCGAGCTTTTCCAATGCGCCTGCTTACAGCTTTCTGGTGGATATTCGCGCTGCTCATCTCCCAGACCTACATAGCCAAGTTGGCCGCCTTCATCACCTCGTCTAAGATGACCGGCGCCATTACCAATCTGCACGATCTGGTCGACCAGAATAAGGTGCAGTTCGGCACAGTCCGCGGAGGTGCTACCTCCGTGTATTTCTCCGAGTCCAATGACACAGAGAATCGCATGGCTTGGAACAAAATGCTGAGCGTAAAACCCGATGCCTTTACGAAGAATAATGAGGAGGGCGTCGATCGTGTCAAGCTCAGTCGTGGCAGCTACGCCTTTCTCATGGAGACCACCAACTTGCAATACTACGTGCAACGAAACTGCGAACTTACCCAAATAGGCGAGAGTTTCGGCGAGAAGCACTATGGCATTGCAGTACCCTTAAGTGAGTTTTCGATTGATATATAAGGATCTATCTGAACACCTTCTCCACTCCGCAGACGCCGAATTTCGATCCAATCTGAGTGTTGGTATCCTGAAACTGAGCGAACAGGGCGTGCTCTATAATCTGCGCAACAAATGGTTCAACAGCAATGAGAGCAATTGCGATGCCGGCGACTCCGTTGTCGACGATGGACAATTCGATATGGATTCTGTGGGCGGTCTCTTTGTGGTGCTCATTGTGGGCCTGGTGATCTCGTTTCTTATTGGCATTGCCGAATTTTTGTGGCATGTCCAACGTATTGCTGTGAAGGAGAAGGTCTGTTTTCAAACCGTTCTCCTTGAAGAACTAAACCAAACAATATTTCTTTTATAGATACCCCCCATGGTGGCCATGAAGGCCGAACTAAAGTTTGTCATACGCTTCTGGCTGAAGCGCAAGCCACTTAAGACTTATCTCACCAGTCGGGACTCGACCTCGACTGGTTACTCCTCCTTGGAACAAATCTCGAGCACTTCCACTGCAAAAAAGAGAAAAAAACTTAAAAAGCGAGATGAACAACGTGAGCGGGCGTGCTGAGAATTTGCTTTTAGGATTTATAGTCTCTTTCAAATGTAAATAACATTTTCAATAATATATAAAACCGTACACTAGGAATAGGTAGAGTCTAAAAGATTTTTAAAATTCCAGCCAGTTACGGGTAAGGCAGCATTTCTACCAGCTGAATAATAATTGGATTTACACTTTCGGACTTCAATATTCTCAATCTTTCTACATATAATTTCTTTCTGATATAGTTAACTACTTTCGAATTTTAGGCAGAAACTTGTTTCCATGCACAGCAGAGTTGAGCCAAAGGAGCAACAACGGCCAACAGCTACGGGCATAGCTTGGTCAGAGATTATACGTATATATCTGGCTATAGTTTCCTTTTGACCTATTCTGAAAAACGTGATATAGCTATTCGTACTACTTGTAGGTTTTAATGGGAAATTATTTGTGTTTTCGCTTTTGAAATATATTATTAAGTTAGCTCTTTCGAGCCTAAAAAAATTGCCTCAGCGTTGGCACAGCCCCGAAGGGTGCCGGCAGACTGGGCGAGTTGGTTGGCAATAATCGCAACTCGGCTATAACTTCATTGTTAGCGATACTGTCACTGCACAAGGTTGTCTTTTCGTGGTTCGCTGCCGGCAAGAAGTGGTTAAAGCTTTCGCAAACTATTTGGGAATTATAACTGCAGCGGAACGAAAAAGTTTCGGGTTGCAGCCCCTAAGTAAGGGAGAGTGATTGAAGCTCAGGAATTTAAACAAGTTTTATGGCATTGTGTGATAAAAACCAGTCTTTAAAACTACCACCACACAATCAAAGTCGTGGCGAACCCAGCCAATTCTTACAGCTCTATCAAAGATTGGTTGGGGTATACGTTTTTGGCATTGAATTTTTATGACCTAACAAGCAATTGCGTGCCCTGGTTTGGGTTTTTTTGTGCGACTACTATACAGCAGTTGAACACGCATTCCAATTTCGACTAAGCCAGCCATCAAACGTCGAGGAAAAAAGGGTCAAGTGTCTCTGTGCGTTCTGACAGATATTTGGATTATGCAAGTTAAGCGGCTTGCCAACCTTGCGGCCATTTTGTAAGCAGCTTTCACTTAAAGGCCAGCACGCTTTGAGGTAGCCGGCAATGAATTTGTGTATAGTATATGTATCTGTGTGTGTATCTTAAAGTTGGCACACAACTTGGCTAATTTCGCGCCTTTTTCGACCCGCCCAACCCTTTGTTGTAATGCAGAAATAAGCCATTAGCGCGCATTCCAATGGGCCATGGTGTTGTAATTTAAATGGCATTTCATTGTGTTGGCCATAAAAGGCACAAATAAGGGTTAATTAGATGAATGTCTGCTCATTAAAGTATGCGGCTTGGCATTGTTTATATCCAACCTGTCCTGATTGGACAGAATGTTCAGGATGTTGCGTTGCCCATACCCTATTAACCCATGTCAAAAAAGAAAAAAAAAACAACAACAAACAGACAACGCAACAAGAACAATAAGAAGAAGTTGCTTAAACGGATGTTGCCAACATCAACACCATAAAAACAACAGTTACAACAACAATAACAACAACTCCATCAACGCCCTTGGCCATAAAAATTGACGCAGTCGATTGCCTCTTCGTCGAAGCGGAAACAATTGACTCGATTACATGGGCAGAGGCAAAAGCAAGTTGCCAACACAAACATGACGTTGCAATAAAATCAAAGCCCCAAAAACACCACAGAGTAAAACGAAAGAGTCGTGCGAGCCTGGGTCTTGAATACCCTTTATACCCACCCCTTCCCCGCTACATTCAACACAAAATAAGCATTTGTGCTCACGGGCTAAGAGGGTGTACTAGTTTATTGCGAAGGAGAAGGCCTGCCGTAACACCCAACGAATATATATTCTTGAACAGTATGGCAAGCCATGTCTGTCAGTCCCTCCGTCCGTCCGTCCGTCCGTCCGTCTGTCTGTCTGTATAAACGCAATCTCGGAAAGTATTAGAACGGCTATCACCAAAATTAGTATCCACAAGCACACGTTAAGAACATTTACTACGGAGTCAATAGTTCAAAGACTATCTTCGTCGTTCCACAAACTCTTTCTCTCGAATGCTCTCCGTTGAAATAAAAGTGAAAACAATGAGATCAAATCTATTTAGATATATAACATTTAATCAACAACATAGGTGGGGTGGGACTTAATAACAATAAGGGATAATAATAAATAATCTAATTTGTAAAGAAAAGCGCAGAAGACGCAGTTATTGAAAATAATTGGGAAGTAGATAAATTCAATTTTTTCGGTTTTTTGTCTACTTAATAAAGAAATCAGGTAATACTTTGTCAGCAGTTGTTGTTGTTTTTTCTGCTTTGGCTGAACTCTGCAGGTCTAGATCTAAAATATTCTGTAATTTTAGATTACTTCAACATTCTATTCTGGTTTTACCAATCACTCAGATTATGATGGGGCACTATCACAATGTCGAAATAATAAGATGTTTTTAGCACTTAGATTGGTTTCCGCACCGATTGATAGTATGCCAGCTATATGATACGAGTATATTGAACAGATTTTGATGAGACTAAGCTCGTAAATATATAATTTTCTTAAGAAACCTGAAATAGATCTTATGGCAGCTATATAATAAACTTGTTCTGCGTTTGAATAAGACAAGTCTATATACAAATCAAGTTTGGTGTCCCTAGCTGTTGCCGATCGGTCCTATCATGCTGATCTGATATTAAACTGATATTAAACTACTATATGTATGTAAGATGGATTGTACTACCTTTTATTGGTAAACGCAAATCGATCAAGAATACATATAATGAATATAATGGAGAATAGTAAAAGTTCAACGTGACTAATACAATTGTGTAAGTTAACAACGGTTATTAAAATTAGACGACTGCTAATCGCTGAATCGGTACACGGCTGAACCGACTGACTGCTGCTCTTCGTTACGGCATGACTGCTGACGACTTTATTGAACGACTTGCTAAAGATTGTTGCTGATGACTGGCTTCACTCTGTCCTCCTTCTGTATAGGGTTGTCATCTTGTTGCAACAGTGGCGACTTTCACGTTTCCTATTGGCTGTTGCATACTTTTCAATAACAATATTTGTTTACATGTATTTTGAAGCTACTTCTGGATTTAAATTTGTGTCTATAGCTCTTATAGATCCAGGAATGGACGGACGGACAAACAGGGCTAGATCGACATGTCTTGACATGCTGATCAAGGATATACACGTATATAGTTTGTTGGGTTTTCCACACCTCCATCAGCCAGTTACATTTAATAATTTAATTTGCACAAAGCTAATACCCTTTTACCTTAGGTATAGGTCTTGCCACAAATGCCTAAGAGGAAAGAGGCTGAAGCTGATATGTCTGTGTGTGGATGGGTTGCTGTGCTTTTTGCCTTTTAAACATGTTCACTGAATTTTCCGCATATTGTGCATTTATTTAAATTCAAATGCAAAGTTTTCTATTGTATTTTTTGCTTTGTTTATCTTCTAATTGGTATTGTTCTCCATTTCATTTGAACATATTGAAAAAATTGTTGTTTTTATTGCGCACACCTAATTTTTGTTGTCGCTTTGCTGCAAATTGTTTGGTAGTGTTTTATATTGTGGTTATAGCTTTAATTGTTATACATATTTAAGCATATTTGCCTATTGTTGGCGAACGTTTAAGTTGCAGATGAAATGAGTTTATATTGAAAGTAAACTGCCTCTGTTATAAGCACAATGAAACTTTGGGTTTTCTTTTGCATTACAAAATGTTTTCGTATGTGGAACTTTGCTGTTATTGGAACAAAACTAAAATTGATAGAGGGTTTAATTAAAAATTCACAATTAATTTAATTAATAATTTAATTAATTGATATTCATTTATTCAAAGAAACCCTTCGTTTAGCTCCCGTTAGGAAACCTTCAACAGAAGTTTTAAGGTTAAAAGTTTAACACACTCCTTGATTTTAATAAAACTTGCGTTTATTTTTAATATTTATTTCTGTTTCAGTAATTTTTATTATCTTGCTGGTAGCTTTCACTATAAATATTAAGGCTATAAGATTTATTTTTATTCACATAGAAAGTTTCAAAATCTATTTGTCAGTTGAGAGGTATATTGATGGATAACTGCAGTCATACCAGCCATGCCAAAGCCAACTACCGCTTGTGGGTATATACGGTTTAAGGTTATGGTTAAGGTTATCAATTCGTATTTATGCAAGTTTGCACATGTATTTATTTCTCAATGTCACCCGGGAGTTGAGGGAATTGTTAATCATTTGAATCTGTGTAGTTTCAAAATGCATTGAATTCCCGGTGCAAGTCCTCAATGCATGGCCCACAGCCCACAATGCATTTTAAACAACAAGTTGCAGCTTCCACTTGGCTGTCTGTGTGCGTGTATGTATGTGTGTGCTCAACAAAAACAACAACAACAACAACTATAACAACAACATGCAATATGTTTGCTTGTATATTTGATGGCAACACGCACACGAGGAGCTCGAAAATCAGACGGCTAACCAGCAGAAAACAAGCGGGTAAATAAAAACAGGAGCTGCAACGGGAGCAACAACAACCATAACAACAACAACAACAACATGGGCCACAACATGAGCCCGACTGAGCCGTGCGAATGGGAGCAGTTTCGAGCCGAGCTGGGCATAGAAATTCAATATGGCACACAGAGGAAGTGTTGTAGACGAGCAAACGCGTGTATGAGTGCGTCTGTGTGTGTTTGTGTGTGTGTGGGTGTGTCGCTCATTTGTTAGAGTACGTGTATATGTGTGTGTGAGAGAGTGTGTGTGGGTGCTCGCTGGCACACTCATTGAACCAATAGCTTGTGGCGTCAATTTGTGGACATTATTGTTTCATGACTGCCGCAAAGCTACACTGCGAATGCATTTCCAACGAACCTAGCAAACATTCTTCTTATAAAGCACAGATTATTCATAAGAGCTGAAGTATATTTTAAAGGTTAAAAGTTAAACGGTCAAAGATTTGGTAAGGCATTACATTTGCGGCGTTTGCCATTTGTTGCCCTCAATCCCACATTGCTGGGATTTCCACAACTCCCGAGTTCTTGGAATTTTGAAATCTAATTTGGTAATTTCATACCGCTAGTGATTATGTGCCCGTATCCAAGAAATATCAATTGTTAAGAAAGCTATAGCCATACATGTAATCTCTGCCCAAGCTCTTCGCTTATCTCCTGTCTTCCTGCTTGCCGGGGTATTTTCTGAACAGTTGATCGATGTCTGCAAAGATTTTATAGCTGCCTGCTTATCCACAAACATGATCACATTTATTGTTTGGGTCTTCAAAATAGAAGTTTTCCGACAAAAGTAATTTATTAGTAGCCTGAAGAAGTTTTCATTTGTACCGATTTCATCAAGTTCCCCTTAAAAAATTGCGCCAGCCATTATTACCTAAAAATCAAATTGAGACATTAATTTAACTATCATCATATCACACTATCATAAATGCCTCAACAACAGTAATATAAACTTCAATCTTATGTTGGAAGCGGTATTATTTATCAGACTATGTCAGCACATTTAAAATCAAATTATCCATAGCCAAAAGACAGCAGAAAATGATAACGAAG